TATATCGTGAACATATTGCAGGAATGTAGAGTATAAGATAGCACGAGAGATGTCCTTTACGAAAATTGCGAACAGAAGAGGTACTAAAACAGATCCCAGATTAACGCCAAAACATGCCAGGTACAACGAAGAGTTCGTATTGGTCACCCGGACGTACGCCTCTTTATTTGACACCTGGCTTTTGAACCAGTCGTGTACTGAGCCACACGCCCCGTAGGCGTAACGTGTTTATAATAGAGTCGTGTGAGTGACTACGTCAAAGGCCCCGCCTAAGTCAAAGTAGACAGCATCTAACTAACCTCTGTTAGATAAAGCATGAATTGCTACACGCGTAAAATTAACAAGACTTGAGTCGTCAATCTGGCACTAAATGGAGCCATGCTGATGGAGAATATTTAAGTTTTGAAGTTTGAAAGACAGGTATTGACGGAGGACCATTCCAAAGACCTCGGATAAAAAATTTATAAGAGAAATCGGTTTATAGTTACAAATATAACAATTTTTCCCGACTTAAAGACCGGAACGACAACTGTGACTTTCCAGGTTTCAGGAAATGTTCCTGAGCTTAAATAGTTATTACATACTGAGCACAGTACCGGCGTGAATATGTCGTCATTAGACGCCGTCTGGCTTAACTGATAATGTTGCCCTCATTTTCTCAATACATAGCTGTGCTCAATTGTAATCGACCATAATGCAGCTTGCAAATTCACTTAGCCCATCTAAGTAAGGCAGCGCAGCGGAGAAACACTGGGCAAGCTTATAATGCAGAAATTGCAGTATTTAGGAGCAATTGCTTTAATAGTTAGGAATACATTAAACAGTCGTTCCGGGAGTGAAGAACATATATTTTTATCTTTTCGGTAGAAACAGAATTGGCGTATCGCGGGACATGGATGGGGGGAAGGTAGGCAACTGGGGAGTGGAAGAGAGCACTGTATTACGGTGTTGAGAGGGATTGGGAGGGAAATGGAGGGGGAATGAACGACAGATGAATGGGGAACCTGAACTGGTGTGTCGCATGACCAAGGAGAGGGAGGGAGAGAGAGGGCACCGTAAGAGAATGGGGAGAGAGGGGTAGATAGACGAAGAGGGAAGGGGTAGGGAGGAAGGGAGGTAGAGCCAGGCTTGGAGGTAGATGAGAAGGGAAGGGAGGGAGAGGGGCAGCGATTGAAAGAGAGAAATGTATAGGTCACGTGAAGTCAATTTCTTGGCTTGGTGTATAGATAATCATGATGTAGAATATCCGGGAAACTTGGTCGAAGAAAAAGATTGGGGAAAACAACATCTCGAACTCAGATACTGCGTTTATTTCCTCTAAGTCTCATATATCCACAACCTAATCACCAACCACTGACGTCAAATAGCCAACCTTAGTTATACAATCCTACTCACACTGATCTTCACCTGAACTGTAAACGGTGTCCTCAATCCCGAACTGAGGACTTGGGACCTTGAACGAAACAATCCCACCGATCCACTCCCTTTCCGGCCGGAGTCTGAAAGGGCTATGCTTTGTCTAAACGAGGACTGATATGTCCTCCAACTGAACCCTTGTCCGCAAAATTAGCTTGTGGATATAAAAGGCTTTAGTGCACTAAGTACGTTTCTCATGCGCTCAAAGTCTGTGAAAATTTGTGATTTAGTGGTTTTCAATGACGCTCAGCAAGTTTCTGATTTGAACCACAGGTTTATTTTACTAATTAATATGTTAATGAGTCATTTTAGTTAATTAGCGAACTAATTATTGAGTATCGCGCATTTTATGACGTTCCATGCGGTTACAAATACACTAATTTTAACAATTATGTTACTCTTACGTGAAATACCCTGTATATAAAAAGTTTGGTACAATGAATTTACTTTATTGTGTCACTGATTTGGAATTGTGCAGTGGGCAATCCTTGCAGGAGATATCAGAGCTCTTCTGGCCAACCACCTTCTCAACGTGGACTGGAGCCCCGACTTTGTTTACATATGTTTTTATATTTTGTACACAATGCAAAAATGGCCAATCTCCAAATAAATTGATCCGCTAGCGCCGGATATCGTTTCGGTTTTCAGTTGATATACTCCAAAACATATATGAGGTGTAGATTAAGCAGCTGCAGCTTATTTACCCTTCTTAGCTATAAGTTACAGCCGAATATCTACCATTGTTTCCCTTGCCTAGAAGCTTTTTAACATAACTTTAGAATTTATATTCCTTAATATTATTACTGAATTATTTGGATATTTAATCGTCGTGAGATATAATCCGAGCATTAAAAAATATTTTGCGACAAAGGTCCGGCATTTACGGGTGTTTTCTTCTCAATTCAGGCAAGGTTTTGTGTCACTTTTCCTTTTTGTATTTCGACCAAACATGTATGTTTCGATAGCATCCTTGACATGCAAGACAGAGGAAACGGCAACTTTGTCAGGATTCTTTTGTTTTCGAGTTGTGGACCAATGAAGTGGCCGAGGCAAAAACGGACATTTCTGCCTCCGGCCGTAGATTGCATGTTTGACCTCTCGCTTTTTTCTCAGTTCTCAAAATAAAGCACCGAGACCCTCTTTATGACACATTCAGAGTAAATTTCATTTTGCTCAAAGACTCAAAATAAGTTTATATTATTGAATAATTTGAAGAAATGTCGAACTGTAGGGCCTTTTATGATTTTCAACACTGGCATTTTTTTACGTTTGGTGTGTTTTAGACATGTTAATTACCTTGACTTCGGCTGAAAGCTCTAATCTAGCTCTGTTTAATGAATACACTACCAATATTACATGAATACAATTGCTAATGAACGTTTCGAAACTCTATCAAATTCTAAATTGATTTTCTTGAATACTTTTTTTATTTGTTCGATTTTAATTTAAAAAAAAGTGGAGAGTGGTTTATTACAACAGATTAGTATAATATATAGTGTTTGTTTATTTGAGCGAAATTAAAGGTTAAGCCTTATCATATGCGCGTTGTAAAACGGCAATTAATGTTTTGGATTACAATATTTTATAATCATCAACAACAAAATCATCAGAATGACACAACGTGTTTTTTGCAACCTGTTGGGAATCATATGCCTGACCGCACGCTACTTTCTTCACTCACGGAATACTGTCTTCAAACACTTCTTTTACATTCTCGACATAGATTGATCACCGTTTAATAAAATAATAAATGTCGATTTTAGAATTAATTAAAAAAAATGTTGAGCTGTTTTATACTGACTTTTGGCAAATTTTGAAGTATGATTATTTTAAACGATTTATTAATTTTTTGTGATCACCGGAAAGCTCAAACTTAGACCTTTTATTCGATACAAATTTAATATGATGTGTTTAAAATAAAATATATCATACAGACATTTGAAAGCAAGTAATGATAAAAAATAAGCAAATTAAAGACCAACTGTATAAGAATTAACTTTGTATTTCCTTCTCATTTTATTGGTATAAAGAAAGGATTGTGGTAATAGCTTAAATCTTCTCAATTGTTCTGTTACTGCGTCCTCAATTAGCTGCCATTCTGACTAATATTCTGGCGTGGAAGGTTACCTACCTATTTGTTTTTGATTATCCTGTAGCTTTGTAAATAAGTGAAGTTGTGCATTATGCGAAGTAAAATATGTTCTACTCTGCAACAAGGCACAAGGCTTACCCTTTTACAAAGCACACCTGACAAGTTTTAAGCTTTAATTGCGCTCATACAATCTATTTATATGATTTCATAAACCACTAGTATACATTGCTATTAATAAAAAGAAGGCAAATATCAATGAAGCTTCTGTATAAAGTTCGTGTTGAAGTTTCAAGATTTTTAAGCGTTTTTTGTTAAGTCTATTTTATGTATCAGCTTTTAGTTGTCTGATGTAATATCAATCTGTATTCATTGAAAATAGCTAAATTTGAGCTTTCTTTTGATGCCGAGGTTAGTAAAATATCCTACATAGGTCACACGTTAAGAATTGACGAATTTTAATCAAAATCCTAAAAAAACATAATTCAAAATTAATAAAAAATTCAAAAATATATATAATTTTTAAGTCCGTTGTTTAGGGCCCTAAACTCGTCAAACACAAAGTGGGAGGCGAAAGTTCACGGAGCGTGCAGATTGGCGTTGTCGAAAAAAACGCGGAGTCATCATCGTTATAGGCTAATCGGTGCGCTTCATCAACTTCGGCCACAACTTTGTGTTTGACAAGCTTAGAAGCTCTAATGAAATCTACTTTATGAGTTTCAAAACGCAGTCTTAGTCCTTTATTTTTAGGAATAATAAAATAGAGAGCATTCATAAATGGAATTCCCGAAAGGTGGAGGAAACGTATTTTGTCTCTGCCCTTTAATGGTCAATAACCCGGAAACAACAAATTCACCAAAATTCCGTTTGCGCTGTCAATCATTCCAAGATTTTTCCAAAAACATATCCTTTTACTGTGAATTAAAATTTTGACCTTAAAAACTTTCCTTTGAATTGAGGTGAAGACAGCCATATGTGTGTATATTATATCTCTGTTATTATGACAGTGACTTCATTTTTTCTTGTATAAAATGATTTTCTATGCAAAAAGGATAGTTGTAAATTATTTACAATCGGGAACAATACAATTCATTTTTAAAGTTTTCCAGGGTTGCAGGTGCAGTATGACCATTTTTTAGGATATACATATTTTTTGCGCTGTTTTGGTTGAAACCGGAGTATTGAACGGGCGTGTTTTAGTTAACATGCATTAAAACATTGAATAACATTAAAAAAAGTATTTGAACAAAGCATATCTTGGAAGAAAGACACGGAAGAAGAAAATTCTGTACGTAAGCATTTGCGCAAATCCGCCAAAGATTTTTTTCACTCTTTCTTTCGGCACGGGTTCGGGGAAGTTCATTTCCTGGGTTTTGTCATGTTTTCTCCTGTTATTTTGTTTTTAGATGCAGGAAATGCACATGCCATTATTTATGCTTTCTCTTTGAACCAATATATAGACATATCATCACTAAGTACCCTGCCGACTTACGATATGCTGCTTAAGATCGTACTCATCTTTGCAATTGCTGCTAAAGGTAAACCGATTATGTAAAGTTATGTTTTATGCTTGTTACACTGAACACAAGCATTCTGTTATAAGCACATTTTGTTTAATTACATACTATATACTTTATTTAGGGCAGATTCTATGTAAAGACTAACTCGAATGTAACACCTAGTTCGACGATATGCGCTGTTGCAGTTTATTGCTGGCAGGGTGTTTCATAAGATGCGTTTATACTTTACTTCCATGACACGCGTAGGAATTTTAATTTTGATCGTAGTCGTTCTCTTGTTTGTTTGTTGTTTAAGAAATAGGTTTGAAAATATACGTAGTTACATAACCAATGATAACCTTGCTCCGAATCAAGCTTTCTCATTATACCGTTAGCACACAGAACATCATTAGCATGTCAACTAATAAGTTATAAAATAGATATCTTTAGAACTTTTGGGCGAAGAGGGGATGGTAATGGCTGAAAATTATATAATAAAGCTCCGAGACTTGGGCGAACGAGGAACAACACTGTCATGCATACGGCATGCATGGGGCAGATGATTGAGAGCCGTCGCTGACGGCTTACCGGGCTTTATGAATATTGCTTTATTGGTACCTGTGGTGTGCACTGATTGGTGCTCGGAAAAAAAAAAAAAGAACTGACGACGAAAGGAAGAAGAGACGAGACGGGCATTCGGGGCTGAAGCTGGTTCAAGCAAGACTTGAAACCCGAGTGAAGAACCCCCCCCCCCCCCCAAGGCTAGCTCCCTGGCCCCCCGGGTCTCACGGCGCCCAAACCACAGCCGTCACTGGCGCAGCCGACAGGATGAGGGAAAGCGTACATAAGAGTACTGGACGTAACTCGTGGGTATTGGCAAATACCAGTTGAAGAACGGTCCCAGGAGTTTACGGCATTCGTAACCAATCGTAGACAGTATGCTTGAAAAAAACAGCGAGTGCGCAGGCGAGCTGGTGGAAGTGGATCATGTTGTGGAATACCCGAGACTGTGGTAAAAGACGGAAACTTGTTCGAAGAAAAAAGAGAGGGGAAACGAACGTCTCAAACTCAGCTACTGCGTTTATTTCCTCAAAACCTTATATATCCACAACCTAATCATCGCCCACCGACGTCACAAGGTCAACCATTGTAAACGCAGTAGCTGAGTTTGAGACGCTCTTTTTCCTGTCTTTTTTCTTCGACCAAGTTTCCCAGCTTTTACCACAGTCTTGGGTATTCTACGACATGGAGTACGTTTGGATAGTTTTGCCCTATGGGTTGCAAAATTCAGCGACAACTTTTCAGCGTGCGATGAATGAGGTGCTGCAACCATACAAAGAATATGCAGGCGCATAGATCGATGACGTTGCAGTGCATTCCTCGAGACCACGAGTCGCGTGGGGCTCACGGTAAAGCTGTCCAAAGGAAGGCTTGACAAGGGAATGGTCATATACTACCTGGGCCACAAGATCAGCTCCAAGAGGCAAACTCCTGAAGAGCTTTTTCGGGCTAATGAACTATTACAGAGACTACACTGCGGACTATGCTGAAGTGGTGTTTACGTTGACCCTGTGAACTGGTGACAAGACTCCGAACGTGTTACCGTGGGGCGACGAGGAGGAACAACCGTTTCAAAAGGCAAAACCTCTCCTGATGAAAGTTGCGATTATAAGAGCGCCAGATGCCAGCCTGCCTTTTGTTTTGTCTACTGACGCGTCTGATAGAGCGATAGGGGCATGTCTCGCCCGAAGTGCAGATGATGGGAAAGAGTGCCCGATGGCGTTTCTCTGTAAAAAAAGCTAAGTGCTCTCCAAACTCGGTGGGCACTAATCGAACATGAGGCTTACGTGGTTGTGTGAGCTTTTGGGGCAGTTGAAAAGGTGGCTATTTGGGGCGCAGGTGGAAATTCACAGCGACCACAATACTTTTGCGGTATTTGGCGTCAGCAGCATCAAATAGTGCGAGGCTGATCCGTTAGGTGCTTGCGTTGCAGAAATTTAACCTGGATGTACGGTATTTAAAAGAGACGAGAAACCGCCCTGCTGATGCGTTGTCAAGGCTGTAATGGGGTTGAGTTTGGTTTTTTGGTTAATGAGCTTTAGATGTTCTCAAGAAGTTGTGGTGTCAGTTTTTCTTGTGATCATCCACACCGAAAGAACGGGAATGTGCGCGCATTTCGTTTTTTCGTTGTTCTAAATGCTACCAGTGTAAAGGGACAGACATACTTTGATTACTTTTAACTAAAAAATAAATAGGGGGGGCGTTTTATGCATGCGGCATGCATGAGGCAGCTGATTATGCGCCGTCGCCGACGGGTTATCGCACTTTGTGATGAAGACAGCTGGTTATAGGGCTTTGTAATGATTGTTGTTGGTACCCGGGGTGTGCACTGATCGCAGTGCGGAAAAAAAAAACTTACGACGGAAGAAAAAAGAAAGGAGACGTGTAGTCGGAGCTGGAGCCGGTACAACCAAGACTTGGAAACCGAATAAAGCGCTTTCTCTAAACCAAGGATAGCTCCCGGTCTCCCCGGGTTTCTCGGCGCCCAACCACTACACAGCAGTCTTTGCGTCGTGTGGACCCTTTTTGTTCCTGATCTCGGGCTTTTAGTCTGTTAGTTATGTGCTTTTGAAACGGCTAGTTTTAAAACACCGGCCTTATGCAATTTTCGACGTCATGACATTTTATTTGATATAAAAAAAAACTTAGGCGGTATGTTTATTGATATAGAAATCATATTTGTTTTCAAAATTAAGCTTATAAACGTTTCTTTTTGCCGGTTCATGATTTACATTTAAAAACATTTCTCTTGTTTATATTGCTTTCATGCTTTATTATGTACGAAAATATATGTCACATGGGTTCAATCGATCAAATACTTCTCCAAGATTATTAATTCTTCACACCTACCAGGTAATATTATTTGGTTGACCTTTGATTATCTTGAGTCTTTTAAATTTATCTTTTTTTCACGTTTCGAGGCCCTCTATCTCAGTAGTCATCTGTTTTTGTTTTTTGTTTTTTTTAAGGAAATTTGTAATTTGGTTTAGTTCATTCAGTTCAAGACATTGGGTCAGTTATTTGCTTTCATTATATTTGAAGTGTGCCTTTTCTTTTAGAATTTACCTCAGCGGGTATTCCGGCGTTTTTTTCATAGCTCCCAATTTGCGTGAAAATTTGCTAACACACCAACGAGCATCGCTGTAATAATATCGGAATTATTTATCCAAAATATTTTTTTTTGTCGCGAAGTTATTGAAGTTTCAATTTTTGTCTTCACCATGCTGTTCAAAGTGACAATCCCCGCTGTCAAAAATAAAAATGTGACGTCATAAGAAGGCAGGAGTGCACTCTTCGGACCGTACAGTTTGTTCCCAAACGATTACAAGCTGTTCTGTGGTGTTAAATGAAGCGTTTGGAAGCTCGCTCCAGCACCCACTCTGCAGCATGAAACAGATGCTTGGCATAATCATGTCATATAACTCCTGAGACTGTCGTGGAAGAAATTGGAAACTTTTTAGTAGAAGGAGCAGACACAGAGAGGGACGTCTCACACACAGAAAGAGACGTCCCTTTCTGTGTCTGTTCCTTCTACTAAAAAGCTTCCAATTTCTTTCGCCACAGTCTCAGGTGTTATATAACATGAGTAGCTATCACCAGCTCGCCTGCACACTCACTGTCTTGTCGCTTCGCATAGTTTATTTTTAGACTGCCTGCTCGACCCGGAAGCCTGCCTTTCAGTGGCATCACGGAACTAAAAAACGGCGGTATATTTCGATGTTAGTTATGGCATCATTTTTAGTTGCCAATCTTATGTCGCAAATATTAAATTTGCGACACTAAATAGCTTACCGTGAAGAGTAAAGGCCGGTTATGCAGACAATGTAGTTATTCCGCGTAGCTTAAACAATCTAAAAAATGTTTATTAGACAGCAATTATGGGCTGCCTATCCAACATGGTAATCAATTGAAACATTCAAACGAAATGACCAGTGCAAAAAATTGCCATAGATAAATGAAACTATTCTGTGTTTACTGATAGAGTTTTTTTTTTTTTATTGGGAATTAGTTCATTCTAGCGCCTACAGTACACAACGTTTATTCGAATACTATATTAAGATTCACGCACTTTGATTTATGCCACAGTTTCTGTTTAGACGAACGTAAAATTGTGTTTCATTCACAACAGTCCCACAACTACAAGCACATGCAAATTTTATCGAATAACTACCAATGCATAATATAATAAAATGTTTTATTTGTCTCAGGTTCTGCCTACTGTATAGATGGGCGGCCAAAAGACGTATGTTTCTTAGATCCAAAAGAAGGCCGAGGCAGAGGATATTTCAAAGAATGGTATTACGATACTAAAGTCGGAAAATGCTCCCAGTTTGTGTTTGGAGATGCTGTTGGGAGTTCTGATGAAAATAGATTCAAGTCGGAATCTGAGTGCAATGCACTGTGCAGAAGTGAGTAAAATTCAAAATCCCATTGTTTCAGATATCCAGAAGTGTCGTAATGTTTTTGTGTCCCTACACGATGCTCGTACACTGATGCTCTTCCGAGTAGAGTGCAGCGTACTCACGAGCTATTCTGCTGCCTGAAGGGGGACGTTCTTATGTGCATCCGAGAAAGCGGGGAAGCTTTGTCAGCTTGCTCGAAAGAGCACCTTAAAGGGACACAGCTTAAAGGGACACTCACCGGGTATTTGTGCTCGCCGAGATTTTTAGTTGTACATCACCTATGAGATCCCAACTACCCGGAACAGAATTCGCGGCTGGCCGGTTCAAGTCTCCCTCACGACGCGACCACCAAATTTAATCAAAGTCGTTGGACACTGGAGGCACACACTCACTATTAAAGATAGAAACAAAATATGAAACCCCTTTTTTGTGGCTTCTAAAAAGCTGCAAATACGTAGATTGAAAAATATGTTCCACAGAGAACCGGAAGCATTCTGTGCGTGCGTCATTTCGCGTATCGTGGCACTCGAGGGGACGGCGATGGCAGCGGACAACGGGCGTGGGACCTCTACTTCAGAACTGTCGCTTGCGGTACCGGGAAATTTTTGTCTGCCTTTAAAAAAGAAATTTGGGACTGATCAAAAGAATTGGTGTTCATCCCGCACGACACACCGACCACCAAGCCGATTTGCACGAGGACGTCGCCGAGCCGTCGCTCCTTTCTCGTGGCTGAAGACATCGCTCGCGCAAACGTCAAGCACCCCACGAAGTGTGTACTTCGAGTTGAATATGCACGGGTACGATTTCTTTACTAAGTTCGAATGTCGCCAATGCGTGGTGCTTCCCAACTTTGAGCCGGGAGTCCTTTTGCTGGAGGAAAAGCGACAGCAAACTTAGCAACTTACAGTTTATGGGCTGCATTATTACTGGGGGAAGAGTTACCCCAGTAGCTCAGTGGAAAGACGTCCGCTTCACACGCGGCTGGACCGGGTTCGATCAACACCACCTAGACAGAAGGCCTCCGCATGGTTTCCTCTTGCTCTATGAAACGTCATCACAGTCGGATCGCGCTCGGTCGGCTATTGGACCCGAGCCCGACCTTCGACGCGCTGATTGGCCACGAGCCGCAGCCGAACACTGACGCAGCACTCGTTCCCAATCTCTCGCCTCGATCGATCTGACTATGATGACGCGTGTGGAGGCCTTCTGTCTAGGTGCTGTTGATTCAATCCCCAATAATAGCGTACCTTTTTTTTTTTCAAACATGTTGCGACGTTTAGATTTCTTTTTTTTTTTTACAATTATCACTGAAGAAACATACAAAAATAACAAACAAAAGCTTTGGACGAAACGTCGCCGAACTAAATGGTATGGGATTTCCTTTTTGACACCTGAGAGCTCAAAGTAATCACTTTCCACAAAATACAAGGAGCATACAAATCAGGTAGCGTCCGCTCTCCGATGTGCCCGTAAATGTTCTACAGGAGTTGCAGGCAGCCATTGGTCCCGATCCCGTTGATCATTCGGGAACTCTGTCGCACAATGCCACTTTTTTTCGGACGCAGGACATGTGAGTTAGCTCTTCACGCAACATCTTGGGTGTATCCTTTTTGGAGCCGATCACGGGAATTCCACCAGGGGCTCTCACTACTCATCTCTAACTCGTCAATGTACAAAACAACTCATCTTGAAGTACAGAACAGCGAGTGGAGCAAACATAACTGCAAAAGAATCGCACGGCATACAGTTCCCGCTACGCCGCCACGCACGTCGTCTGCTACGCAGAGGGAAAAAAAAAAGAAAAAAGAAGCGCATGGTGCGGGGGTAGCCACATGACTTCCGCCCACTCCCACTCTCCCCTCTACACTTCTCCGACCTCCATGCGCGGGTTTCGGTTTCGGTTTCGAGCAGTTGCGTCTTTTGGCTTTATTAAGAATATACGCTACTCTGCTGCAAAATATTAACTGGTTAGTCCACTGACAACCATAATAAAGCACCTGGCGAAAAATGAAAAACAAAACTTGGGGGGTGTCAGTGTCCCTTTAATTAAGGCAGTCTTCGCGTGCTGCACCACTTGAGTGATAGCTTAACCAAGGCTTCCATTCAGAAGACGTATTTCTGAGGACACTAGCTCGGAGAGAATATGTTGTGCGTGGGCTGCCATATGAGTAACCGAAGGATGTCTTGCGCATGCGCTAGCAGCTTGGGCTAGAGCACAACTTTTCATCGCAGTATGCTTATGCGCCCGTTACCTGCTGCCATCTTTATTCAGACAAGGTTCATGGTGAAAATTATTTTCGTTTCTGGCCTTTTACATTTATCTAATGTGCTTAAATATTCAATTATGATTTCGTGCTGCACGCAGCGGACAGATTGCGAGCCATGATTATTTCAGACATCGCTTGTACTGCTTTATAGTGTATAGGGCGTTGTTTTAGACCATGCATATTTGTTTTAAAAGAGCCGTGGAAACTACACAAATTTTGTCTCTGCAGGGAAGCTATGGGGACATATCATAGATGTATAATCGTGACAGTGAATCGACCACTTAGCTAAACATCTTCAGAAACTTTTCTATTAGTAAAAATAAACGTCTGGTTTCGATTAGAAACCTGCTGAGCCTCATAGAAAAAGAGAAAGAGAGAGACAACCCCTAGTCCGTGTCGTCGTTCTGAGCGTTACAATAACCATCGCATCAGTCAATTTTAGGCAGACTAGCAGCACGTAAGAACTACAGTGAATAGCCAAAATGGCAACTAGTGCAGCATGCACAATTTTACCGGTGCGATGACGCGTCCAGGTGGTTTTTCCGTGTCTTACCCACTTTTGTTTGTGTTTTTTGTTCATATTTTTTGTGCCGTTACTTTTGTGCTTGTTGCTCGAGTGGTAAATTTAGCGCACTAGTCCTCAACTCACGAGCTTAATTTCTCTAAAAATTAAAATTTAGTACTTTTTGATGCAACTCAGCATGCTTGTAATTGATATCATGGATTTATTTTCAATATTTAAAAAGTTAAAGTAAATAATGTGGTTAGGTATTTTATCCATCGTAACGATTAGTCCTCTATATTATGTCCCCTTGGCCGTATAACTCTCCGGAAGAGACGATGTTAATGTAAATTTTACGGCTTTAAAAGAACAAATCTCTAAATCCCTAAACACACACTGTATACAACCTGCTCTGTTACACTGCTCAAAACTGAGTCAGTGGTACACACATTAGGGGGTATTTTCTTTAGCTAGACCTGAAATTGCCAAAGATTGACACCCACGTTATGATTCTTTTAACCCTGGTGCTAACTCTAGGGGCCACAAGAAAAAAGTCGAAGTTGGTTAATCAGCTAAAAACTTAACGAAAACGTTTTAGTTAGCTTTTTTATGTTGATTTTTGGAGGCATGTTGCAGTTGGTGAAATGACACTCGACCTTATTATGCTGCAACAGTTACTTGGAAGTTTGATTTCAACATTCGTAGTTGGCACTACTACACGAAAAAGACCGTCAGCGTCCACAGCTTAAAACCCGAAGAGGGCAAAAAGAGCCTGTGATCTTGGTCCCTTTACTCTGCGCTTAGGTTCCACTGCTGACGTCACTTACGGCTTGGACACGTAAGTTACGGAAGGATAGACGTCACGGGCGCCTATTGCTCGTTGATCAGTTCTGTTTCAGTTAAGTATAAAATATAATTGCTACGATTCAAAGATTGAGATGTTGGAGAACGAGTCAATATGCATTCTATATTAGTCATCGTCTTCTTACCGCAGACTTGAATTCCCTTACGAGGCTTGCTTCAAAAAAAAAAATATTTTTATTAAATTGGGAAATTCTTCAACCTCGTTCTTTTAACTGCGTCACTTCTGCACATTTGGCATAAACAGGTGTCTAGAAACCAAGCAGCTTTAAGTAGTACTAAACAATAGCGGACAGACTGTCTAAGAAAAAAGTGAGATACGAGATTCTTCGTTATTATTTGGATGAGTTGGGAACACCGTTGTTTTAATTTGGCGAATTCGCAATATTTGCAGCAGTGGTTGCGGGTAAGATTAGCTAAAACACAGTCCAAAAATGTTTAGTCTCAGCTTTGTGGGAAGTTGTAGATCCGGTATTACAAAAATTCCGGATATTTTGATGTGTTATACAATTCTACTCCACAAACATGCGTACAAACAAAGCTCCCGAGCGCTTAAAACATCATACAAATGAGTTTTTACGCCTATTCACTTCTTTTGAGTTGAATTTAAACATTTCAATATTCCTCGCACTGTGATATGAAGCTTTTGGTTGTTTCTAACTCACCGGGGATCAAAGCGGTGCTTTTGAAAATAATTGAAAATTTAAATAATAAAAATTTCATAAACCTCTTCAAGCGAATTGTTTTGTGCATGTTTATACAGCCGGAACTTAGTCTGCCCCAGTGAGCGTCTGGTGTCTCAGCTGTAAATGAGCGATTTAGCCAATGCGGTACAGCCGCGAGCCTGGGGTCTTTAACGTGCACCACGCAGTAGTGATACACGACCGCACGCCTGTACGATGCTCATCCAGATCGAAACGGGCAGGGGTGGGGATTGAACCAAAGATTTCTGGGTTCTGCAGCGGTAGCTTTCGCTTCACGTGCTTCGAGCTGGAGTGCGCTAGCCGCACACCAACTCGGTGTGCTGCGTTTTATTGATGTGATAGGTAATTTGTATATGTCCAGTTTTCCACGATAGCTCCCACATTCAATACATTTTACTAAATATGACAATACTTATTTCGCGGCACTCATGACCTGCTGTTATAAAGTGCCACATTGATTACCAAGTGAGCATCGTATCGTAACCAATCAGATTCCTCATATTGGTCGTTGTCAGGGCATTTTCGATACTGGTTATCCTTCTTGAACCTGCGAACTAGCTCAACTTATCCCTTGTTCATAAAATGAAAAGATTTTCGCTTTCCTATTTATTCTGGATGTAGGATTTGCTTTACATCTGACCATATTGATTAATATTTAGACTTAAGAATATTCAAGATATTTATGGAACATATTTCATAAGTAGATAAAAACATTTAACACGTTGTTAATGCTCCCAAAGTGGTGTCTTCGTAAATCTACATCCCCATCGTCAATGTGTTGACCACTAATTTTATAAGGAAGTTAATATATTCTTCATATGTAGTTGTACTAGCACATTTTAAGTTCGTTTTAAGAACATTAAATACAAATTATAAGATGGTCAATGCATATAGTTTATAACATCAAAATATTAGGAAGCAAAGAGACGAGCAATTGTTCCTCACATTGCTTTGGGATAAACATTGTTTTTCGTAAGCAAAGGTTCTAAGATTCATGTTTTCTTTTGTAATGTGAATTCTGAGGTGCATCGCTTTTAAGTTAACTAAACTTTAATAATGTTTAAATGACCTAATACTATGGGGTCAAATACCTTCTCAATTGAATATTTATGAAATAAGTGATGAGCCTGTTCACCTTTTGAGAGTTTCTTGTGTTTTTTTTAGCAAACTATGGGTATATTTATATATTTGCCTCAATAATCGAATAAATTGAACTTACGTGTTGAAAATAATGATAAAAATATTCCCTGGCGAAGGGGAACAAGAGGGACAAGGGACAAACATAGATCTCCAAACACAGCTAGGTGACTGGTGAGCGACCGAAAAGACCGCCTGGTCCGGGTATCGAACCCGGGACCTCTCCATTACAAGTGGAGCGCTCCACCAACTGAGCTAACCAGGGGTTAGACGTCAGCAGAGCAAGCGGGTTTTATCAGCTCCCACCAGTCTAACACCAACAAGGGTGAAGCTTGCAATTTAATGTTATAATTATAATGCAATTAAATGCAAAGGGGCAAGCGAGCTGGACAATAATGATGAAAATATTTTCATCATTATCGTCCAGCTCGCTTACCTATTGCATTTAATTGCATTATAATTTGAACTTACGTGTTTGTAATTTGTGAGAAAACAACAAAGTTTAAGTGTATTTCCCGAAGTTCATTAGCCTGGTGCCTCGAAGAGTAGGGCGGAAGCGAATTATCTGGAACAGACCTCGAACTGCCGATAATAGTGAAGACGTCCGCTGTAATAAGGAAAACTATAAGCAGTTTCGTAGGGTAGTTTATAAAAAAGAAAGAATTAACCACTCCCAACAGTATGTGGTTACAGCACGATGGGAATATGCTTCGTTGCAGATTGCATTTTTTTATGATCTGTTGCAGTTTAAAGAAGTGGGACAGGCTTCTCCAGCCAATTCTCCGCTCTTTTAACTTTAGAGGAGTGAAAGTTTGGCTGGATATGAATTCACTCGCTTTCTCTCACCGCTCGCCCTCCAAAAGTGAAAAAAGGGAGAAGGGGGAGGGGGGGGGGGCATGGTTGCGAGAGCAGCCAGTCGCCCTTTTCTTAACTTGCCACATTGTACAGTTCTAAATGCCCGAAGAATAGTAAACTTCGTTTTATTAAATATCATCTTGACTTCTCAGTAACGAGTGCAGAAGCTTCTGCGAAACAACCCATGTTTTTAGAATTCGGTTTTATATGAATATAATATTTACTTGATTACAATAACAATCTTATTTACGGAGCTCTATTTGCGTGTCCTAAATCGTTTCGCGTGTTTTTAATCATAGGTGAAGTGCCGGGTTTTTGTTTCGAAGGGGTCAAGCCTAGCACCGAGACGCATAACTCCAAAAAGTGGACTTACAAATCGTCCAGCGGACAATGTGTCCAAACTCAGTGGAATGGTGGCGTTAACGGCAGCATAAATATATTCAATTCACGTCATGATTGTGAAGAAAAGTGTAAAAGTAAGTGCGCCTTCAATCATTCAAAGCAACGAAAATAACTTTGGAAATAAAATTTTTAACGAATGTCTTTAACGTAGACAGCACGACACTGTTAGTGCAGAGAAGTGATGGCTTGTTACATCTGTTTTATCTTTTACAAATGTACGCGCGTAATCAAAACTACTTTTGTGGTTGGAACTGCTCATACATAACCTAACCTAACGTATCCCAAGGGATGGAGTTTGGTGCCAGTCTATATTCTTTCAAAATAAAATCTGAATAACCACCGTCGTCGTGTTCCTGCCTATAGTGTCGCTCAGTGTACGCAATAAAGATTGTTTCATTTTAACACATTAATCTGGTTTCCCGTTGGCGTATATAGTTATACTTTGCCTCGTATTCCATTTGAGTACCCGCTTATAGCAGCCTCGATCGCTTAAGATTAAGACAACAATAATAAAAAAACAAAAAAAAAACAGGAAAGAAAAGAAAAAGGCTCGAGGTACACCTTAGCACTTGTTATGAGTTGTGAATGCGAAAGCATGCGCGGCCGCTCCTCCACTCCCTTATTTCGTCTGCGGCGTACTTGCGTCGACAGTCGAGCGCGCGCGCTGTCCTCGCCACGCTGACCTTGGGTGTGGAGCGGTGGAGCCGCTGCCTCGCGGATAGGCAGCGCCTTTGGGCGGCGCTAATTCAAACTGCCGCGCGGCGGCTTCATATCACTGCCGTTTTGCGTGGCTTTCTGCGTGGTTTCAAAGCTGGGATGCCTCAGATCCCGGCTTCGGTAATTTATCTGCCGTTTTGCTGCGACTAATGACGTCGTCTCGCTTCATGAAACTGTTAATGCTTTCGCATTGAAAAAAAAAAAAAGAAAAACAATTCACGTATACGAGAATTTAATTGAAGCTAAACAAAAAAAGCAAATTATGTGTTCCTAGTCTATACTTCGTTTCACTGCGTCCTGCTGAAGCAGAACCTACAAGAGCTAGCGCCACGCTTTGATCGTACACTCCGTGCTGGAGCGGTCGTGTAATAAAATTGTCATTCAAGACATCTGGCTTGCACTTGTAGCTTGAGCTTAGATCACAATTATGGTTAAATTGAGCGTAGACAGCCTGAGGTCGGTCTGCAATTGTATGACTTTACTGATTCACATTGTGTAAAAAAAAGAAATTCCGGTGTCTTCCGACTGTTTCGCTGGTATCTTTAATGTGCATCATGCCGTAGCGACACACGACCGCAACGTCGATAGGCGGGACATACTTAATTTGCGCTATCGTGAAAACGTACGGCTGCTTTGACAACTATGCATTTCGATTAGGGCTGGGAATTTGATAAGCTAACCTAGCGATTAATCAATTAATGCTTTAATCGCGATTAATTTTAAACGGTTAATCGGTAACATTTTGACCAACCGAAAGAAAGTAAAACTTTGACGCTTTCCCCACGCTGACGTGGACGAGGACAGCTGCGTGAACGTCAAATTTTAGGTAAAAATTTCACCTAAAGTATACTGTAGGGGAAAGATTTGTCAGTCTAGACAAGTGCAAAAGGTTCCACACATCCCTACCATTTCTAAGCAGCGGGAGTATCTGTTAGCGCAGCAAAGACTATCGTAAACAATAAAAAGAGGTCACTTTTGCCGGAAATTTTCAACGAACCCCTTTGCCTGATGCACCTGAAGCATGAGAGTGTGTAGCATCTGTGATTATGAGTGTCTTTGAATTGTTCTCAAATACACATCGAGGTTTCATCATAATCAAAATTGTGTATTGCGCCGTTCGTTACATTTAAGCAAAAAAATGTAACTGCGATATTTTTAATAGATGTGGAAGTGAACGAGACAGATTAATCGAAAAATTAATCAATTAAATGTTGGCGACTAGTCAGGTTAAAAGTTTTAATCAATGCCCAGCCTAATAGAACTGCAATCTCTGAATGCGATAATTGCGCTCTAAAAATGCCTGCACGTCTACTTACCCGCAAAACACTCGAAGAGCCAATCTTTACAAGCTACGAAATCAGCTCAGAAAATGATGAGGCGGAACATTTGTTTAAACCTCAAAATGGAGTCTGCGCTGTGGCATTACGCAATGCAAAGCGCATGCTTGTATTGCGTAATGCCACAGCCCAGACTTCATTTTGAGATCTAAACAGATGTTCCGAGTCATCATTCGCTGAGCACATTTCGTAAACCGCAGAGATTGGCTATTTGAGTGTTTTGCGGGTAAGAAGACGCGCAGGCATTTCTAGGGATCAGTTCTGGGCCCGCTTCTTTTTTCTATTTTTGTGAACGATGTGTGTAAGCAGATTGTAAACTCGTCTTTTTTGCAATATGCTGATTATATTAAGATATTTAAGGAGATTAGAACTATCTCAGATTGCAAGTTTCTACAAGAGGACATAAACTCATTTAGCAAATGGCGTTCACTGAACGGTCTCCTACTAAACAGCTCGAAAACCAAGGTCATGTCCTATAGTCGCAAAACGCAAACGACGTGTTTCCCTTACAGTGTTCGCTCAGACGTATTGTGCCGTTCTAGGGAAGTGCGGGACTTGGGAGTGCTTTTTGACTCCTCCTTGAGATTTGATAGCCATGTGGCTCGTATAAGTACCTGCGCCTTGCGCGCGCTCGGTATCGTTTGTTGAACGACTAGAGTATTTAAAAACCCCACAACGTTTGTAACCCTGTACCGCTCTTTGACAAGGTCTCAACTCGAATATGCATCTCCTGTATGGAATGGCAGTTGTAAAACTACCCTCCTAAGGCTGGAGCGAGTGCAAAACAAATTTTTATCTATTTATCGATATCGATATCTGCGAGATGAAACATCTCTATCAAAGGGTAACAATGTATTGGACGTCCTACAAATGAACAGCTTATATCACCGTCGAGAAAAGGCAGATCTGGTTTTCCTTTTCAAAGTCCTTCATGGTATGGCCGACTGTTCAGAACTGCTCTCACAGATATCTTTGCGAGTTCCTCGGACAGCGACCCGTTTGACAACGTCGTTTTACTCTCCTCGAACGTTAAATATCTTGGACCCGATGTTTCGTATGTGTCGGGCATATAATGGCATTGGAAGTGATCTTGATATTTTTTGTGTGACTGAATTTGTCAGATCTTTCAGATTCTTGTATGGGTCTCTCTGAACCTGTCGGTGATTATGATGTTATTATATATTATTTTAAGAAGGTATATTCGTTGTTGTGGTAGTCTTCCTACTCTGCGTTCGGACCCTGTGTTCCGTTCTTGCCTTGTTGTGTATATCGTATCTTTGTGTCAGCATGCGTTATATGTATCATATCTTTTACTCAATGTTTTGAGTTTTTTATGTTTTTTTCCTACTTTTTTGTAGTGTGTAAGTTTCGGTGTGCCAGCACCAAGACCGCATGGTCGTTCCTGGACACCTAATAAAAATTATTCTTGATTCTTGATTCTAGAGTGCAGTTTTTCTTATCACCGTTTTGCTGCAGCGTGTAACTATTCGTTGGAAAGTGAAGATTTTTATTCTATTCGTTAAAAAGAGGGAAACACGAAGGAAGAACAAGAGTGACACAGCTTGTCGAATTGTTGGTCTTTCGTGTTTCGTTTTAGTGTGTGTACCACTATACAATATTAAATAATTAAGACCTGCGTTGATCCATTGTAGCAGTTTGTTTTGTGGCAACACTTTTTTGTATTTCTCTTTTTCTCCCATAAATACTCGGTAGCTGCTAGCAGCGTTGCAAAAAAGTTGACACCGATTTATAAACCTTTACAAGTTTTAAAATCGGCGCTAATTTCAACCCTGAATCATTGAGCGTTCTAAACACTACATGAGAAAAATCAACGGTTACTTGCCTTGTTTTATAAACATAAAAAAAAAATCGGAGATGGCTATAGCGTGGCTTTTATGCATTTTATCTAAACTGAACCTCCTACCCCCCCCCCCCCCCCCCCCCCTTTTCCCCGCTTCTTCTTTTCCTTTCCTAGACGTCTTTTCTCTCGTCTTACATGTGCGGAGGCATTTCTTTTTCTTTTTTCAGTACCAGATCTCGGTCCTTGCGGAAAAAGTGTTACGACAAAGCATTACTGCAAACAAACCGACGACCAATATTATCTTTATGATACCAAGACAGATTCATGTCGAGTAATGGAACCGCATGAGTGCCCACATGGACAAGGGAACATATTTACATCTTTTTTTCGATGCAACCAGCGATGTGGAAGTAAGATAACATTTCTAAATGTACTAGATAATATTGGTAGTGTGATACATTTCAAGGGTTTCTTGATTTACTGATTATTAAGTACAAATCTCCGAGTATAGAAGTCAATTATTAACAGCGAAGAATCAATGCACTTCAGATCCAGAAACGAGATGCATTATATCATACGTTCCCTTGGATATGACTTGATTATATCTTTTACCTACTATAAGCTTTTAAATCACTTATATTTACCATATTTGAAAGTTTCAATTTGAGCATGCACAAAACAATCCGTATATTTTTAACTAAAAAAAAAACTGTGTTACTAATGCTGCAAATGTATTTTCATTACCACAGAGCCTACATTAGGCGCATGTTTAGCCGTTCTTTGCTTCATAATAGACCAATAAAGGGTTCAATAAACTCTCAGAAAAACGTACCATAATTCAACAATTCCAGCCAAAAAATAAAAGTCGCAATCATACTCAGAACGAGATGTTATGCCAATGGCTGGTTTAACGAAAAAAAGTAAAAACAAATTCATGTATTGTTTTACGACTTGACTACAGCCCGTTTTATTTTACCTCAAACAACTTTAAATAACAGTGCACGGGTCTTGCCAATAATGCCCGCTTTTATAATGCAACGTTTAAGCGGTTCTGAAAAGTGAGACTGCTTAGCACCAGAATTCTATAAGATGGGCACATCTATGGTGTAATCATCTCTATGGCTGACATAAATTATGGCTACCAGAGTTTATTGCTTACAAACAAATAAAAATAAAAATACTGGAAATAATGTCATTGTGAAAATATTATCTAGATAATTTATCACTCGCTAAGGCATATGTTGTGATTCCCTTACTTTAAATTTCAATACGCCCGTTCGCAGAAACTTTAGCTTGGTGTTTTATATACTGGTTGCTGGTTTATTTCTTGTTGTGGCCAAGTGCTGTCGCTGAACTTATAATGTCAAGAGTTTTAAATGTTGCCTTGTTTTGCTCCTTGCGTTCATAATGCAGGATTTATAAAGGACAAATGTAAAATGCCGATACAGAATATGACTACCTGCGTTACTTTAGAGCCTCGATTTGGATACAATAAAGATACAAAAATGTGTGAAGAGTTTTTAGGGTGTGACGACGGTGGAAACAGTTTTCCCAAGGCAAAACAATGCTGGGAAACATGCACGAGTAAGTCAGCCCTAGTACTTTCTTCGAATAGCGTGTTCGTAATAAAAAAGTAGTGTGAAGAACATACGCACACAGGCGCTTTGCTTCCAATAATATTTCATAATATATTCTATGTTAAATGGTTTACTAATTGGTCAGTGCGTATTGCAGAAACCCGAGCTGTTCGCGTGTTTGAAATTGTGCAAATTAATTTTTACATTTTCATGTTTCGCTTAAATTTTCCAAGTTACAAATATGTATACTATTCTGCCATTTTAAAATCATCCAAAATTCTTATATCGTGAAGCGTACGCTCATGAATTTAAAAGGTACTCTGCTTCCATAGTTTGCCATTCAGAATGCTTGAACCTTCCGCACGTTCCTATAGCGTTCCTATAAGTTCAAATAATTCCCTGTTTATATTGTTTCTCGTGAGCATGAACGACGCCACCAATCTTTTAATAATAAAAACATTAAAATACACAAAATGCTGTTCAAACAAACAGCAATGTAACAAACGCTTCTCGCTTTTATCTATGATATCCCTCTGCGTTTTGTTATTGAACGCTATAACCTTCAAAAAACCGCAGTTTCTCTCTTGCCAACATGAGATTTCTGTCAGGCAATATAGGAACGTGAAAGCCTAAAGAAACTAAGTTTTAACCAAACTTTACATTCTTTAGCCACAGCTTGAGAATCTTGGTTTTAAATTGCTGAAAAATTTCCGAAGTTAGGCTACAGTTATAGGAACAAAGGACAACAAATACAGCTGATTTTTTCTTGTCTTCTGTATTTCATTTCAAACGCGCTCCATTTTGGATACGTATGCTTCTCTACCCGGTTATTCTGTTAACACTTGACATCTGTGGCTTATGCATCCACATCAGTTTATGCTAATCATGTCGTTTGGCAACTGAAACTGTGGAGCAGAAATGAAACTTCCAGTCGAAGGAACTTCTGTGTCTGTTATTTCGACTAAATGTTGTTTTCCTTTCCTGTGCCAGACTCTCAGGTCTTAAGCGACACGATTAACAACATCCAACTCGCCTTCGCACTTAGTCTTTTCAATTTATTCCGTCGTTTATTTAATACTCCCCTTAATTTTTTCCCGTTATGCCCAGAAGTATTTACATGATAATTTCACATAACAGTGAAAGAACAATCTTAGCGAACTAGCGCAGATTTTCCTCCGCGAATTTTTCTACGGAAAGTCACTTACGCAGGTAATGTGCCTGACCGCATCTTTGTAGGGAAGGAAATTTACCGTACCTCCCCCCCCCCCAAAAAAAAAAAAGAAAAAAAAAAAGAATCAATTTTTTCGCTTTTTTAATATTCTCTTCGACGGCAACTCCAAAGTAGCAGCGCTTATCCCTAGCACTACAGGTAGGATAAATGTGGTGAAGATACTTCGACAACTCGGATACCGCGGGCTCTGCCTGACACCATCATGGGACATTGACATTTCCTGGACAAACACTGAAGTTGTGACATCCGCCTCCCTTTGGCTCGGTTACTGCCGCCGTGTCTACTGTCGTTCCCGGCTGCGGTTCTCATCCCTCGCCGCGAAGTCAACAGTGGCAAAGCATTTCTCCTCTTTATTTTCGCAATTTTCTTCTCCATCAAATGTTATCCTTCCGTCCCCCCAAAAACTGATGACCGTCTGGCCTTTTGCTCCGACTCGCACGTTAGTATTTCTTCGGATGCAATTCTTCTATCACTATCTCTCTCCCTCTAACTCAAGTTACGAAACTTACGATGTACTGAAAGAATCCCAACTATAACGTAACCCCTTTTAGTAGAAGTGTCCTTTATAGCGGGTGTTTGCATTCTCGTTGATTAAAACAATTTCATGCTTATTTATAAAAACCGCCTCCATTTATGTGCCTAAATGCTCAACACTTTAATACCCTTCCCTTCAGAAAATCCACCAAGCCGTTGTGCGTTAAGTCCCGACGTTACCCCTTGGTCTGGAGCATTCAGACGATATTATTATGACAGTAATGCAAACAGATGTTTCCCTAAAAGTCAATTTGGTCACTACGTTTCCGGAAAATCAAATATATTTCGCACCTGGGAAGAATGTAAGAAGGCTTGCATCGGTAAGTTTGGTATACTTTTACCACACGTTATATATGCTCTAGACGTTGATGTGAAAATCAGAATAAGCATATACATTAAACACACATCACTGTGGTCACACTGCATATTATTGTTCGTTGTAGCGCATGCATAAATTTGAGGCGCGGTATATAAAAAAGGCAGCTCCCTCTAGAAAAAAAAAAAAACACTGCAGTCAAATTTCTAAGATATGATCAATCTTTTACGATATTATTCCCGACACCATAGGGAAAAGCTGGGAGACGCATGCAACCCGCCATAGGAGGGGATGAATTTACCATTAGCAAATGACACAGAACCCTTCCAGATCACGAGCGAGCAAGTTGTAATTGGCGATTTTGATCGCGTGTGTTTCAACCTGCTTTCACAATTTTGTGGTCAGACCTCCATGGACAGCAAATAATCTGTCCGATCAATGCTAGCGAGTGAGCGTACTGCGAGAGTTGTGCGTTCTAGCGGCTATGCCACGTCCATTTCACAGAAATCACCAAAAGGCCATGAAGCAGACCACCAAGACTGTTGTTACTTTAAGCGTTTTCGTCTTGACTTGGTACCATAGGCGCTTTTTTTGTCTTGTCAGTGCGCGTTCATGCCGTAAAAAAAAAAAAGCCGAGTTTACAGTGGATGCGTTTAGGGCGTTCTGAATCGAGGAGCTCGCATTAAAACAAATCGAAAAAGTAGCGCGTGCACGTAAGTACACTCTAAAAAATGCCTGCGCGTCTACTTAACCGCAAAACACTCAAAGAGCCAAGTTCTGCGATTTGTGAAATCACCTCAGCAAATGATGCAGCGGAAGATCGGTTTAGAACTCGAAATGAAGTCTACGCTGTGGCATTACGCAATGCAAGCATGACGCTTTGCATTGAGTAATGCCACCGCGCAGACTTCATTTTGAGGTTTAAACACATGTTCCGCCGCATCACTTGCTGAGTTGATTTCGTAGATTGCAGAGGTTGGCTCTTCGAGAGTTTTGCGGGTAAGCAGACGAGCCGGCATTTTTCAGGGATGTAGGTCAAACATTTCCTGAATTTATATTTTAATGGAGACGTTTACCTTGTAAAAATTAAAAACGTAGCTCTCATAAAAAAAATATTTTTGTGGTTTTTAAAGCAGACGCCGATGCAAACGACCAAAGTAAGCCAGAGATGTGCCTTGAGCACACTACTGTGTCTTCTGATTTGGTTCAGGGCCGTTAACAGAGAAAGCTCTTAGAGAGAAGCTCTTGGGCAAAATGCACAAGTGTCCTTGTAGAAACTGCCGATGACATCATCAATGGTGTGATCGCTTCCAGCCACTGCCGCTGAGTCATGATACAAATATTTACGTCTGCATGTTGAGCTGGATCCGACCACGCGACCACCTTGATCATTCACCATTTTCTCGAAACTCGCCATGGTTTCCTCGAAGAATAACCGCCCTACCAAATGAGCAATTGACGATTCTTCTATTATAATAATGAACATTCGATTTATTTTTGTCTTCGACAGCAGTTCCACATGTCGGGAGCCTCAAACGTAAACGCGATGCCAGAGCACAGCAAAAGGCAGTGAGCGGGTGCTGGAGGCCAAGCCTTCAAGAGAGGCGCCTTGCAGTTCTCACCTTCTCGGCGACTATAGAATGTGTCGGCTGCAGCAATACGCCCCAAAAGGACACGTTTTCCGTCTCCTCCCCCCCCCCCCCCCCCCCAAACATCATCACTAGTGGATCGACTTGGCGAAGCCTACCTTCCATCAGATCCGTCGACAGAGCGTCTTGCAGCGACCGCCGATAGGGGTAGGTCGGAGATCCACTAGCGATGACGTCATGCGCAGGCCTTGTATTTTAACAGGTATTGGTTGTTCCTGACACCCCCTTGTGCCGCCGAATGCGCACGACCATCAGGGCAGACGATCTTTCACTTTGTTTCGAATATTCCTAAAAATGTTGGGAAGTAGAAAAAAGATGCACTGGAAACGGGAGCCAGGGACGTTAAGTTGACGAATGATACCGGTTTTCACTCCGACTCCGCTGTTATATGTGAGTTGTTTCGGTCATACTTTTCAAGCGTCTTTATTCATGATGCACAATCTGCAAACTCACGTACACAAGCGCTTAACGGTGCTGACTTTGCGAAGACTGATAGCGTCCTCGGCCCCTTCAGAATTGATCATGCAGCAGAGGAAAAATGCGTTAGACGTCTCAAACCAAAACTTTCGTCCGGTTTTGGTACCTTACCATCATTTTTTGTTAAAGGCTGTTCGGATGCTTTTGTACCTGTCTTGACTTACCTTTTTAATTCGTGACTTGAAAATTGCATTTTTTCCAGAAAAATGGAAGTCAGCAGTTGTAGTGCCGATTTTCAAATCAGGGAACTCGTCAGATGTTACAAACTATATACCTGCGTCAACACTGTCACCATTTTCAAAGTTTTTTTTAGAGCGTAGTTGAAATGCATCTTTCTAGTCATTTCAAATTAATTTTAAACGAATCACAACATCGCTTCGTTAAGTCTAGGTCCCTGGAAACAAACTTGGCAAACTATTTCAGTTCCGTTGGTTCTATCGTTGCCAACCGTGGTCCGGTCGACGCCATTTATTTTGATATCATCAAGGCATTTGACCTTGTGCATCATAAACTATTACTTTACAAACTGTAAGAATATGGAGTGTATTTGCCGTTATGTGTGTGGTTCAAAACATACTTGATTGGCCACGTTAACAGAGTTCGTGTTAGCGGTGAGTTATCGAGATCATACATATGTCCTTCTGCAGGTGTTCCCCAGGGTTACACCCTGGGACCTTTGCTGTTTAATATCTTTGTAAATGAAATTTATCGTTGTGTAAAACATTCCAAATTGCTCCAGTTCGCCGATGACATTAAAATGTACAGACATATCAAATCGGATACTGACTGCTAACTTTTGCAAAAAGACATATCGGCAATCTCGTTATAGCGTGAGATGCAAAAGATGTGCTTAAATAGGAAAAATCGCCTGTCATTTCTTCATCACGCCGAATATGTGTTCTCATTTTTTCGTATAACCTAAATATTGATCCACAACGTCGAGTGGATTGTCTATGAGATTTGGGCGTCTATGTGGATTCGACCCTCAGTTTTGATGCACATTTGTCAAATTTTGTGAGTCATGCTTTCGACGTTTAGGTTTGTTTTCGAGAATAACCCGTGATTTCAAGAAGCCCTCGTGCCTCGTCAAGCTTTGCACCTCTATTGTGCGTTAAAAACTTGAGTTGGGCTCCGTGGTCTGGAACTGTTTGAGTATGGCAGGCTCTGAGAGGTTAGGACATGTTCAGAGGATGCTGGCACGCATTGCGTACGACCGTTATTACGGTCGCCGGATTTTTTTAGTCAGGCGTCAATGTCACACAGCATGAATTTGCAGGCATTAGTAGCTCGGCGAAATTTTGGAGATTATGTATTTTTGCACAAAGCGGTACATGCAACATTAAGTTGTTCTGAACTTGTGTCTCTGCTCTCCTTATCCGTACCACACGTGAGCACTTGCAACCCCAACACGTTCCATGTGCAAGACCTTTTGTTCACTTTCCCCCATGTTGCGTATTCAAAATAGTTTTAGTACAGTAAGCGCGGACCTTGATGTCTCCGATAGTGAACGCTCGCTAAAAATGCTCTAAGCATTCAGCTTTGTCAGGATCAATGTTTTTGTGTCTCCTTTTTTCTGCAAAGAGTGTATTTCTGTGAACCACCATACAGGCTTCGGCTGTTCGTGGACACAAGACAGAAAGAGTAACGACTCTGCAATTTTGTTTATAATACCTTCAAATATCCACTAACATTTTGACGCACTTTGCTTAAGGTGATCTCAAGTTTCTTTACTAACAGTTTTCCCTATTCTCTTATTTATAGCATATCATGAACCTGGAAAGGAATATTAAAATAGAAGAGATGACGAAAGGCGCCCTCTATTAATTCAATAAATATCATAATTTGAAAACCCCCACTTTGACGTCCTATGTATCACCAAATCTTAAAACTCAGCCAATGTACAATAAACGTTCTCAAAAATAAAGTTCGTATATTCTTTATTGATTTTATAGTTTGTTTTCTGTTTCTTACGTATTGTACCTATGCTTGGTAAACTCGGGAAGCAAAAACCTTGAGTGATACTGTGCACAATCTTGCAGCAGGTATAAAAATGTTTTCTTAAAATATATTTTGTAGAAATCAACATTTTGAAGTACCGACGTGTGTTTGATAACCCAGAAGCTATTGTGAAGACATTGATATAATATGTTATCGAGTCTGATCTTTTTTGGCAAGGAATCAATGGGTTGAAGGAGAAGAAATTTTCTTAGCAGTCGCCAATATTCATGGGTAGTTTGAGGGTATTCATTGATTACTTAATTTTGAATTTTCTTTTTTATTGCTCCTCGCTCCTCTTATCATATTCAGAAATTCATAATTTAAAAGTGGAAAGCGTAATTCATGTGAGCTATGGATTCGTGCAACCCTTGTTGTCGACAGTTGATGAAATATTGGATACAACGTTTTATGCGAAGTTCAGTCAAAAAATTTGATTACTGTATAATGATGTCTTGTCTTCTTGCTAGGAGTAATTGCTTCTATCTATTAGTAATCTTTCGATAATTTAGTTTACAAGTTCGAGATCGCAAGGAAAGTTTTGTGATGTTACAAGCATTTTTTTTTCTTTATTTGTTTCGCGGGTTTGCTGCGTAGGGGGCAGAGATAAAGGCGTGGTGCCTGACAAAGCCTCTGCCCCCTAAAGTTCAGCAGCTAAAAGTAGTTACATAATAACAGATTCTACTAAACATTATACAGTTAAAATAAAACAAGAGAAACAAGTCAAAGAAACAAGAAGAATAGACACTATATTCATTTGTTAAAAAAACTCTATAAACGAGCGCTGGTCGTAAGAAACCAAAAACAGTAACAACAAACAGTAACAACAAAAAAAACTAGAATGCAATCTTGTGTTCCTCCAACATATCAGTATCACAAGCAAGTTCAAATGAAGGAATACAATGAAAACAAATCTTTGAAATTAGCTATACCTAGTGATTGTATTCTTGGTGAAATACACTATCCAAATGAGAATTCGTTTCACTGTTAGTCAGAGCGCAGCCAACATCCCGAAATGATGAGTTAATCGAGCAGTGTGACAAGCACAACTTCACTGTATTGCCGTTCTTACGGCAATACCATGATATTAAGGCTCAGCGATTGAAGCGTAGTCAACGCACCATGACCTTGCGCTTACGTTCTGTGCGTCACTGTTGGTGCGTAGTGTATCTTATGACTGCACACCCGCTTATGGTGAAACTAGATATAAGCCTCAAGCCAAGGCCTGTCAAATATGTCTCCCAACAAATATCTTATATTTTGTCACATGTAATCAATCTTACTCTAGAAACTGGAATATTTCCTAACGAACTAAAAACTGCAAGAGTTACTCCAATCTATAAGGGTGGCGGGGAACACCTTCTACAGAATTATAGACCAATCTCGGTTTTGCCAATTTTTTTCAAAAATATTTGAAGGGGTTATAAATTCTAGATTAGAGAATTTTTTTTCCAGGCACAATGTATTAAACAAATGTCAATACGGCTTTCAAAAATCTAAATCTGCAGAGCAGGCACTTGTAGAAGTAAAGGATAAAATTTAAGCAATATTGAAAATAGATTATACACCTTAGGCTTATTCCTAGATTTTAGAAAGGCCTTCGATACGACCCAACATGACATATTACTAATTAAGCTTCAAAGGTACGGCATACGTGGGGTTGCTTTGACTTTAATAAAAGACTACCTCCAAAATCGCATGCAGTATGTTTATATTAACAACAATTATTCTAATTCACTCAAAATAAAGTACGGTGTTCCGCAAGGGTCTATTTTAGGCCCGCTCTTATTTCTTCTTTATGTGAATGATATCACAAATATTCTGGGACACCCTGAGCTGGTCATGTACGCAGATGACACTAACGCATTTTTTGCTTCAACCTCTAAAGCGGCCTTAGAATCTATGACAAATAATTATCTAGACAATCTATCAGTGTGGCTTCAAAATAATAAATTACAACTAGACGCAAAAAAAACAAAATATATAATTTTCCCTCCCGTTAATAGGTGCGACAACACTAAGGTGACAATATATTTTGAAAAGGAAATTATAGAGGAGGTTACAGAACAAAAATGTCTTGGTGTGTGGTTCAATCGGGAGTTAAGTTGGAACACGCACATAAATAAACTGAGCTCTGAGCTATCCCGAGCCATCGGATGTATTTATAAAATAAGAAATCTTATACCTTTGTGGCTAAAAAAGAATATATATTACGCTTTATTTTACTCCAAACTGTGTTATTGCATTTTAGTCTGGGGCACGACATCGGCAACCAATTATAATAGGTTGATCATCTCACAAAAAAAAAAAATCTGCGACTACTTGAAAATTATAAAGGTAAGCCTCAAGATCTCCCAACTGAACCGCTGTTCAGCAAATATGGCCTACTTAAAGTGAATCACATTCATTATTTTAAATTGTTACAGATAATACACACAAAAAAACTCTTCGCAATTCCGCCAGAAAACACAGCGTATCACACTCTTAGACATAGAATCAAACGACCTCCAAAAATACGTACCAATTACGGAAAACAAACGACATGCTTCCAAGTCGCCAAAATCTTGAATAATACGGAAGATCTAATAGATTTTAACTGCAATATACTCCAATTAAAAAAAAAAGACTAAAGACACTTCTGGTGGGCAGTGACATTGTGTTCTGATATATGTGTACTGTGTACTTATTAAATCATGTCCATATTTCACTTTTGAATTGTTAAAACATGTTTCTGACCAATTTGTTTTTATCCTTTTTTGCTGAAAAAAATTATCGTGGGATATTCGATCGATCCTGTTTTTTATTGTTTCTGAGTTGTATAGAATTTTATAGGATCTTTTCTCTAATTTTTGTGTTCAAAAATCCATGTACCCCGCACTGCAGTGTTAGAACTGTAAAGGGGACAGAGACCTCGTCAGGCATCACGCCTTTAGTCTCTGTCCACCTCCCGGTCAATCCGGAAAGAAAGAAATAAAGAAAGAAAAAAAAAAGAACTATGTGGAATATCGTTTTTTACCGCGCTTTTTTGGGAATTTTTTTAGTGTTTCAGTTTGTGAACCAGATCGCCAGAGAAGAAGCAATAGACAACAGCTTTCAACCTGCGCCTGCAGTTTGTTTCTCCTGATCAATCAAAGTTGTAGACCAACTGAACTTACTTACGTCACGCCATTGCGATGGCACTGCTGTCGGTACTGCACATGCGCATACACGTCACTCCTCCTGAATTCGGTTTCTGCGGACGCGCATTGCCCACACATGGTGTGGGCAAAGTGCGCTTGTTTCGAAACACTGTGTTGGTGTATAGACAGCAGATTGCAGGGCACCCATAGCAGTGCCCCAAAATAACGCCTTTACCACACTCAACTTCTAGCGAACTTTCCATCGCTTATCACCCCGGCGAAAAATGCTGAGTCACCGATCTGTGGAGGCATGCGCAGCGTCCAATATACCGCGCAGCAGAGCAACTACGCATGCTCGGAAGGCGTTCCACAGACCAGCACACAAAGATGGAAGCGCGCAGAAAGCGACGTTTGCAAAGGCCCATAAAATAAGGTACCCAAAGGAAAATAACATATTAAACATTAATCTGTGTTGTTTCCTGATCATAACTGCAACAGCTCTGGTTTTGAAGGTGCAAATCAATTGGCAATAGCATATACCTACTTGTGGTTCGTATTTTCGATTTGACAATACATATTCAAGCGCTGCTATATTCTGTGTTCAGCTTCCCCGGTTTCAAAGCCACTACACGCCACATATTATGTTTGTCTCTCTTCTTTTTTAGGTTGTATTCTCAGCCTTTTTTTTCCAAGTTTCCTTCCCAGACTCAGGAATATAACATCATTATCAACCGACACCAGGTGGCCTCCACCTTCACAATTTTTTTTAATAATATGCAGTTTCATCAAACAAACACTAAGCTTTATTACGGAGGTGCATATAGTTACATGCTATTCCTTCCGGGTATTCTGCGCGAAATGAGAGGTTTTATGCTGTGGAACGTCCAAACCAATATTTTAACAACAGATCTTTAAATCGTTAGTAGTTTCGTGCATCTCCAGTGGTGTGCAGTCCCATTACGGATGCACTTCGCGCCATGTGCTAGAACCAAGCGGATACATCAAAGTTCCAATATTAACAAAATCCCACGTGAGCGTTCAGACAGTTCAGGACTCACACGGTCTTCACATCGCAGACCAAGGAACTCGTGGGCCATAGGCAAGAATGCTGAAAATTACCGGTCATAGAAGCTCGTTTTCGGAAAGGTCTATTGCGGCTATTGTAACAGACAGCTGCGATCACCATCATGGGCACCATCGGCCTGCGCACGGACTCTCGTGTCCCGGGGATCGAGTGTTGGCCCACTGATTGTTTTGACGGTCGGACATGGTTCAAGGTATCTCTCGCCTAAATAAATAGTTCGTCCCTTTGACGAGGTTACGACAGATGGAGTCGGCGAAGGAGATTCGCCCAACCCATAGTCACCCGTGACCAAGGGACCGATGTAATCCCGAAACGTAGTGTTTTGTTTTTGTTTTTCTTCGAACATGGGTCGAGTGTCAAATTTTTCAGTCAGTCTACAACAGCTATCCCTGACCCATGGAAACTGAACTACCTTTTGTGAATATATAAAGGGGTACTCTGGCAATTTTCCGAGCTACCCCAACTAACTTTATTTTTAGACACAGGCTTTTACCCTTTCTGTTATACCATTTAGTATCGCGAAATTCAGAATAGTTATTGTGAAATTGGAAAGTGAAAATGATGCCAAAACCGACATTCAAATACACCAGCGCTCTTTAGTGCCGTGACGTCAGGGGAAAACAGGCTTGCAGGTCGGGGATGCGGTCTAAAAGCGGACAGTGTCGAGTATTGTTTTGCTGCTGCTGCGGGGGTGCTGAATCGAGCTTTTAAAGCTCTCATTTCACACCATGAAATTGATTATAAATCTTTTGGGAACAACGTCTACAATCTAATTGTGAAATCGTGCCTTCCCCTGACACCACTTTTTCATTCTTGCCAGTGGAGACTCTCGCTTTGGAAAACACGGTGAGGACAAAAATTGTAAATTCAATATCTTCGCAATTTTCTTCTTACTTTGGCTTGATATTTTAGTCACGATTTCAGTGGTGTTTGCCGGTGTGTTTGGCAAAGTTTTTAGTCAAATCGGGGACGATGAAGAAAACGTCCGACAGCTACATTTATGTTTATGACAACTGCAATTGATAACACTGATAAATTACCAGAAACGCAATTAAAAACTTACAGTAAAGCTTTTATTTGAAATTCACTTTACAATTTTCAACAACATTTAGCGATTACAAATGTATATTATCTGATACAACTATGCCAATACATATTATTACGCAATCATGAAAAAATGAAAAACAATTATTCAATGTTATGAATTTCTTGATTTTCTCTTTATTCAAACCTGCAACTTTGTACACCAGTTTCATTTGAAAGACTATGGCAGTCATCTCGCAGTGGGCCGACTTTGATAAGCCATCTACGACGCTGCAAGTTGACTAATATACCTGTTGCAAAACGTACAGCGCCACGACGGCAGGGGATTTTGGGAACCCTCGGTACAGATCGCGCGCTTTCTCGTTGCATCTCCGCACATCCGCGTGAGCCGCGGCAGTTACCGCCAGCAGCAGCCGTCGCAGGCATCAGCCGTGCCAGCCATCCGCCGGAACGTCGTACGTCGTTGGGTTTGTACCGTATCTGCGCTGGCTGTAGTAACCGGGTCATCTTGTCTGCGTTGTGCCGTTAGATAGAATTTGACAGACCTTCAGGTCTTGCTGTGTCACCGAACCAACTTATTTTGCACCGTAACCATGGCCAGGATCGGCTAGGTTAGGTTAGGTTAGGTTAGGTCAGGTTAGGAGTGGAGGAGGGGAGAAGGTGGAGGAAAGTAGGAGGCAAGGAGGAGAGAAGGAGGCAAGGAGGAGGAGCAGAAGAGAGGGGGAGGGGAACGTACGCAGGCGGACAAGAGGCATACCCTTTCTCCGTACGCTACCCTCCTCCTCCTCAAAAGCGGCGGTCTAATTTCGCGTTACAGAGATTTGTAAATGTCTTTCATTTTTTTATGATTGGTTTAGTCGGTATTAGCAAACATCAACTTTTGGGGATGCTTAAATGGCTTCGTCGAATCGTGGCGTCGGTTCCGCTCGCACTAAAAGTGAATCGAACGGACTATCGCCAAAAGTTCACCCCTCGAATGTCAAGAAGTTTCACTACCTTTTCATGTTAAATACTTCTGATGATCTATAAGAGGGGTCTCAAACGGGCTGCCCGGGGCCCGCAAACATCCCACTGCTGCGAGCGTACATTCTCGAGTCCCACATGAGCCATAATAGTTTTACTTCGTCGATTGATTTCGGCTCGACAAGGATCTGCTCATAGAACGGGCTCATCCATTTAGCAGTTTTCTGCTTTCTTTTGGACAAAATATTGCTTCGCCTAGGTATTTGCTTCTCAGTCCTTTCTAATCTAAATCAACCGGAACGGAAATGCCGCTACCACGCTACAAGTGCAAGCTCTTTGCTCAAGAAGGCACATCGGCTGCACGAACTCTCGCTCATCGGGAACAACTGCCAAATATGAAGCAATGTGATTGGGCTTCCAGCTGCCAGACAATACCTTGAAAATACGAGCATGTTTCTGATAATGATGCTATAAAATTGTCAGGAAAGCAAAGACTGTCATATGAAGATACATTTTTATACCTGCTAAGCCTAATGAATTCTGCAACAGGGCAAGGACGGTGCGTTTGCTCTTGCTCTGTGGGAAACTGCCAGTACGTTGGTGTTTTAAATCTTGTTATAACATCAGGTTCGAAGCCGTCGTATTCGAGACTCCAGCAAAACGGACGCCATCAAGCGGGAAAACCGGGAACCAACTGGACCAGGTCGCTTCGCGTCCCTCCGCGTCTCTGGTGGCTTTCGCGGACACGTGTTGTCGGCGTGGTGGCTAACAATGTAATCTGACGAAGGTCCGAAAATTTCTTAAGTTTGCTCGAGTGTTCATTAGTGTGGTGAAGCCTCAGTAGATTGTTTCCTTCCATCAAGTGTTTGAAATCCCTTTTACTCCACAACACACGGTCACGTGCTTTTGATTTCTTGGATGGGGAGGAATCACGGAAAAACGTTTTGATTTCTTGTCTGTCTTGAATTAGGTTCCAAGTGCCGGCTATACTTGGTAACTGATGAGTGGTTTCTTTATAAGGATGTAGAACAGTGGACTGAAGACGACAGACGATGTGTTTAACTGGAGGGAACACGAATGTTGCAGTCAAGTGAATGGGAAGGTTCGATAGCTGCGTTTCTTGAGTTTGATTGTGCTCGATTACGCAGCTTCAAGTCTGAGCCACCCATGCCGGTTTCTGCGTTGGCTATTCATCTTGGCTGCGTTCCGCCGAAAAAGCCTCTGGACCACACTGAAGGAGTTGGGCTGATTTCGCAATTACTTGATTAAGGAAAACCCGCTCGCTGCATATGATTAATGAGGGAAATTATCTGCTTTCAAAAGGTGGGGGACGCGTCTCGCAAAGTTAGAAGCTGTCACGGCATTATGATCTATCACGCCTCCAATATTTACATTATACCCCCGTCGAAGCCAGCAGCAATATACGTCTACATTGCTCAGCTTCACCGGCCACAAAAAAATACTAATTTTCTCCATTCAGGAATCGAAGTAAGGTTGAATGCAGGGAAGCTCTGCGTGAATCTCCGATGAAGACTCTCTTCAGCTTGACCGCATTCGCTTCCGTGCTACCGGCTAGAACCATTTCGCTAAGTTTAAGTCGGCCGTATTCGTAAACGGGCCTCGACTCGACACTCCACCTCGACTCACTGGAGTGGAGGAAAGAAGCTCGCCTCAACTCGAAGAGCCATAGGGCTTCAGAGACACGCCTCGCGTCTCTATCTGTCAAATATACTTTTATTCAGCAGTTCACCTAATAGTGAGTGAACTAAGCTCATATTTCAACCCGAACAATATACTAATTTCGCTTTAGTGGGACATAGTACGTAATATATAACACATAACACGCTCGTCAAAATGACTTCTCAATTGCTACTAAAACCTGAATTGAAATACGAGTATCAGATGCCTAGTGGGGCGCCAACGGGTTAACATGCTCCCTGGCTCAAGAAGCGCTTGCTTAATTTTCGTCATTTTCCGGCAGCCTCCTTAACCGTCTCAGTTCAAATACCTATACAATTGGGCATTAAACAAAAGAAAATCTGTTAAATTGAATGCGCCACCCGTCCAGGCGGCCTGGCCGAGCCGACGCGACCTGGACCCAGTGTCCATGTTTGTTTGGTGGTGGCGCCCCCTATAGGCTGCTGGAGTCCAAATATGCAAATGAAAGCTGAAGATGCTAAACGGTAAGCTTACAAAAAAGCAGAAGGCACAAGTTTTCTCTAGAAATTCACAGGTGTGTCGCTGCGGCATTCGGCTGCTTTGCAACTTGAACACCCCAGCAGTTGTTTTATTATTTATTTTTTTCCCCCGAAATACATAAAGGTTGCCTTCCCCCCCCTCCCCCCCCCCCCCTCGTTCGCTCTTGACCTTTAGGGAATGGGCAATCTGGCCCCCACACTCGGATGAGTTTGAGACCGCTGATCTATACCATATCCTTGCCGTGAATGCAACAGCTACTACCATTGTGCCCCTCAATCAAAAGCGGGCTCTAACGGCTGTACTAATTTTGCGGGCGCTCGTCACTGCGTTGCAATTACTACTCGTTACTACTCGAACGTTTAATAGCTGATGTTATCAGTTTCGTTTCTAAATCGTTTAAACCGTTGAGGTCCCATAGAGCAATTTTTGAAGCTATCGGGTGCAATACTGTAGAGAAAGATTAAAAATATCATTGCGAAAGCAAGAGCGTTTAGCCTCTTTATGGAGCTTTAAAAATTTTAAATAAATCTTTCGCTCCAGTATCTTAGTTTCAAGAATTTTGCAATCGGCGCCATAAACTTTACCACTACCATCACTCTGTTCAAAGCTCATTCCTGCGCACTCCCGCACGGTCATCTCGTCGGCTTAATAACTCTTACAATTTTCAACGTATATCGGGTTCTAGTAATGCCTTTAACAAATCATTTCTCCCACTAACAATTGTGGACTGGAACAGTCTTCCAGAATCGCTCATTACAATAACTGACCCTGTGGTTTTCAAAAGCTCCATCATGTCGTATTTTTCCACACCAAGTTAAGTTTTTTTTTTTTTTTTAGCTACGTTGCATAAGTGTGCATTGTTATCTATTTTTAGCTACGTTGCATGAGTGTGCGTTAATATGCATTTCTATTTTTTTTTCATTTCTTGTATAATTTCTTGTGTTGCCCCCCCTTATGTAATGTCCTCGACAGAGGACCCTTACGGATTAATAAATGAATGAAATGAAATTCCTCGGAATAACGCTGCGTACTTGCTACAGCGGAAGCACTTGAAATGTGGTTGCCTTTGCTTATTTATTGGTGAGTACTGTCACTCCCTGAAACACTTTATTTAAATATGTGGCACCTAGTCCCATCAAACAAACACATATTCTGCATAAATCAAAAGTTTATTGGTCTGTTGCCTTACTGGAAGCTTTATCCCTACGCGATATCTTGACTGCCTGAGATTCCCTGCTTATTGGACAAGGTAATAGTTTCTTCGCCTTAATATTTCATTCCAGGTTGATGCTTTGCTGTGTAAAGAAAGAACAACAATAAGTACACGCGCTCATTATAAAATTACAATTAGAGTTATGGCGGAGGGTGCTTCACGGGCGACCATTCTAATATAACCTTGCACGCTATTTACCATGGATATTGCGCTTTGAGAAAATATTGACCTTTTTGTGTGTATTTAAATTTTGTATGACGTTGCATGCATAATTTCCAGCAGACAGCTTTCTACTGGACACCTTTCTAAATATCTAATTGTCCTAGGGCAGTGGTTCTCAAATGGGGGTTCGCGGTGCCTTTGGGGTCCGCGAAGGCATCCTAGGGTTCCGTGAAGCATTGCCTCATCAGTCAAACCCAGCACTAAAACTCGCCTTTTTTCAGATAGAGAAGAACATTTTTCAATTTTCGGGCGAATTTTATGTGTGTATGTCAATAAGAGAAGAATACTTCACACTAAGCCTAGAATTATATACATTGTAATATCGTTATTATATTTATCCTATACCTTTTCTCTCCCCTCACCATGAACGGGGTCTTCCATCATCGTCTTCGATACACAATAAGTTCGCGAAACATCGATGGTTGAGAACCACCTACCTAGGGAGTTAATTTCACGATGGCGTGCAGTGAAGTCAAAGCTACGGGGACAAGTGACTGGTTGCAAAAGCTTTAGACGCCAATAAAGCCAGGCATACAAATTTTCACTTCTTCGAGGCGCCCTTAGAAACGTTTCTAGAAACATGTGCACTTAAATGGAAGCCCTGATGAGACCTTGATAGCTACTGATATGCCTCAAATTTGGTTCATCACATCAATATATCTAATAATTTATTTATTTGTACTTTTTAGGTGCCCCTAAAGAGCCCGAGGGCCTACATAAGTGTGCAGCATTTATACATACATGCAGTGTTTCATAAAGGGCAGGCACACCAAACGCAGGCAAATTATGAAAAAAAAAATGAAACGTGATACATAAATGCAAAAGAGAAAAAGTGCATGACCTTAATGAGAACACTTTTCGCTAAAAAACATACAAGTGAACTAGTAACCTATAAAAAGTGGAGGTCACAATAGCATTTTAGAGAAGTTAAAGTTTCAATTTTGATATCAGGGGCTGAAAGTCTCCACTGGCAACACTGAAAACATGACGTCAGATGTAATATCGGGTATTATTGAGAAAGTGCAGCTTATTCCTACGGGATACGAGAAACTTGATGTTGTAAAGTGAATGCTCGTTTAGCTTACGACAGGAAAACTAAAAGAAAGAAATGCTCAAAATATTGTTTTTTAGGCTGCCTGCTCGACTCGCAAATATGCATGTGACGTCACCTCTATGTAATGCGGATAATTTTAATTTCTTTTTTGCGTAATCTTCATTTGCCTTTGCTCAATAGCTTTTATTTTAATTTAGAAATAATAAATAACACACTGAAAAGTGTAAAGCCTGGGTATATTGAAAGTGTCTTTAGATTGGGTAGCTAGAAAATCCGCCAAAGCTCCCATTCCACTGCAACGCAGGACCCCGGCTGGCATTTAAGTCAGCCAATAACGCCCCGTTTGATCGCTGTACATATGTAGAGGGCAACAAATGTAGGTGGAAATTGCAATCTCGGTGGATGTATTACACGATGCAGTTACTTTCTAAGCACGTGCAGTGTGACCCGAAAAAAAATCTCGCATTTGTTGAGTTGGGCGGGGAAGGGGGGGGGGGGGGGGGGCAACTCCCCCCCCCCCCCCTTCCTCGATTAAACAAATGCGAGATTTTTTTTTTGCAGAAGAAGACTACTCATCGCCTAACGCTCGATCTCCGCCCAATCGTAACAATAGTGGTCGGGTTTAAATGCCTACTTTTCATGCCTTTCAGTTATGTTATATCAAATTTATAAGCGATTTTTCGGTACCTTAGATATAAAAATTGTGGCCGAAGAAACCCGCGAATAGACCAATATTAATGACCTCAACTACCACTAAAGGCCCCCCTTTAGCCATGAATTGTTGTAGAATATCAGCTTAAATTATTGAATAAAATATCGATTTGTGCTGAAACCTTTGCATCTGATGATGACTGAAAGGGCTACATTCAGCTGGTTACCTAGATTATTTGTGCGGTGAAAAGAAAGCAATTATTTTAAAGGGCATATTGTACAGCGAGTCTGGCTAAAGAAAACTTCACGAGATAACCAGCAGACCTCCACATAATTCGATTACCATAACTAACCACAAACGCTGCAAAGCAGGAGCGGCCAGTTGTGAGTCTCGCTCCTGTAAACAGGTTTGTGCAGCAGAGGCGCGATTACCCTCCGTCGCATGAATATATACGTTGCTCCCTCATGCAGAAATTCCAGTTAGTCTACATTCATGGTCATCGAAATTTAGTTGGCAGAACAAGCTTTTTTCTTTCTAGGAGTAGATTACAAAATTGAGCGAGATAACTTCCAGGTTGAAGTTATCAAACTTCACTGTCTACCAACGTAACCTCTACTCCCAGTGATAGTTTAAAATACTTCGTTTTTAAAACCCTTTCCGAAGACAATTGGTGGGAAAATATTTGGATAATCTCCTCTCATGCGACTCCTGTCTACACCTACGCGTCCTTAGACTCAGGTAGCAAGGTTATTTATCTAACAAAGTAAAATTTGTCACTGTAAAAAAAATCAAAACATAGGTCAGAGAACTTGCCATTCGCATTCTGGCCGTCTAACTCCCAATTACCCAGTAACACGTCCTTGATTGTCCCCATGAAATGACCCGTGAAACATACAGGTGTTCTAGGTCCGGAACTATGCTTAGTTAGCATATCTTGGTATAATTTTGGGGAAATTCATATTACATTACTCGTATTGCTTTTCCCACGAATTAATCGCAACTTTTATGACAGCGCGCAGTTTGGTGGTGCTATCATATAGGTTTGTCACTCACGATATTTCAGTGGTGCATAGTATTACACCTATGAAATAATAATTTTGTGAATCACGGTTGGCATAATAGTCAACCCGAACAATCTTCTGTCACGTTAAAAGCTCATAACGCTAACATCTCTCGCATTTTCATGCCAGACATATTTTTCCCTGTTATTTAGTCAACACAACTCACGGGTGATGCGATGTAGTCCGCCGTATACATTTTAAAATGAGCGCATTTCCTTAGCTTCGGTACGTGCTCTATACTAATGGAAATTGTATTTGGTTGAGATAATTTAGTTTTCGACTATGATTCATGCCCAGCCGCATAGTCGGTGACGGGTTAAGAAGTCAGTGGATGCTCCGCCCCTACGGCCAGCTTTCAGCCTTGTATAAAGAATTCCCGAACAACCAGAGAGAAACCACAGCAAGGCTACGTCCACGTGTGGGAGCCAGAGCGTGTACTGGGATCTTAACCTCTCACCGACCACAGTTGGATTAAGTGCAAGTAAGCTTTGCGGCAGGATAATAATACAACTGTAGTCTCTGCTTGAAACTAAATTTCGAAGTTATTTACTCCCGCCAGAATTTAAACTTAACGTTCGTTTTCGCTGTTCAGAGAAACGAAGCTTGCAGTCAATAGCTGAGTGATGCCGTAAAGTTAAATGTACAAAGGTCCACCTACAGGAACAACGTCCTAAATATAATAAAACTTCTCACTTTTTATTGTCGCATTCGCAGCTGCGCAGGGACTGAAGAAGGGCGCTAATTATTCCATTGCCTAATTTAAATGTTTGAGTTTTTTTTTTAGAGGGACGCAAACTTTGTTGTTGTTCCTAAACACATTATTTTAGAGCTTATCGTCTAACTGTTGGAAAAATATATTTTTGTTACTCAAGAAAGGGTACCTATCTACCAGTTTATTTGCCATGCAATAATTTTGCCTACTGAAAAAGCAAATATAATTTATTTTGGGCCTTTTCCATACATTTTGTCTCATGTGAATGCCGTACACAGTTATAAGTGAAAACATATTTGAAGTTATTTCTTAAGTTATTTTTTACAGTTTCAAAGAAATGTTCCAACGCCCGATGCTATAAAAATACATTAAACGTGAGCACTTACCTATGCAAGTTTTTTTGCAGTCCTCCATTGACCAAAATAAATTTGTGTTTCCAGGAACTCCTTTACCCGATATACTTGAGCCTTGACATCTGTTAGTTTTAATATCGTAATAATATCTCGAAAAGAATCCGTAATAGTTGAAGTCAGGAGGCATTACACACGGGCTTCTTGTGTTTTCTGTCAAGAAACATATTTTAGCACCCAATTTAGTCAACACTAAAACTATATTCATGTAGAATAGTTTTATATTTGCGAGCAGAAAACAAAATCAGCATGAGAACCATCCCTCTAGTTGTAACAATTTTGCTTGAACATCTGTATTCCCTGTCGCAAATCTTTTTCCCTCTTTCTTGCATTTGCCTTCATCTAACGCATAGCAAGAGGCTTTAGGCAAACTAAATAAAAAGAAATACAATACCGTAAACTAATTTCATCTTCAGGATATACATGTGAGTTATAATAGTACGACATGATTGTTAATACACTTCTTTATTTTTAGAGTTAAACAGCTGCCAGTGGCAAACTTCAATAAGGGTTGCTTGCGCTTGCTGTAAAATATAAAGCAAATAGAACAATGTCAGCGTGATAACAGATTGGGGAAAATAGCTAAAAGCAAGACGTACAAAAGCACACAATATTAAACACATATGTTGCAACGAAAGTCTGCTTTTGAAACTTATACAGATATTATAAATTCCGGCATACTTAATATTTAGTGCGGAATCCTTAAAGCTCTCTGTGGACTATTGTTAAAAAGGCCACATTTTTAAGAATGTAACTTTATATGTGCCTGCTTTGAAAGATCTTTATAAATACGTCAATAAGTAGCAATTTGCGTTTAAAGCTTTACAATGTAATATACCACAATATTTACAGAGTAACCGTCTACTTACGGGCACAAGTTTTCCAACACATTTCAGCGGAAGGAAAGCTATTTCCGCCATCGTCACAGCCTTGAAACTCCTCACACATTTGCTGAATTGCATTGTAGCCGTACCTTGTACTGACAGTAGCGCAAATACTCATGTTTTGTATTGGCATCCCGCATTTGTTCCTTACAAATCCTAAAAAAAAATTGAACACATATATACTAAAGCTTTTACACTGCCTGCTTTAATAATAATAATTTTAATAATAATAAGAAGAGAAGATTATTAATATTAATCTTTATTTAAAGTGCACAAAAATAACCGCATCGGGATTTAGATTTTTTTTTTTTATGAAAACACTAAGAAACCACAACATGCATGATCCACTCAAGACACGCTAATACAAAAATAGTAAAATGCATTAAAACAAAACTTATCACGTAAAAAGCGAATTGCTCAAAAGACGGCGGAACTCAGAGGTCGATGTACAGATGTCATGATGCAGAGTGGCGACACTGTTATAAGCTAGGCGACTATTCAAAACTCTTAAAAATCCACAAAGCAAAGAAACAAGGCAAGAATTTGTAACAGCGGAAGTATCAACACTTTTAAAATTCTGAATGATTACCGAGTTCTTCCAAAGCGAGGGAAGGACACATGAAATAAGCTATAGGTTTAACATGTCCTTCAAAATAGAAATGAATAACTCAAATGATAATTTAATTATAGAGCTCGGTATTTCGTCATCATCACTCGAAATTATTTTCAGTTTCAGTTTTCGTATCGCACCAGCTTCTTTGGCAAAATCCGCAAAAACAGGGCACATAAAGTCATGACATCTAACTAAATTAATGTCTTTTCGAAAGGGCTGAAGGCGATCAGAAAAAATTCTGCTAAACTTTTCCATGGAAATGTGTGCAACTTCATCAGGCGATATACTATAATGAGTGTCAGTCATCGTATCATGCAAGCAAAACACTTCTCTGGGCACACGGCTATACAGCTGCACAAAATGTCAAGAAATATTTTGTCGACAATTCTGGCTACATTTTTCTACACTGTGGAGATGTACGCATTTATGGCTTTTTAAAAATTTATTTTCTGATCCACAATAAACACTAAATTCTGCATACCTAAAAGGTAAACGAGCTTAATTTTTAAATCGCTAAATATATGTCTTTATTCTTTTTCTTTTTCTTTTTTTACGCAGGTAGAGCTGGAGATTCTTTGATAACCAGTTAGGTTAGATAAACAAAATACATAAAATGTCTAAAGAAAAATTTCGATCGCACTGGGCAACTGGGGTGAGTTTCTCGTTTGCTTTATCAACATTATAAGACCACAAATTATATCAAACAGGAAAAAAAAAACCCTTCAAATCGAGACAGGACACATCAAGCTGAGATTTATTGTCCACTCATTAAATATAAGCCCTAAAACGAAATACGTCTAGTTGTGTTCGGAACGCCAACTCTGGTCCTTATTTGACCTTCCGCGTTTGACGTCCAACTTCTCAGGCTTTCTGAGTACAACTGATTCATCTCTGAATTTACGAGACACTTTAATGGACTGAATGGTATGTGATAGTACAGCATGTTTATTAAAAAAAACACGAAACAAATAGAGAAAAAAATTCGACAGGGATCGAATACACTGTTGGGTGTGGGACTAGTGATCCAAAACTATCGATAACTTTACCATCGATACTATGGATAGTTTTTCCAAAACTATCGATAATGTCGAAGAACTATCGATCGTCGACTATCGATAGTACTATCGATAGTTTTTTTTACTATCGATAGTCAGATTTCTGCCAACTATCAATACTATCGGTAATACTGTCGACAGTTGTGCACCACTAGAGCGAACACAGTTGCCTCCATCTCAGCCCTTGCCTCAATTTCTCCTCGCATCACCCAAACTCCCGCCTTCGTCATGACTGAAAGCTGAACCAAAGTTGGGATGGTATGTGCTTGGGCTAGTTGGTGACCCATTTGAATAAATCAAGCGAGAATAATAAGATGGAGCGACGCAAACTACTAGTGTCGCAAAACTATCGATAGTAAAGCATGACAGTACTATCGAGAGGTTTACTATAGTCGACTATCGATAGCTTCCCGATAGTCGATTAACGATAATTTTCCGATAGTCGACTATCGATAGTACTATCCATAGCTTTTCGATAATCGACTATGGATAGTACTGACGATAGTTTTTCTACTGTCGATAGTGAGATTTCTATAGTACTATAGTACTATAACATGCATCAAAGTTCTTTCTGCTGATTCGGTGCGACGCGCGGGAAGCAGAGCGCTCATTCTGCACACACATGACGTGGCGCCACGTACCTCCTCCCCATTGGCTGCGTCGTCACGTGGCCAATGGCGTACGCTCTAGGCCGCACCTTTAGTTAGCCACAGGGATACGAACGTGACATGTCACATGACGCACGGACTAGGCACACCTTTTGTCAGCCTGAACAGTGGAGCCGCCCTGGCGTCGGGGAAGTTTGCTCGTCTCGCACCCCTTAGGCCCCCGCCTCGTTCGGCCAACGTTCTCAGTGGTTCCATTTGAGGAGTGGTTCTTGGCAGGTCGGTGTATTTAGCAAAGAAGTCGCTAATGTCGTTTTTTTATAATAATAATAATAATAATAATAATAATAATAATAATAATCTTTACTTAAAGTGCGCAAAAATAACCAAAATTGTATTTGTATGTGTGCCCTTCTATGGAAACACTAAGAAACCACAATATGCATGATCCGCTCAATACACCCTGATACAAAAATTGTACGAAGCATAAAAATAAAAAAATTTTGTCGTAAAGCGCGAATTGCTCGAAAGGTGGCGGAACTCAGAGATCGATGCACAGATGTAAAGACACCGAGTGGCGACACCGTTATAAGCTAGGCGACAGGTTGTAAATGTTAGAAAACCCACAAAGCAAAGAAACAAGACAATAATTTGTAACAGCGAAAGCATCGCTACATTTTAAAAATCGGAATGACTACCGAATTATTCCGAAGCGAGGGAAAGACACGTAAACTCATGTAAAAGTTGAAAATGTGTTTAAGGATAGGAATGAGTAGCTCAAATGATAATTTAATAATAAATCTCGGTATGTCGCCAACACCACTCGAAATTTTCGGTTCTTTTTTTGTATGGCATCAGCTATTTCGGAAAAATCCACACAAACTGAGCGCACAAAGTGATAACAGCTGACGAAAAGGCAAACAGCGGAGAGTAAACGGGGACAAAAGCTGTTTGACTTTGCGCAGTTTGCCCTTTCGTCAGTATGAACCAGCTAACCCACATCGCCACACTTTATCATAACAGCTAACTAAATTAACGTCATTTGGAAATGATTGAAGGCCATCACGCGTCAAATAGATAAGGCTGCTAAATACTTCTACGACAAGGCAGCAACCACTCCATGGATCTGCGGCTACACTGCCGTTTTATGACTTTGCCGGGGTTTTATCTAGCTTGTAAATGAAGTTAAACGGAAGGTTTATACGGCGCACACGGTGCCACATTCATAGAGCGTGGGCGAATATTTTATAGTGGTTTACTCATTCCAACAAAAATTAGTAACGTCGCCGACGCATATTATTTTCCGGCAATTTTACTAAATTATCTGATCGCCACAAGTTACCTGCCTCTATATATTTTATAATTTACTCACAAAGACCTCAGGAGGGCAACGAAAATGCACTTTGATTTATCCCACAGGATCTCTCGTCTCTCGCAAACGAGAGACGCAGACGAGAGACGCAGACAAGAGACTTCTAAAAGGCAAATCCGGCACCATTCACCTATACGTAAAGGATCAAGCAGGAGAGGGCTTCTGAAACGTATGGAGCGCTTCACGCGTGCCTTGAAAGTTGCAACAAATACAAAACGGCGGCACGCCTTTAAGTATTGCCTCCGATTGAATACCTTTTATTTTAGTGCACCGAGACAAAAATCCAGTTGCATAGGCTCAAGTGTAATTTCTGGTAAGCCTGTCAAGTCTAAACATACGCAGCGTGAGGCCGCACGGCAGAAATCCACAAGGTGATGCTGGGCCACCATAACATGTAACTAAGGTAACCCTCCACGCTAGAACACGTAGAGACGGTAGGTAGAGTAGTAGGCGCTCAGGACGCGACAGTTGAACCGTCCTGACTTGCCCCCGCTTCCCAGGTGTACGCTCTATTTTATTCAAGCTTCTTTGCATCCAATTTGACACAACACGCAAGAAAGATGGCTCAACTGGCAATGAAACCAATATGTCAAAGCCATTTGTTTTCGCATAGTTATATTCCATGTGAAATTTTGGTCCTCTTTGTGTTTTTCAAAACCCAAATTCTTTACCACGAACACTGAAAGGTGGCCAAATATACGCCTAGATAAACCTTAGTTGAGCGCGTTGGTGATAAAGTAAACCACAAGAATGTATTAAACATAAAGGAGGGAAAAAATAACATATTTTGACTTACAATGTACAGACTTTAATTCTTACGAGCACCGAGCAGTGGAATTCTCGAGAATCCCGCTGCTCGGTGCTTGTCGGCATTAAACTCTATAGGTTTTAAGTCGAAACATGTGTTGTATTGTCCCCCTACTGAAAAAAAAGCATTTGGCGTCTATATGAAAGTAAACAGGTTCATACCAGCAACAGTTTAGCCAAACCGGTCACCAGTTTGTCAAAGGGGTCGCCCGTATGGCTCAAAAGGGGACCTGTTTGCTCAAATAGGAGTGACCAATTTGGGCAAACAGGTCACTCCTATGGCAAACGGGTCACTCGTCTGGGCAAATGGGCCACTCTTTTGGGCAAGGTTGTCGCACGTTTGCTCAAACCGGCGACCATGTTGCAAGGACGGGTGACCGGTGACCGGCAAACTGTACCGGTTTAATCAAACGGCTCTCCGGAGCCCGTTGTATACTGAACGTACCGATCGGGCGGCATGCGCACGCCTATTTCAGCCGTGGCAGCCTGTTTTCGGAAAGCCGGAAGCGCCGGATCATCGATCTATAATCGTCCGCGTAATGCAAGTAATTACATTTATATTTTTATTTCGCTGATGTTCACTTATATTGCAACTACAATAAGCATTTTTTTTTCTACGTAAACTTGCGACTTGGCGAGCTGATATTTTTGACAGAGCTTTATAACTTTGGTTCCTTCTTGAGTCAATTTACTTATTCAGCTCGAATCTCCCTCGCAGAAGACGCGACCGCGTGAAAGAATATACTTCTAGACTCCGTTTCACCTCAATTCAAGTCGCAGCGAAGGTAGTGCGCGAATACGTGGCTGCAAGAAACATCGAGCATTGCGAGAGCACCCAGCACGAGCTCGCGCTGGGTGCTTTTTTCGCACGGGCGCAAGCCGAGCTTCTGGCCGGCGCCATTACCAGCTTCTGAGCGTGCTGAAATGCGCGCGCGCGATTCGCCGACTTTCGCCACGACGCAAACGCGTTGTGGTGGAATACTTGAGGAGAGTGTGAGGGGATGTCCCGGTGTCCTGCCCCTTGACCTCGCCCCCTCCCTCCTCTTTGGTCAGCTCTGTCACGTGACCCGAGGGAGAGGAGGGCATGGTACACGCTGATAAGCATAGCGTCCTAGATCCGGAAACGCCCGCGATGGCCGCCGCTTTTTTTTTAGTCTGCTTGACTTGTCCGTTGCAGTTCGAACTTCGTTCGTCCTACCTGCTTCAATCTGCCGCCTATCCCTGCGGTTTTATTAGGATGTCTCTCGACAACGTATTGGATGTACAACAAAGCTATGAGTGTTCGAGAAGTCCTACGCGTATATCGGCAACAAGCGATTCTTCAAAGAAGTCAGAAATTCTTGCGGTTTGGTTGGGTTCGGCAGATTACAGCTTGTACGCCGCATCGTGTTGAAACTTCAACAAGCGTTCTCGTGTTTGTGTGGTTGTCCTACTTTGACCGTGTCGACATATATCTTGGATTACATCTTTCGAGCCCGCTATTATTATGGTAAGTGCACTGCAGCCTACTTGTTGGCAACGACTGACCGTCCTTCTATGCGTACTCTTCCAGATTATCTATAAAATTTTGCAGCGTCTATTCTCGCGGCAGCCGGGAGAATAATTTCCCCGAAAGCCTTCCATTATAGTCTAGAATCACCTCGGTTCTTGTTAGCTTTCCAATCTTCTCAATTGTATAAAAGCTTAAAGTGCCTCTTATATTTTACAGATCGCTTGAACGTTTGTACTGGTCTACGGAATAAGTTGTAATAAGCTTCTAGGAGAATTGAAAACAAAATTTTGTGTCTGTTTTCCTGCCCATTTGCAAGCACCTGCGCGAGCACACTTTTTCTACGTGTTTCCCACCCTGTTATAAATAGGCTTATGATGCTCGGGACGTCTTAAGTAAGTTTAAGGTAACCAACCTTCCAGACGAGACCCATTTGGGGCTAGCGAATAATTTGCCTCTCCGAATGGCGCGTTCAAATGTGTGGTCACGTGCCCGTACCGAACGGGCGTCCGTATCAAACGAGCATCGTTTCAAACGGTTACCGTTTCAAACCGGTACCTGTATCCCGTATTCACGTTTGATCCAACCGGATCGCCAAGTTTGCCACCATTTTGATTCAAACAGGTCGACCAGTTTGCCGCTTGTTTAAATTTCAAATATTTTTTTTTTCAGTAGGGCCTTTATTTTTTTATTCTTGCTTGTAGTTGAATACGCATAGAGTTGATCCTTTAACCGCGGGAACTTTTTCCCGACTTACTACAAAACCGTTGTGAGGGAAATGAACGCTGCGGAAGCTCCCTTGAGAGCTCGTTATGGGGAGCTACAAGGTACAGGTCCGGAACCGGACGGCAGCGGAGTCTGTGACGACCTCCTTTTTCACGTGCGGGCGTTTTCCACTTTCTTTTATCTCGCCAAATCTAGTTAAATGCACGGATGGCTAAACAAAGTGCTAGAGGCAAGCACAATGATGTCACCCAGAAATCAGCGAGTGAAAAGGTCTATCTGTCTTCTTATATATCCAATTATCTTGCTAGATTCTATGCGGTGAAAAATTTAAAATGCTGTTTCCAGTTTCACGTCGGCACCAGAGGCTTAGCGCACGCCTCACGTGAGTTGACGTCATCAGAATAGCCGAGCTTAATGACGTCCTCAGATTTACAAATCGGCTTTCAAAGCTTTTCAGTTTGAATAATTGACAAAAACCCGCAGATAGACGAAAGGAATGTGAAGATTACAAATGTAATCATGTCCAACTTTACAGAATTACCTTGATCTTTCAGGAAGACAGCTATTGGTCTAAAATGAAATTAGTGTTAATACGAGTTCTTCCACAGTATTTTTTACCAGAGAGGGGTGTTTGACGGGAGGAAGTACATCTATATTTGATTTGGTTCTTATTTTATTTATATTTTATCTACACCCCTGACAGCTTTGGTATCAAAGGGAGTTAACAACAGTCTCGTCGCATTGCTTCGAGCATGGCAGAGGTGGCAACATACGCGGCTGACACGTGGAGAAACCGGGCTCGAATTCTTCTTGGCCCAGACCTTTCTTTTATAATACTACGGTGCCTCGAACGCGTATCCGACCGGTGTGTTTACCGCCTCCAGAAAAGTGGTCCCTCGATTCCCGCCTGATGACGTCATAGAAGCGTCATGCTGTCGCCGGTCGCGACCCTGGTGGTGTCTCAGCAGCTGTGGTGTATGTGGCAGATGCCTGTACAACTGCAGGTCGCTCTTCACTTCGACACTCCACGGAAGCTACAGCAGCAGGAAGTTGGGACGCTTGGGACGCCGTGCCGACAGCGACACTGGCGTCCGCTCGAGCTTTTCGCCAGCATTTCTATGACCAGCCGCCAGGATCGCGACAAGCTACAACATGACACTCAGGCTTCTGTGATGTCATTTGTTGCAACTTTGGGACCAATTTTGACGTATTCGTGGGATAGGACGCTAAACACACCAGTCGAAGACGCGCTCCAGGCACCATAATAATTCTATACTCTTCTGGAAATTTCAGGCCCGTTCTCGGCTGATATTTAGTGTCCTGGTCTGGAACTTTCCTGATGTGACCGCTTGTATGAAGGCCCTGGCCTTTCTAGGAATGTCACTCTTCCAACGCACTATGCGTTGTACCTTTCTGTTTTAGTTTGTAAACACAAGTTCGTCTCAGTGAACATGTATTTTAAGTTTTTAGCTTGATCTACCCTTTTCTACCTGTCACATTATTTGTTCAAGAAAAAACTAAATAGTTATATTTTTTTTAAATTTCAAAACAATATTTGTGCACAATGTTCCAATGCCATTTTTCCCGGTCAGACTATCGTGAAAAATATGCAGTGGATGAAAACTAAAATTTACTTTACGGTCTTGCCAGATTATTGATACAAATGGTAAATGTTATCTAAGCTGTTATCTCAAGATAAAAAAAAATATGAGCATGAGGAATTAAACTATTTGTTGTGTTTTAACTATTTATTTATACTGTGTCAAAACAAATAGTGTATATAATAATTTTATCAACTGTCTCCAATGTTAAAGACAATTCAATTGGGGCTCAAAAAAAATGTAGTTCAATTTTTTTACTTGTTAAAGAAGTAAGCATTCCTATATCTTTTGTTTTTGATTAGAATATGAATAGGTAAAAATCTGCGCGTTTTCAAATTTTAATAAGCCATATTTTTCTATCCATAATGGTGCAAATACCTAAAATTTACTTACTCCCACACCGCTGGTTGCATCCGTAAAACGAACCAAATGTATTGCCCTCCCGATTCGGACATTCGAGAAATTCCAAAGGCCGGCAAGTATGCGTCCTCTGATCAAACCGATACCATTCATCATCGTTTCTCTTGCATATTCTTGTTGGTGGCATTGAGCAATCACCGAGGTCAGGAACTTTGAATAAATAAAATGGCATAAATTAGTGTCAGCACACAGCACTTCGTGAAAAACTCTAATATAGATTAAGAAGGGCAATCTGCAGATAAACTATAAAGAACAGAACCTTTCACTAACCATGTATGATTAAAAGAAAAGCATGAACGATGGCGGAATGTCGTGAGCATTCCAGAATAAAATGTATTAAAAAGCTTAAAAAAATGCCCCCCCCCCCCCACCTTAGGCTATTCCTAAACAAATATATTCTATAAATATCGCGTTATTCCCAATCTTTTTTTAAGAACGCTAGAAGCGATATTTTTGCTCGTCAATCGTTTTTTTCTAGTTTTTGAAGTGCAGTTTTCTTGATTGCAGAAATCAATCTCCCACATATGATTTTTTTAGTCTAAACTGACCGAAGTTTAGTGTAACTGAAATAAACCACAGCCATATTTAAATAACTTCCACAATTGTAAACATTTCACGTTAAAATTCGACATGTATTGGTAAACATACTTTACGCAAAAACTATAATGATGACATTGCGAAAGCCCGAAGTTTAAACTTTGAATACACTGTTAATATTGAATTTTGCAAACCGCACTTGAAGCGTAGACACAGGCGAAAACGACTCTGAATACAAGCGATGTAAAAACAAAATAAGCGTAAAATTGTTTTCCTATATTTGATTCCTCCAGAAAATTGCACAAAATTGGTAGAAATCGTTTCTTAAATAAATCACAATAGGAAAACATTGAAGAAATAAAAACAAACGTTTCTGGGATTGAACAATTCATGCCTGTTAAAGAATTCATTTTAAAAAAATGAGGAAACATTAACAAATCTCCCGCCTAGATTTGTATCATTAAGAAGTAAATTTATTTTTATTGCCTTGAACGTGTTTGCATTGTTTATGTTATGCCACCCTGTTTTATTTCCAGCACTGTACACGCCTGCCAGCATCCCACCTTGGGATTGTAGCATTAATAAATAAATAAGTAAAAATAATAGTAATTGCTCTGCATCCGCTACACATAATATTCATGATTAATACAAAGAGAGCTATAACAAAAAAAAAACTTCTATTGCTGAGCTTTTGATCAGCATAATAAAGAAAAGCAACGTGCCAACATTTATGTCGCCTAAAGTGTGCGATTAAATTTAGCTGGGATTTCATAGCACTGTCCCTAACGAAACGCTGGTAACAATCAAGATGACTAAATAAAAGCGAATCAAGAGTTTAAAACCAGTAACTTACTTTCACACTTCTTTAGGCAATCTTGATTTGAACGAAACACGTTTTTCCCTTCTGTTTCACCTCCGCTCCATTGAAACTGGACGCATTGTGAGAGGTCAGAATTATAAGTCCACATGGACTTCGAGCCTTGGCGGATGCCGTTATCAAGTTTTTCGAAACAGAAGCTGGGTACGTCAGCTTGAATTGAAACGTACAAAAATAGGCAATTAACCATAGAACTTAACTTTTCCGCAAAGTTTTAGTATCAAAATTGTATCTAAACCGTTGAAAGCACAGGCATCACATGCTAAAACAGATGTCAGACTGGTGCCCGGCCATAACTATCAAATATCATCAGGTGTTGGCCAATTATTAGTTTTCTTTCCAAACAAAACTCAAATGAAGAGAATCCGTCCCTCTGTAGCGCATAAGTTTTTGGTGAAAGAACGAAGGGTAGCCATTACGTGTTAACTGAACCTTCCAGATAAAACTTCTGCAATGCTGACATTTCTAGTTCATCTATCAGAGGGCAGTACGGGGCGCAGCTTTAAACATGGGCGCTGCTTTAGCGCTTGACAGGTCATCATCCTTTAACCCAACGCTAATGCATCAAGCGCTCGTGTCCGATTTGTGCCCCCTGTTGGCCTATACTGTAGGTGACTTAGTAAATACAGCACTATGGCTTTGTCATGTTGTTATTACCCAAATTGATCCCGAATGCAGCCGGCTCCTGCCTATTATAAGGACGAAGAGAAAGTGTAGATGAAAAAATGTGTTTGGTTTTATGCTGAAGCCACATGTAGCAAGCGTCGGAGCACGCGCGTGTTTATTGCACTCTGAAACTCTTGGAGCGACTACTTTCCCGCAAATCACATTGGAGAGCTATACTCGGTGACAACTTTTCTTGGCAATGCAGTGGAAGGTACGTCCCGCGTCCCCTCTCCCATTTTGAGTGTACGCAGGCTCTCCTCCTCTTTTCGGAAACGCGGGACGTACCTTCCACTGCATTGCCAAGAAAAGTTGTCGCGGAGTATAATCGCTGCACTCTGGGCAACTGACGGGATTGACGGCATGTTTACACCTAAACAGAATCGGCTGGTGCTCAGCCACTGAGTGTTGTGAAATGTCAGGCGTGGTGCTATGCGAATATTGTCTTTATATGGGTTTTGGCATAAATGTCGTCCTTTTCATTCACCATGCACCCTCCGTAGTTGGCTGCGATTGTCCCTCTGAAGTGATTTTCTTGAAAGTAGACGCTCTAAACTCTTTACAATGTGCCGTGAGAAAAAAAAAAAAAGAAACAAAAAACAGCATTGTAGGCTTTACCCATCTCTGGACAGGTTTTAGAGTTCGATGAACTGTTAGCGGACACTTTTGATCGTATATTCTAGCAAACTCCGTGAAACACATTTTATGCCGATGTGTGTAAAGCAATAATCGGTGTTTTATCGACGTCACATGCTTTTTTTATGCATACTCTTTGCCCGGGGCAGAAATATGTCGTCTCTATTGAGAGTTTCAGATGCGCTCTTTAAAACGGCGATACAACTTTAAAGAAAAAAAAAAGACGGCGAGTCATGGTGTGCTGGAAAACTTATATTACGAAGGTATCCGGAGTCAGCTCAGGCTAGAATGAAATCTAGCCTGGCCTATTAACGGAAGCGAATGTGGGCCCGAAATTAGTAGTTTCTATCGATCATAGTTTTGACCCCATTTTATTTTTATAATTGCCACGCGTCTATTTTTCTGAAATATAAAGAAAATATTAAATCACACACAAAAAAAAGATTCCTGGAAAATGTGTTTGCGTCATAGGACTCCAAGCATGTCGTTTCACATTTTCACGCAATGCTGAGCTTCACATGCCAGAGGTCGCTTTGAATGCGTAGCATTTATGAGGCGAGCATAATAATTTCCTGCCCGTGACATGGAGCCTCTACCGTGCGACTCCACATTGTGACGTCATTCCAAAGACACACTGAATGCGAACTTTTTTTTCTATATGTTAGCGATCAGTTCTTAAGCCTTGTTATTCATCAAGCTTCCTACAAAGATAGCAGACTAGTGCCTGAAAAGTGTCTCCGAGTGCTCTGTTTACCGCGTCCAAACAAGTGGTCTCTCGATCTCCGCCTGATGAAGTCGTAAAAGGTTCATGCCTTCGTTGGCCGCGCTCCTGGCAGTCTCACAACAGCAGTGGTGGTGGTAGTAGAAGCCTGTACTGCTGCAGGTCGCTCCCCAGTGTGGCAGCTCACGGAAACTTCGGCAGCCAGAAGTTGAGACGCCGCGACGACAGCGACACTCGCGGTCGCTCCTGCTTTTCACTAGCCTTTCTACGACCAACCGCCAGGATCGCGACATCCGACAGCATGACTTCCGGGATTTTTGTGACGTCATTTGTTGCCCCTTCGGGACCACTTTCGATGCGTGGGCGGAATGGGACGCTAAACACACCGTTTAAAGACGCGTTCCAGGCACCTTAATAGCAGTAAACTAATGGCTTTTCGCTTTCCCTACGGGAAACAAACAGCGGCATTTTTAGAGTCTACGAACACTTTAAAACTTGCCCATATAACCACAGTTCCTCCAGCACTCGGAGAGGACATCACTTCTATATAAGAGAGTACATACTTAGCAATCATGAAGACGGAACATATGTCTAAAAGGTTACAATTGAAAGCGAGCGTGTTGGTTAATAGATACAAAACTTGAAAGAATAAAACAGAAAGGACGAGGAGGGGAACAGGACATCTTTCATGTCCTGTTCCCATCTCATCTTTCATGCCCTGTTCCCGTCCTCGTCCTCTCTGTTTTATTATTTCAAGTTTTGTATGTCTAGACGTTTACATAAATTCTTCGATGCGAAACTGAGCCTTGCGTTTAATATACTCAGTCCCATATCGCAGGTTTAATTTTGAGATCTAAACATACATTCTCGACCTCGTCCGGTGCTGAGCACCAACCGTAGATTGCACTGATTAGCACTCAAAACGCTCAAGGCGCGTTAGACACATCGGATTTGTTTGCCTTTTTGTGCTCATTTTATGTGATCCCTAAATATTTGCTGAAACCTTCAAGGGAAACTGACCCCTCCTCGCCCAACCCCCCAATACTATTTTTTTGCCATGTGATTTAATATAACACTACCCACGAAATATTCTGCAGCAGAGTTACGTACATTTTTAATAAAGGCAAGACACCTCAACTGAAACCGAAACACGAGCACGGAAGACCATGACCGGGCGTCATGTGGCCACACCCAACGTGTTTTCAAATCAAATAAAGAGGCTCCAGGTACACCTAAGCACTTCTTATGAGTTGTGAATGCCAAAGCACGCACGCCGCTCTTCGCTCCCTTCTTTAATCTGCGGCGAACAACGCGCTGACCTTGGGCGTGGAACGGCGAAGCCGCTGCCTCCCGGACACGCAGCGCCATCAGGTGAGCGATCGTTCAAACTGTCGTGTGCCTTGCGGCGCAAGGAAGGAACAGACACTAACGTAGTTCCCAGCAGAACGAACTTTTTGGTTTATTCCGTGCGCCGTAAATATTGCCACGCGCCGTACAACCGATAAGAGGCAAGCGAACGCGGTGATCAGTGATAACACAACAGTGTGATTACACACCACAAAAACTGACACGCAGCGGCCAATGGGAGACTCGTCCACGCGCGCCAGCCAATGGGACCAAAGTGTAAAAAGATCCGTTGGCTAGCTTTGCGCGTGGTTTCATTAAGGTGCCGTTTTGCATGGTTTCAAAGCTGATGACGTCGGCTCGCTCCATGAGACAGTTAATACTTTTGCATTAATAAACGAGGGAATGCACATACCCTGCGATTTTTGTCCGTGCCATTACCTACCGGAGAGTCAGCGTTCAGGCATCGACGAGTGCTGTAATTATTCCTTTTCTAGTGATTCTCAGAGTTCGTACTCAGAATTTACTTTCACCGTCAGTCACCGAGAATCTATTAGCACCTCACGTACATGTCGCATTTCCAGCGGAATGTAAGCAATAGGGCATAGCAGGCTCTGAGATTGGTTCCAAACGATTTACACCCTCGCTTCTTCTTTGTTAGCTCCTTCAGTTTGCTTTGACGAAAGTATGTACTGGTGGGCATTTGTTTCTGTGGGATTTTCAAATAGGGGACGAGAGAACGCATGCACAGCGTTGGTCAGTGCCCAAGCGCTCGTTCTCGTACCTTCCATTACAGCCGCGCTTTCGCGCAGCTCCCGGCCACCCAGTGGCGCTTAAAGCCAACCTTGTGCCAGTTCCCCTTCGGAAACATAGGTATTATCATGCCTCAGCGGACAGGTCGTAAGACGGGGAGCGTGTATTCCGTCCGGCGGTGCTGCACGTACCGGTCCGGTAGATTAAGGTCGTGATGTAGGCGAGTTGGTTCATTGTAATCGGCAGTAAACAGCGTGAAAAACTACACACGCAAAACGCAAAACTACACTCAAGAGAAGTCTACTAAAACTCCCTATTGCTGCAGCCCTTCTGACAGGCCGGTGGCGCTCAGGACGTTTAGCAGCAGCCGCTGAAGTACACGACGTCGGTGTGTAGCTCCAGTCGGGTAAAATATGTCATCTACTTTCGGTGTCATAATGCCAAATGTGGTTAGTTTTGGAGGAATCCGTGTCGCTCTATTTTACAAATCTCGCAACGCAGAAAAACGGTTTCAATAGTTTCCCCTTCGTCACATGTGGTACAAACAGGGATGTCCATGAAGCCTATTTTATGAAGAAAATATTTGGTAAACGCGCTATTCGTTTGTAGTCGCATTAGGAGGGTGCTATTAGCGCGGGAAAATCCTTTGGTAACGCACGGCCGATATGTCGTTTGGCTTGATGAAGCGAGATTGCCGATTTGGGCTTTGACAAGAAAAAGAGAGTCCTTGAAGGTTGTTGGGCTTTTAATGTTGGGGGTTCGGTTGTGTTCTTCCCCAGCCAGCTTGTCAGCTTCAGTGTTTCCAGATATTTCAAAGTGTGAGGCTACCCATTGGAACAGTACGGTGAAGCTTCTGTTTAAGAGAACCTTTAGGAATTTGATGATTGTGGCAACTTGCTCGTCGCGGGATCCAGGTGTCGCAAGCCCATGGAGTGCTGTACGAGGGTTTGTTATAAGAACAGCCTGTAGTTTATACAACGCAACATTCCTTGTGACGGCTGTAGATAGAGCCTTTCTGGTGGCTTCCATTCTAGCTGTTGTCCATTAAACTAGTTTCTCATATCTGCCAAAGTAGATTTTTGGGCCCACTCTGAAGCGTGTTTCACATACAGCGATTTTTGGCCCTAGAGCGGCGCGATTTCTGCCGTCGCGGCGCTCGTGCCGCTCAATCGCTGGTGCTGGCCAGAGCGCCGCGACGGCAGAAACCGCGCCGCTCTAGGGCCAAAACCGCTGCATGTGAAACACGCTTTAAGTAGCACAAAACCGCCTGCCCATGTAAACTATACCCTGGCGCCAGCACACCTTCTTGTACCAGGAGAATTTACCAGCTATTCTCAGAAAGAAAGACACCGCAGCCATTGTACTTCGAAAAGTTGCTGAAGAGGCTATCGCACTACAGTACCCGGAAGAACTTAGAATATACACCGATCGCGAAGAACTCATTTTATATACCGATGGCTTTGTACACCGATTTCGACAAAGCGCAAAAGCTGATTCTATTGACAAAGGCTGGTAAGCACAAAATGTGTGATAGGCTTTCAAAAGAAGAGGAGAAGGACGTTGCGTGCGACCGTTTCAACGCGCACCCCGCCAAAAGCTTCGCTTTTGCGTGGTCCGTACTACTGAACCTGAAGAGCTCGTGGCAGAAGTACTAATAGCGGAGAAACATATCTCAGGCTCCCAGCAGAAGAACGAATGTCGGTTGCAGGTGAGCCAAAAAAAGATTTGCGAAAAAGATTATCGGGAAGCAGCACAGCAGACAGCTATCGGGGTTGGAGGAAAAATGGACAAGAACAGCCACTACACTAAGATACTCTTCAGGAAGCAGCAACAGCTACGAAAGGGGACGATGCCGAACCGCTAATTGAAATGCAAATCAAAAAGCGGAGGCGTTATCGCTTTATTTTTTGGAAGCTTTTTAAGCAGAATGATGACGTTGGGACCTGAAGTAAAACAGCTTTATCCTGGTAACAGGTTATTCGGTAAACATCAGAAATAGTGAACACATTCGAAGTGCCCAACCTGAGTTTCAACCAGGATTACAGTGGAGGAGAGTACTGAAACTCGGCTCCAAAAAAAAAGAGTTTTACGTCGTAAAATATTGGGATTGGGCGCAATTTCAAGATGCGTCATGGCAAGTAGCAATGTTTGTAGAATTAAGAATTAAACTGGGAGCTTGGAAGGTTTTATGTACAATAAAACTACAATGTAAACAGATTTCTTTTGGTGCTGAAATGGCTTTAGCTGTTCATAAAACGAAGTCAGCAAAGCACCGGGCTCACAATCTAAAGTTGGCGAGTTCAAATCCTACCCGTGGACCGGCGTCCTTCTGTGTGGTTCCCTAAGGACGGAATGGTTTTCGTTGTAGTTATACTGACGGCTCTTACAGCCAAACGTTACAAAACTCCGTGTAAATCGGCTGGTAAAACATGTTTAGTGTTAACAACAGTTCAAGGCAAATAATTTGGGAGAATACTCTTTAGCAGTTTCATTTTGAGTTTAGTCATGACAGTAGTATTTTGACTCCCTACCTTCGTTCCGTAATTTTTAAGCTGAATGCGGAGTCTATGACTACAAAACTCAAATGTCCGTTGTCAAGGTTTCGCCTTCACTTTCCTTCTTTATCCCTGTCATTTCCTCTCCCTTGTGGAGTCCACCCTGAACATTTCATCGTCCTCTTGTATTATCTCATTGAACCTTCCCTGCTTTTGCTTAGTGTATACAGGTTGCTTTTGTTAGTAATGACTCGAGTTCCCTACACATATATACTAGTACTTTCTCATTATACATTGGCGGCAGACTACGTAATACTGTTACTGTAGTATATTAACGGGTTTAATTGTGCTTTCTGATTGATAAACCTCTGCTCTGCGTTGATTACCCATTACAGTGATTAAAAGTACGTAAATTTTCAGTGTCCTAAAACACGCAATCGATATTAAGCACTCAAGTGCTGTGCAAAAGCGCAGGTAAGAGAACTATACTTCAACACAAAAAATAAGGGTAAGAACAAAAAGTGGTAGAGCGTCGAGAAGAAATCAACAGTGGGAAGTAAACTTCTCTGAGAAAATTAATGCAACTTACGTCTGCATTTGACATTGCATTGAGTCTCGTTATCGAATCGGTTTAATCCAGGCCTCGAATTGGTATGCTTCGAGAACATCTTTGAGCATTTACCGACATTTGTATCGTAATACCACGCTTCGAAACCAGATCCGTCACCAGCCACTTCCGGAGGAAGAGCACAGACGTCCACTTTCTCATCGGCTAGGCCAGAGCAAGAACCTAGAAGAAAAATCAAACAAAAATATACAGCATTATTTTAATGCGAGTGTTAGAGTCAGAGTCAGTTTATACTTCATCATATGACATACACCCGTTTAAAGCGAATACTTTCATTGTCCGTTTTGTTCTGAAATATACAAAACCCAGGGTTAACTTGGTCTCCTTATTCTAGATTCGAGCAGGGCTGTGGCTGATTTGACCATACCAAATCGCTGGGATAGGACTTTTTTCCTCGTACCTCAAGGGTCCAGCGATAACGCGAGACTGACTAGAGGCACCACTCGAACTGCCGTTTTATATGCGCTTTATTTTCCCGGATGTAATAGCCGTAACACGTAATAAATTTCCCTAAAATCACTTGAATTTCCAAACGAAGCAAGGAATGCTAAAATAAAAGAGCTATCCTTTATTGACGAATACAAACTGTGTTTCGCCGCGTGGCAGCCGCGTGTATTTGATAGCAGAAGTGGAAATAATTGCACTTTTGTTGCCATTGCCCGCCATTGCTGGAAAAACGCTTTAAATATATTTCGGTCCCCTACGTTTTTATCTAAAACTCACATAATCACTTGATAATCGTTACTTTTCGAAACTCCGTGGGATTCTCATCTAAACCGCTTTTAGTAATTTGCGTTTTGACCAGGTTCACTGATTCTGGTCTCGGTTATAAAGAGACCATTCTATCCATCCCACATTTTATGTTTCGGTTACTCTCTGTGCTGAAGCCTTTATGCCAAAGCACCAACATGACAGTGTATTCACATCTTATTTCTTCTTAAGAACCACATAGACATATTCTGGCAGCTTAAACGTTAAACTGAGAATGCAGCTGAGAAAACTAAGTATTTTGCTGCTTCCGCCATACGACTGCCGTACGGGAGGCGGGTGTCACGTAGTAGGAGTCTAACATACAAATCTGCTTTTGTCCAGTTGTTACATAAATGCTACAGTTCTGAACAATGAGTTCTTTTTGCGTTATGCTTGCTTACTTTAAGGTTTTCTGAAGTACGCATTCAGGCTTAGGCAATGATATCCGTCATCCTGGTCAACTATCAATTGATAAGCACACTTATGAATCCTCAACCCAAAATCTCGTCTTTCAGTAGAGAAAGGTGGGGCTGCTTTCTATTACATACCTTAGTGCATAAGAGTGGCTTATAAAATGTTTGAAGTGCATTTGTTGCCTCTCGGACTGGCCTTACGTTAGGCAAGTGTCATTTGTATTCTCGCAAGCTGCATTCTGACATCAGTCAAAATGTTTGTTGATATTTTTTGTGCGTCTTTTCTTTACATTGCTGTGGTTTGGCGCGATTAGTTCGCGTTAAATCTTTTTGTCCCCCCTACTGCGAGACCCCTGAGTTATTTTAGGTATAAAATTTAAGAAAGATAATATTTTATAGTATAAACAAGTTTTTTTTTCTTTTTGCCTCTTTTTTAGTTTTTGCAATCTGCGCTTCCGGAGAGTGAACCAGCGGCGCGTGCCAAGGTGTCGCGTTCCGTTTTTTCTGTGTTTTGTCTGATGTGCTTTGCAAGAACAACGTCAGATTCCGACAGGTGTGCTGAACATAATCTTTGCGGGACGGATATTTCCTAAAGAGCACACATGCAGTTGTTGCTAAGGGCGGCGTAGTCAGGGGCAAGGTGTGCGTCTTTTATGTAGTTTTGAGTGGCACATATTGTAGGGTGGTTTCATTCGAAATCGAACACGCGGGCTAGAGTGGGTATTTTCATTGTACAAAAAAAACAAAAACACTTTCTTTCAGATTGTTTTTTTCCAGAACAAAAGGTAACTATACTCCGTTCAACCTTCAGACCGATCGCAGTGGACACCACGAACTATTCCAGCCGATCCAGCGCCGGCAGAAAATCGCGTGACCTCCGGTTGGGCAGAGCGACGCAGGGAGCTCAAGGTCACATGACACTCTCTCCGCGCTGGATTGGCTGGGATGGCTCGTAGCGTCCGCTGCGCTCAGATTGAAGGTGAAACGGAGTAGAGAGCAAGGTGGAATGCTAAGTTTAGGCTGTTTGATTTTTGTACCCAGTCCTGTAGGTTATTACAAATAGGTAAAACCAAAAACACTCACGGTAATTTTTATGTTAAGGAATGACGCATAACCTATTTTTTCTTCTAAACTTAATAGGTTTGGCATATTTTATGCTACGAATAAAAAAAAAACCCAAATATCGCACTTTCACGTTTAGTTGACGTAATTGGAGGATTGTGCCTGATGATTCAATATACATTTTACCTCATAAATATTATATGCCTGTATTCCTATACATATGCAATGGAGCGGTACCACTTTAGATTAATTTATTTTGACAAAATAGTTTATGTGAATTTTTAAACTTCATCAGAAAGTAAATTAAGTCATACTTTGAGCTCGTGTTATTTATAAGTGCTGTAGTTTTTCTATTTCTTATTTACTTCATTGTTACCAATAATTTTATAATAAAGAGCATCACCGGTTTCGGGGGTTTGTCTTACATGATGTTATATTTTTGTGCGCATAATTGAAATTCCCCCTTATTTGTGTTTTCGGTAGAGGTGGTAAAGCACACATACATGCACACGAATCAACTTAAGCGTAGTTGCGCAAGTCGGCTTTACTGTAAAGGGTTTCAGCCTTAAGATGCAAAGGGAAGTACAGTGGAATGTGTTTGTTAGGTAAAGGGGTGACGGAGGGAATGAGCTTTATTATGTATTTGTTTTTATCGAAGAAACGTCCGCCTTGGTGGTGTTTTCCTGAGTAGATGAGTTGATGTGTACCATATCTTTTTTAATCCACCATTAAATTGAAGACGGCTTTCCTGAGTTCTGGAGAGCCCCTGGGCCGGGGAGACTCCTCTGGCATCCTCGGTTTGTAGTTTCTTTCGAACTTGTTGTGGAGAGGGTGAAAAGGAGAGGCCGACATGTACGTGCTCCGATTATAGAAAAACGTGTTTTTCCCACCCTTCCTTAGGTCTTACTTCTAGCGGCAGCGCATAATGTTTATATCTATATTATGCATATTGAAATTAAGAGACTGAAGTTTAGGTGAGTATTGTTGTTTAATTATATGTCATGTATATATAAAAATTTTTTAACTATTCATCTTGTCTATATTCTTAGGTGTGTCCTGCTCTTTTCCTTCCAAAGAGTGTACTAACTCAATCCTAAGGGTTGTTTAAACCAGATGATATCTACACATGGTAGACCTGGTGTTGTCGCTAGCATTCCAGGTCCTTTAAGTGCTCCAGCTTTTTACACTCGAACTTATCTTTGCCCCGTTTTAAAAATGACTGACGTTCACAGATTTGGTTGAGTCTCCAACCAATGTCCGACATAAAAATAAGATATATCAGAATGACCGCTTTTTCTCTTATGAAACACCTCAACATGGATTTGCTGTGGTTACTTAGCTTTTTGAAGGGATCACGAAGATCAGTTCTTGCGTTGCAATTTTAGTTTTGAGCAAGTACAAAACCAAAGACAAACAATGGGGGAGCACACGTAGGCACATACAGTTTGCAGTGAGTTGATCTTCCTTTAATTAAGGCGGAGTGAATAAAACGTTGTACTCTCCGTTCTGGATTTAAGAAAGACTAGGCAGTTCTCCCAAATAGAGCTTAACATTTATATTCTGATGATTTTCTTATTGCTATCTTTCATTACTTTCGTTACATGCTTTATGTCTGGAGTACGAATAAACAATGAATATCGTCTTTGAGGAGTACTTAGTGGCCAAGTATAATATCGAAACGCTTGCCCGTGTCCACTCGCTTGTGATTGTCCCTTGTGTCGCGCAAAAAAAAAACCCTCTAGACTGCATTATAAACCAACTAGGCCAACAGCAAGTTTTAACTAACCTTCCACGTTGAGTTAAAATGTAACAATTCTCAAAGATCGCAGTGGGTCAGCAGTTGTGTACATTCTTAAGGCAGGTACTTTGAAGCTTCATAACTTAATCCGGAATTAGCTTAACGCTGAGAGAGTTGAGAATCTAAAGCTGTCGACGTGCTTAGCCAATGGCGTTGAAACAGCGGAGGGGTAGGGGAGACACTTTTTATATAATCGGCACGTCCACACCACTCTCTCTCTCCTCTCCTCTCTCCATCGCCACCTTAAACCACCCCTTCATGTCGCAAACACTTCCCGCCCTCTTCCCTTAAATTTTAAAGGGTAAAAAATCATGCAGTAAAATCAAAGTTTCAAACTACATCTTTGCCGATGCGGGTGCACGTATTTGTGTTTGAGCAATTCTACGGAAGATACTAGAAAAAGTAAACTTTAATTATGCCAACAGAAATTTAACAGTCATGGGAATAACAAAAAATAAATAAGAAAGGAATAGAAAATGCCTTTTGTAATAAAGCGAGTTCAAGTTATGTCCAAACTTAGTTTTTGACGAAATCTAAAAATTTATCGAAATTATTTTGCGAAAAAATTTTAATTGAAGTGGCTCCAGCCGATAGCGCGTTATAGGCATTCAGGCAATAGGCATTTAATGAGCAAAAATATAATTAATCCTAAGATACAAGGCTTCAAATATATCATCAATACTTCAAATATGCTATGTTTGTCATTTTTTATTTATGGGATAAACTCCACCCGAGCATGTTATGCTAGAAGCAAAAATAGGACAAGTATCGTACATTTCAAGACATAACTAGGGTGAGTGCATTTGTTCCTTAATGTCGGATTTCAGCTTCCTCCTCTTCACACTTTATTGGGGAAAAAATGTTGATATTGTCTTTGCTGAAATGGGGCTATACTTTACTATGTATTGAGGCAAATTATAATCCCCACCCCTACACCCACGTTCGATTTCAAATAAAACCACACAACATGACCTCTTCTATGTGGATAGATGGCGTTTTCTTAGGCATTACAAATTTGTTTAAAAAAGCTGAGAAAGCTAGACTAATTAGGTTTCAAGAGGTGAGTTAAACAACCACGGAAATATAATATAATTAGCTAATTGTCACAATGTCAATAAATAATGTCAATATGTTTTTGTTATATTTTAACGTGCGAAAATATACGTATACTTTCATTAAACACTTGCTGAGCGTCATCTGAAGCAACTGCGTTAGTACATAAAAAATGTGGACCCCGTAGGAACCGCGGTGGTGCGCTAAAGGTATACAAATTAGTTTCATAATCTTATCATCCGTGTTTTGCATTAAACTCCGTTGCGTTATTAGCTATTCTGGAACCAAGTTTATGTAAAAACTTGGAAACAGCATAGGTTGTTCTTGTTGTTCCATTAAAAAAAGGCATTTGAAAAGCGTTGCATTTAAATACCTTATACATGCATAAGGCACCGCATATTATGATAGTTTTAATGTATGGACAAGGTGCAATGTTACCTAAACTTAACGCAGCCGCAAGGTGTACAGTTTTATTGTACGTTTTCTCCTATTTTTTGGCCTACCGGTCAAACTACGTCGTAAAATGTTGACGCCATGATCAAAACCCCCCACAAGGCAATATATTACACCTGCTTCAATTAACAATTTTGCTTTGAATAGCCAACAAAATGTCAGTATTTAGTTAAGTGAGTGGTGGCGTTATGTTTGAGGAGAACTGTACACATTTGACGACATTGGGTCTAAGTTAACAATCTAAATCGCGTGAAACAATAAAATCACAAGAAATACAACAAACGCCTTTAAGGATGCTATGGTATGGCGCCTATTAAACGTTCACGAAACGTTTTATTCGAAAATGCATCGTCTAAGCGCAATACATTCTCAGCACGGACATACAAATAGTGCGTAAACATTTTTAAAGCAAATACACTAGAGCGGAAAACCATCACTGAGTTGCCTTGTAAAACATCTTCATACCTATATTTCTTGTTTTATCATACAAATAATCCATAATACAATTTTATCGCGATTCTATAAATATTCTGAAATTACTTACAAATTCCTGCTAAAGCGAGCATCCACACTGGTCCGAACAGCATCATAAGTTATTGGACAGGGCTAATAGAGGACTGACATATCTCAGTAATTTCATTGTCTTTTATATAATTTGTGCCTGGCGGAACTGGAAGGAAAACAATGGTTCGCATGACGTAAATGCTGAAGTCAAAATGCATGATCATTGTTGCACAGGGATACTAATAACAATCGCAATATTACGTCCTGTAAAATCACGAATTCTCTAACAAAGGTCACCATTAAGATTTGCAAGAACCTTTAACAAATCGCTAACAAACGTCGTCCAACGTGGCTTTTTGTATTGTGTGCAATTGTTTTTTTTCGTTTCCTAATGTGGCGATAAGCGAGCGTTCATATTGATATTGCGAATTTGTAGAATGTCCAAGTAGTAGGCAAGCGCTTGAAAATGTGGTATTTTTGAAGCACTAGAAATTGTGGCCTCACAACACTACCAAAAGGCAGTGTGTCAAGGTGAGCACGTATTTGACTGGTGAAATTTTATTCAATAACATACACGAATGTCAGGCAACGTGATCAGGTAATTTGTTTCGCATTTCTAGAAACATTATTATTTAAAGCAAAATCTATTTATCTATTCTCGTTACTTAGTTCAGCGTCTAAAAACCGCGAATAATGTGAAAATAGTGAATCAAAACGCTAGCATTGCCCCAACGAGCAAGCAAAAAACACTTCTTGTGCACAGTCTTCCGCAGCGGTCAAAGACCTAAGCCAAAGCAGTGGAGATTCAAATGGGCGCTTTGAAAGCGGCTTTTGTCTGCCGACATTCCTCGCAGTTTAAAGATGGATCTCGCAAGGAAATATTGTCCCTGCTGTAACTACGTAGCTGCAGCTCCACGTATCGTCTTTTTGCTAGATTCAGCAGTTACTCTTTATTGCTAACCTTTTCATCGCTACTGTAACCTGGGAACATGCGGCACCGGTAGTAAGGCCCTTCGGCAATAATCTGATATCTTTATCAATAACGCTGCAAAAATAAAACACCGAAGACGACGAGAGACAACCGCTCTTGAATTTCATGTTTCGGCAGAATTGACAGCAGTGTTTTATTAAAGAAGTACAAATCTGTTTCCCGAGCTCTGATGACACTGGGAAGCAAGCGAGAAAAACGGTGATATCACAAATTATACTTTATGCAATGTTTATACAGTATATCGTCGTTCCAAGACCAATTTTCTGATGTTTCATCGAAATAATTCACGTCACAGTAATATACATCAGAACAATCTAAAATAAAGGAAAAATCGTGCGTTAAAAAAAATTTTTTTACGAAAGAGTTTCTTTTTATTTCTTCAAACTTGCATTGCTCTATATCAAGTGTTTCTGCGAGGGATAAAAAAATTATACAAATACCTATGATTGGAATTAAAAATATTTTTTTCAGGTAAAAAAACTATACAAGGCGGACATCAGGAATTAAAACCCAGAAACACAAGCTAATTATCTAAATAGTTAACCAAACCAGTACCAAAGGGAAGTTCGAAGCTGCGGACAGAAGAACCCCATAAACGTTTCTAAAACTAAAAAAAGGGATCTTGTAAGCACTAAGCACTTCAGCGGGAGGAAATCACTAGCTTTTCTGCAGAAAACCGAAACGCGCTCGCTTTGACAACGTCACACCGCCTGTGCAAGCAAAATAATAGGAAGGAAAGAATTAAAATTCCACAACTCCCTGAACTTAAAAGCTGCGCATGAGTTCCGCAACTATCAAGGCTATAAAAAAGCAAAACCCGTTGAAAAACAGCTGTTCCTTTTCTTTCTCTTCGTGTCGTGGCAAAAGCAAAAGCCTACCGCGTGTCAAACTTGACGGAAAAATAACGCAAAGGGTTTTAACTGCACGCCGTAGAAGAGTGACGTTTCAACACGTCACCAGCGGAAGTTTCCTTTGCGCGTGATTTTCTCGGTTTCTTATGCGTTGTGTTTCGGCTTTCTGCAGCTGCCCTGTTGACGCGAAGGACATTTTCTTCGTTTTAAAAACAGATATGAAAGCGTTGTGCCGCAGCATCAAACGTTTTTATTGGTATTGGCTACCAAACTGGCGCTAGTTAAAAAAAGGAAATTAGTGAGTTTGTTAGTTATTTAGCTGATTAGTGCACTTTTGCAATCTTTGAGGTGTGTAGTGGGTGGCAGTTTGTTCCCGAAGTGCATTTTTTTTTAATCTAACACGGCACATTCTATGGATTTTGGAAAGTTTTCGATGAAACACTCGGTATATGATTTTCAGTTTTGAGCGAAGCCTCTAGCTAAAATATTGGTATCAATAAAGCTGACAATGTTGTGAATGGCTCAAAATTCACAGATTTAAACCGCTCCAATACAAGTTTTGATCCCTTGAACACCTTATGGTAGCGTCTCACATCACCAATTCTTTATGCCTATTTCTACCGTTACCATTTTGCTACCTATCTCTTCGTTGACTTCTTGAAATTCTTGAAATGCCTTGAAGTTTTTTTTTTTCCATTTAAACTTTGGTCAGTGTAGTTTTAACTCATATAGTAATCACTTGCCTCTTTGTCACCGATTTTCGCCGTCCAATTTTGAATCCATCCAACCAATTAAAGCACTGAGCATCGATATATATATATATATATATATATATATATATATATATATATCAAAACTAAAAAAATAACTCTTTTTTTGTTAAGATAAAAAGCTTTAAAACATCATAATCCCCCTTTGATAACTCGCCAAAATAAACATTAGAGGGTTCTCACATGCTGATGCAACTCTGGCAAGCAATTACTTCGACTTTAGTTCCTCGACTTTCACATCACCTTCAATACGGTAACATAGATTTAGGCAACATTTCTTTAAAAAACTCGCCTCGGATGTATTTGCAAAATATTAACTTTTTCATGTACATAATAAAACGATTTTTGTGCCTAGTTCCAGTATTTATTTTTTTAATATTACTTCAATGACTGCATGACATAATATTCTGTTGTGCGTCGTTTTCATATTCTTTCATCGTACAACCTATTAGCTAACATATTTCCTATGGAGTTCAGTCCTGGCGTTACTTCATTTCTTGTGTGATCATTTTACATGTTGTGCGTAGCGTCCTTCTTTTTCCTTTTGCTCGGTGTGCCTGTACCAAGATTTAAATGGTCGTTCCTGGCACCGAATAAAACTCATTATAGATTCTTTATAGTGTGACGTTCTGGAGAGTGTTTAATCTTATAAAAAAATCTGTGTTTTGTGCCAGCCCTCATGCTCCTCCTATTCCTTGAATACTTTCAAAAGACCATCATGTCAAGCGTCCAAAACTGCTAATTGCTGAGATTTTTTTTTTGTAATGATGGTGCTTAATGATTTGATGAAGTACTCGACTCCCTTCAAGATTAATTGTACAAGCCCTCACCATTCCGTATCTGCCTACCATATACTTTGATAATAGAGACCAGCTTCCACTACAAGACCGGAGTATTGTCGCTTTCTATAAGAATTATATATGGTGTTTTATCTTATTTTTTTGCAAGGACCGGTATGAACTCCTGTTATTAAGGGAGTATGCAGGAATGTTTGTTATATACTGATGTACATTCATAGGAATTTCGCATTTGTAGACGTGTTTAACATTTATAGGACAACATAATCAGTGATATCAAGACAAATACAGGCATAAAAGGGACAGCTGCAAAGTGTCAGGTGCAAACATGTTTAGAAATGCACCTATACAACTAAAATATAATTTTACCTTTATACTTAAAATAAGTAATTTCTCTTTATATCGTTTATTAACGCAGGGCCAGAATCCATACTATTTAGTGAAGCATAAACACTATCTTGGCACTGAGGATACGTGACAGTTAACGTAATGTATAAACTTTTATTCGCAACAGTTATGCATATTAGATTGGAGTGATATACCGATGTAGTACAAAATAATGTAGAAACACAATGATCAAACATTCGTGCAGTAATTTTCGACTAACAAAACGTCTTTTTTCTGCTTGGGCGGGAAGCCCTAGCGTCAACCATATTTGGCGTATTCATAACGTCAGTCTCATCTTTTACTGTCTGTAAACGAATTAATTTGCTTGTGCTGTAAAAATATGTTTCGCTCCATCCATGGCAGGTGTTTAGAAAACTAGCTTAGGCACTTTATTTCTCACAATAAATCTGCGTAATGCCAACCAACATTTATTAATGTGCACGGCAGTAGAATGGAGGGTATTGTGATGTCCTCTGGGACATGGCAGACAAAAAGAACAGAACCAGCACAGTCAACCTTCCGAACCAGACTGTCTTTTATCGACAAAGAAGAAAATGAAGCACAGATCATATGGTGGTGGTGATGATTTGTACATATGTTGCTAACACAACGCAGCTATCCAACTCGGAACAACACATTGCCTTCCCCTAAAAAAAACATTTTTTCAGTTACACCAAGCGAAACAAAGTATCAGTGTTTGATGCGTGCCCTTCATTGCTTCACATGTTATGTGACATAATCCCGTAACCAGCTTGGTGGTTTAGGTGATCGTGTTAAGGGCTGCCGCACGTTAGCGTCCGGTTGCGGCATTTGCTGGGAAGCTGGGAGAGGCGCGGAGGTAGACTCCTCCCGTCCAGGCGGTGTCCTCTGCTCTGCCACAGCAAGTTCAGGCAGCTGCTCGTCTTGCAACGATCGCTGGTGGGATGAAACTGACTGCGGTTCTATCGGTGCCCCTGAATTCAACGGAAACCATCCTGGCCAACCTGGTTGTTTTTCGTTACCCGCTTGAGGGACGAGAACTAATTTCAAAACGTTCCCCGTCCGTCCGTCTGTCTTCCAGCAGAAACGTGCCTGCTCCTTTTCTTTTTAGGATCTTCAACGGTGTCGTGTACCGAAGGTCTCCTTTCGCGCCTCCAGGCGGCTTGCGTACTCTGACGAAATCGCCTTGCTTAAACTTGGCAGCTTTTGCACCAAGTTTTTCGTCAGTGTAGGCCTTGCTTTTGCTCTGCCGGTCCTGGACTCTCTTCCGAAGAGATTTCATTTCGGCTTATGGTCGTTGAAAGAAGTCCTTGGATGGCAGTCCTATTATATCTAACCTTGTCCTTGGCTGCCGACCGTGCAGTAGAACGGCAGGAGAGATTTGGGTCGTGCCGTGTGGGGTACATCTGTAAACACCCAGATAGTCGGTAACCTCAGACTGCAGAGGGAGATTTTCGAGGATAGCAAGCTGGATGAAGTCCTTTAAGACACGATTGAACCTCTCAATCAATCCATTTGGTTGCGGATAGTATACTGAAGACAGGCAGTGCCGAATTCCCCTTTCTTGAAGAAAATCCTCGAACTCTTTGGATTTAAATTGCGTCCCATTATCTGTTACAATCTCCTCGGAGTTCCCTTCCCTACTGAACGCCGAGCGGAGAAACTCGATGACCGTTTGCGAGGTCACATAGCTTGTAAAGCAGAGCTCAGGCCATTTCGAGTGATAGTCTATCAGTGTTATAACAAAGTTTTTGTCTGGTGGTGCTCGAGCCAGTGGTTCGACAATATCCTAGGCCAACTTCTGCTATGGCCGAACCGGTAAAGCAACCGGCTGCAGTGGAGCGGGCACAGGCTTTGCAGACTGGTCTGCTTCCTGAAAAATGTGGCAGATTTTGACTTCTAACTCAACTTGACAGTCCATGCGAGGCCGCCAAAACCGGTCCCTGAACCTTTGCTTTGTCCTCATAATACCAGGGTGGGCTTCACGTGCATAGCGTACCATCAAGGGCGCGCCAGAGCTTCAGGAAAACCGTGGCCCCTGTACCCCCAAGAAAGCGAATAGGCACGTTGCCGATGAGAACCTCCGTAGATATTTCCCGTGCACGTCTGTAATCATCGCCGATATGCAGAACGGTGACGACGTTAGCTTCCGCCGACATCGAATCCTTGACGGCTTGAGCACTCGACATCTCGCTGGACTTGCACACTGCATCTAAGTGGCCAATCTTCTTGCATCGGCGCCAACGCTTGTTCTTCGCCGGGCATTTGTCGTAGTTTGCCTTGTGAGCTTGTGACCCGCAGCGGTAGCAACACCCTTTTGCCGAAGTAGATTTCTCAGTTTTCTTCGGTGCCACGCGCTGCACAGAAGCGTCACCATCAAACTCGTGAATCTCCCGTTGAATTTGTTCAATATGCCTGTTATATCGATCGCTCTCTGGTGTGTGAGGGTAGAGCCTTCGTAAAGCAGGCGTTCTCGAATTTGACGAGAAGCCTTCGAGGAGCTGTCTCGAATGACGTTGTCGACGCCGTCGCCGTAGTCACAGGAAGAAGCAAGTTCCCGCCGACTGGCTGCGTAGGCCTCGAACGCCTGATTAGGCGCCGGACGCCTTTGTCGGAACCGGTGGCGGTCTACGAGCACATTCGTAGTCGTGGCAAAATGAGCGTCCAGCACCGTCATTGCAGATTGGAACGCATCTTCAGACGGTGTCGTTCCCTCCAACTCGCCATCCTTCGTTGTTTTGTCGCTGCCCTCGCGAGGCTTCTCAATAGAAGGTGACTGACCGGTCCGTGCCCCGGCGATGCTGTAGAACACCCGCTGTCCCTCAACGCCCAGGGCACTGAGAAGAATTGCTTTCCAACGATTCCGCTGCAATTCGTCGCCGCCGGCAGCTTCCAGGAAATTCAGGAACACCCGTTTCCACTGCTCCCATGGAATTGCAGGCTGTCCCGGCGTAGGCAGCAGCGGGGGCGGCGATGCAGCAGAGAAGAACCCTATGGCTACAAGTAGTACAGCCGTAATGGGCTCAGCATCTCGTCGCCAAAAATATGGTGTCCTCAGGGACACGGCAGAGAAAAAGAACAGGACCGGCCCAGTCAACGTTCCAAACCCGACTGTCTTTTATCGACAAAGACGAAAATAAGGTACAGATCATATGAAGGTGATGATGATTTGTACATATGTTGCTAACACAACGCAACTATACAAATTAGAACACAACAGGTACGTTTTTGTAGGTTTTACATAATGTTTATAAAAAGCCGTGAAACCTAGATTCATGGAATGTGTGTGAGTTATACGGCCAGCGGGACACTATATCGCAGACCAATTGTCGCAATAAGTTGGATAATGCACAAAAATGTGTCAATTAACTTTTAATTATGAAAATTATACATAAACATTCCATTACAATCTTTCTGTGCATATTCTAAAATTACTAAATCAGTAAATTTTAGCGAGATGTACACACCATCACACCACCACGTACGAAGCGTGGTGGTGTGCTAAAGTTACCACACATACTACTCACTCTCAAGGATGGCGTTGTGAAAACACGTATTGTGTTGGTTTGAAGCGCAAGTTTTTGATCATGCGCGTCTATGTTTTGGCCTCTTAAGCCGTTCGTCGTGTGTGGAATTTCAGGTCAACACAAGTAATCAAGCGGATCCAGATGTATGTGTACATTTTATTCTGTATAATAGAAAAACTGGCAGCCCAATGTCGGCAAGTGTTATGTAGTATACATTTTGTGCTTCGACAATCATAAATCACACTCTCACTGGTATGTACTACCTCGGAAGAGCGTATTGCGCATGGTGCGACTTTTTTGTCCATAATATTTGACTCTTGCTTGTGGCTACACTATATATAGTGACATCAGAAGTCATCGGTTTGTCATACACAGTTTTATTGGCAACAACAAATTGGCTAGATATTTTTTTATGCTTGCTGGGATGTCCGTCCGATAATGGGACCCTTGTTATGCAGTGCAAATAATTTTTCAAAGAATGTCGGTGTCTTGGAGATTTATAGCTTCCACGGCTTATTTACAACCAATCTTTGACATGTTGGTATGTTGCTACAGAAAATAATGAGAAGTAAAATGAAAGTATATCAGCTACATAATGCTGTTTAGTCATTTGGAACGCTTACAACATTTAAGAAAATACTCACTGAGATTGTGTGTCGTATTTCTATATTCAGTCAGAAAACCAACGAAGCGGAACCTTTCTTCTGCACTATCTTCCTTTTTTTACAATATCGCTGCCATGATAATTGCGCAAATAACTTCTCTCGGGTGTAGGTCAGTCTTCTTTTAAATGATTTATCGTATGATATGCATGTCATCAGTTAAAATCTTATGACAAAAAAATCGTTTTCCATATAAAAACTAGAGTGGGTACTCTCTAAGTCGACGAACCTAGGAAGCTCCACTTATGATATCATCCCTCACTCGACGTACTATTTGTTTAACAATAATATTTCTTTTATTTTTTGGAAAAACTAGGTAAACAAAACATTTAGGAGACGGAGGCTGATAAGGGAAGCCCATAGATAGAACGAAAGGTTGCGAATAAACCACGTGTAGCTTGAAAAAATGAACTCAGATTAGGCATTTCAACCAATTCCCCTATTTCACTGTTTACTTTAATTGTTTTATCAAATCACCTAAATATTTTGCTACGCAGAATATTTATATTGTTAAAAAAACTAGCTGCGAAAGAAAGGGTATATAATATTTGAATATGTGGTTTCTTGCACTGCGACTAATGGGCGAATCCGACTGAACTTCTTTAATTCTAAACTAAATTCTATCATTTTATGGTCTGAAGGCACCACCCGTAGGGCCATTCATGCAAATACGAAATGATTAATTTTAGTCATTCTACATGGACATACTTTGTATTCTTAAAGTTTCGTAGAAGTGTGTAATCGTGTGGCCCAAGAAACAAATAAAAAAAGACGAGGAACAAGTTCGAAAAGTGGGGACCGAAACAGAGCTTGACTGTGGACATACCACCAAAGCTTTGGTTAAAAAAAAACAACCCTACCCACCACCCCCTTATACTAGAGCAGTCGGAACCTACAGAGAACAGACTCCAGTGGCCAAAAAACCACCACTGCCCAAGTCCAGCGGGATAAAAGCTCCGTCATGTCGAACACTGCGCAAAAAAACATTCATTTCTTCGCTAATAAGTTTTTGTTTCTTTCGTGCCTGGACGTGCGTGTGCGAAAACAACAGCAACGTGAATATATATTTTTGGGTAGAAACATTAGACGGATGTTGCAGTTCTTTGTTTCATTGACGCAAAAAAAGAACCTGACGAAGTGATATTGGGTTTCGGAATTCCAAGGTTGACAAACAGTGTCGTCGGTTATACTTACCCATACATGTTGCTTGACAATCTTCTTTTGTGCGAAATATGTTCGAATTTCCAGGAACATAGCCGCGAAACATTTTCTTCCTGACACAACTGTGAGAATTTATGTCGTAGTAGAATCTTGTAACGAGACCGGAATATTTATAATCTGGATCCTGCACGCAGCGGTGGCTCGATTTTTCTGTCGAACAAAATTTCAAATACAAAACGGTTACGTCTTTTTTTTTTTTTTCAATACTGTATAGTGTATATTTACGTGTTACTCAGTGGGAAATAATTTGCAAATAATAAAAATTAAGGTATCAATATGCTATAAGACTAACAAGAATACCGCCGTAGTTTTTCGTGTTTTTTGTATAAAGACATTTTATATATATATATATATATATATATATATATATATATATATATATATATATATATATATATATCTACAGGGTGTTTTTTTAGGCTTAACAGATTTGTTTAAAAATAGCTGTGAAAGCTACACATATGCGGTTTGTTCAGGTGAGTTATACGACCAGGGGGACATAATATATGGGGTCTAATCATAACGATCAGTCAACTAATCAATTAAAGTTTGTGAATTAATTTTTTATTTAGTGAAAATAGACATATGGTTTTAATTAGAAAATTGCTGAGCGTTATCGAAAACCACTGAATCAGTCATTTTCAGAAAGACTTTTAGCGCGTCAAAAGCGTAGTAACGCACTAAAGTAACCACTCGTGGAGCAGGTACTACAAGGCTATCGGTTGTGCTAGGGCGCCCGCGCTATTTTTCCGTCTCTTATCTAGCCTCAGCCTTGTACCTGCTCGACGAGTGGTAAATTTAGCGCACTACAGCGCTTCTCATACGCTCAAACTCTAAAAATAATGAATTAGGGTTTTTTGACGACGTTAAGCAAATTTTTTAATTGAAACCATAAGACTATTTTCGCTTATTATAAAGTTAATTAAAAAAATTTAATTAATTAGCCAACTGATCGTCATGATTAGCCCCATATACTAAATCCCCCTGGCCGTAAAACTTACCTGAACAAACCGCATAAGTGTAGCTTTCACAGCTTTTCTTAAACATATCTGATAAGCTTAAAAAAATGCCCTCTCTCTCTATATATATATGTATAAACATCCGGTGCAGAAGCAGAAGCATTTATAAATAACCGGCCTCTTCCTAAACCTGTCTATAAAGACTGCTTCTTTGTACCTGAGAAAACACGTTCGTGTAAAACTATGTATCATAGAGAAACAATAAGGGTACCGTATTAGCCATTGTGAAGGGGCCGGAAAAGTTTAGAATAGCTACAGGTTTCTAATTGTTTTTGCGTAGTAACGATGACCGTCTTCTCTAACTGATTTAATTTTCCGGAGACCTACATTTTTCTGAATTTTGTGATCTGACATATTGCTGAAATAGATGTGGGGAATACATTAGAATACGGAAACGAATACATTCAATGCCACTCTACTCTCGATCGCGAAATGTTATGCTCACGAATTGTTTAAGGGTTCCACACTACGCGAAATTCGTGAAATATTGAGCCCGCGTAAATAAAACCGTTTACTCTACCTTTAATTTATAAACTAGTTTGGTATTATAAAAATCCGCTAAATTGGCTGATTAAAAAAGAAAAAGTTGAAAAGATGCCTTGTTTTCTTCTTTAATGCGTTAAACGTTGATGTGCCTATGCGGCTCATTTATTTCTTATCGTCTGCATTTTAGCTCCGCCAACCTTACGTATGCGGCAGAAACAATTACTTTCGCGCAACACTACACTTACCACGCGGTGTGTTACTGTCGGCTTTAAATTTCACTTTAAATAAGTTTAGAGAAACTTTTTAGTTTGCAGTCTTCGTTCATTGTGGCAGTTGATGTTTTTCGGTTATAGTCCAGTTCAACATATGATGGCACACTTTTTCGGAGAACGGTTATAACATTTAGTGCTCCGTAGGTATACGAACAAACAAGAGTGCTTCAAGACTTCGAACTTCAGACTCGACTTCATCGTACGTTAATCTGAGCCTCACTGCGTATGTTCCTTGTTGTCGTTGAGCGTCTAACTTTTATCATCCGGTGTTTTTTGTGTAATTTGCGCTGAAACGTGTTCATATATACCACCGGGTTGGTCGGAGAGTGCTGTGCAGTGATTCTGATATGTTTCGTTTCTGGAAATAATCAAAGTTACTTAAAAATATTTGTTGTATAAGCTGCCGTCACCTTTATTATCGATGTCACTGTTGAGTATAGAACAATTCATGTTGTTGAGGACATGCGGACTTGCAGAGTTACAACCTAGGATAGTGTTGACGGCCATGAAACCCGTTTTCAGACGTTTTATGCTCCCACTCACAACATCCCAGTAGTGGTCAGCTTCGATGAGCGGGCTGATCCCCTTTCGTATTTGTTGTTGTGAGAGGAGTCAGCTATGAGCATTTATTCCGGTTTAAGTTTGTTTCCCTTGACAACCCAAGGCGTAGTTCGGTGAGGGTTAATTTGTTACGCCAGCGGACTTGTACACCACGCGTACGTAAAATTTACTGATATTGTGGTATTCATTGATGCTTATCAAGTACCTAACTGAAACTATATCTTTATTATATTGTTTAGATGTCAATTATGCAAAACTTCTCAGCGAGCGAACGCGCTGACAAGAAACGGAAAAATCCCGCGGGCGCGTATAGGTTAGATGTGCTGTCAGGAACCAGAAAACAAATCACGTGCTCCAATGTTTACTTAAATTGGCTGTTTTAGTGGTTTTTCATAATGTTCAACGAGTCTCTAACTAAAATATATATTTACACTTATGAAATTCTAATTGTTCCAATATAATCTTAAACTGTTTTAAACACTAGAGGCCAGATTCCCGAAACAATCTTACACCAAAGATGTGCGTTCAACAAAACATACAAACAAAGCCATATTCACGAAGCGAAATGTTCACAAGTTTTGCGTGAGTTACGCCAGAATCCTATGACAGCTCCAGAGGTGTCTAATACCTCCGTCAGACGGGCATCTAAAATAACCTTTACGTCAAAGGCCTTTAGGGTTTTCAAATTACCTTTACGTTCTGGCGTACCAGACGGTCAAGTAAACGTCATTTAGACGATGATTACAGCGACTGAAGTCTCGTAACTCTTTCAAACGGATAAATCGCGTTCACTCCAGAAAAATAATATTTTGGTGATGTAAATTATTTTAAAATTGTTCTTAAGCACACAAAACGTTAAAGACGACAAAACGACGAGTTCAGTCGAGTGATTACAACAAAGTCCATTTTAAGCCCAAGCAAAGTGTTTTTTTGGCAACTAGTGGCAACAGTGAGCGTCTCCCTCTCATTCAGTCCTATCGTTCCTCAGAGCTCCCGCTCATTTCCGTGCTTCTGCAACGCTTTTGCCCTGTCCGGTTCGGCGTCGCGCTCGTGCCTGAGGTTCATCGCACTCGTCGAAGGTCCTCCAGCCGATCCTCCCAAAGTCGTATCAGCAGTTCAGCACCCAGGTCGCCTCAACGCTCCAATGGAAGCGCGGCGACCCCTTCCTATATTATGTTTCACCTTATGATGTACCGCAGGAAAGGCTACAAGCGCGAGCTCCTTGCTCTGCGGCACATCTCGGCGGCACAAGCTCTCGTGACTTAACAGCGGCTGCCAACGCTATGAGCTCGCGCGTCTCGCCTTCGCTGCGGTACAACATAAGGTGAAACGGAGTATAGTCGAGGACTCTCCTCCGTCGTTCGACATATCGCACGACGCGAGAGTGAGATACACTCTAAAAAACGCCCGTGCGTCCACTTTCTCGCACAACACTCGGAGAGCCAATCACCTCAACTTACGGAGGCAGTTCAGCGAATGACGATGCCGAAACATATGTTTAGACCAAAAACGCAGTCTGAGTTGTGACATTAAGCAATGCAAGCGTGACATTTTGCATTGCTTAATGTCACAACTCAGACTGCGTTTTTTGGTCTGAACATATGTTTCGGCATCGTCATTCGCTGAGCTGCCTCCGTAAGTTGCAGTGATTGGCTTTCCGAGTGTTGTGCGGGAAGGTACACGCACGGGCTTTCTTGAGAGTGATACAGAAATATATATGTACAAAAAATATTAAATATACACAGTACAGCTAAGCAATACACTATTAAAGGATGATAAAATATAAAGCAGATAAATAAAGCTACAACTTGTAAGGGAAATCGAGAGGAGGGAAACCGAACTGCAGCAGGCGAGCAGCGGGACGACGAGGCCCACTAGATAGCTGGGGCCGTGAGTACAGAAAACTATTAGTAGAGTGAGCTCTGTACGGGAATATACGTGAAACACTCTCTTTTTCAATAATAAAGATACAGAACCATCGATTTTAGATATCAGTACTATTTTTCATTTCAATTCGCTCCTCTAGTGTACAGCGCTGCTGACGCAAGAACGTCTTTAGCAGCCGTAAAGTAGTTGCGGGAACTGAGGTTCACGAAAAAGACCTTTACGCTAAATGTCATTTCAGCTGCCGTGTGGCACTGCTTAATTGACATTTACACTAAAATTCCATCGGAGTAAAGGTTCTCTTAGGTGGGCGTTTGACAGGGGTATTACGCACTCCTTTACGATCAAGTCAGCATGGCCGACAGCGTCGCTCATTTACTCTCCGCAAGAAACAATGGACATGTATTTTTCTACATGCTCTTCACATGCGCCCCGATATCAGACAGCAGTAAAAAAGAATAAAGTATTTGAAACCCACCACGACGGAGATGAACCTGAATCCACGGATATTAAAAAGAAACAAAAAAACCATCTGCAGCAATCCCACCAACCAAGATAGCGAACGCACTCGTCGAAAAGGGGCAGCTCTCACCGACCCTATCTTCTCTTTTTGCATAATATAGAGCTTAAAGGAAAAACGCCGTATGGATTACCTTCGCAAACATATCGTACGTGATAATGTGGATGCTTGGGCTAGTTGGCAATTCATGCTTGGATGGATCAGCGCGGATATGCAGTCACACTCACAGACACACAAGAAGGAAACAGAGCTGACTAACAGCTCCAGTCTTATATTTCTTCTTCCTCAAAACTTCAACTTCTCTTTCGCCGTTAATGAGAACATTTTAAATTTTTACACACCAGAAACGAAATGGCCAGTAAATAATAATAAATAACTAATAATTAAATAATTAAATAACAACTAAAGAAATAGTATTAAAAAACTAAATTAAAAATAAATAAGAATTAAACGAAAAATTCCCCATCACTCTTGGTGCTTTGATGTTATCTCGAGGTAATCCAATTGTTTCTTTGAAAAAGCTAAGGATGAGACACTGACACATTGTTTGTCCAACCTGGCTATTTCTTCAGCTTCGATGATGTCTCGTGTCAGCTGATTACCACTTCTGGCAATATCAGTGCAGTTACTCAGTTCCGCTGAACACCCGCAATCCCGGCAATGGATACCCAGATTCCCTAATATTACTCTGTTTATGTTACAGTAATGTTCTTGTAACCGTTCATTGAGACACGTCCCGGTTCGCCCAGCATACTGTCTACCGAATGAGAGGGGAATTGCATAAACCAATCCTTCAGGGCATGGAACAAAACGGATGTGATGCTTTTTTGTACAACCTAAGGTTATATCGGAGGATGAGTTCACTTTTTTTGCACAAACTAGAGAGCTTGAATGCAGAAAATGAAGCAGAAAATACTATGTTGACGTTTGCGCGGTTGCCCATATTTTTAAGACCACGAGAAATATGGTGAATATAAGGCACAACCGCTGGCCTTTGGTTTCGGTCCTTCTTCTTACATTGGATTAAATCGGGATTTTTGATTTTCTGAAGAAGTTTCTCTTCGACAGATATTAATATGTGAATAGGGTTCCCCCTGATAGTTGCCCACCTATCTGCGCCTCAAAGCTGTTTTTTACAGCATGCGGGCATGACTTTACCTACGATGGCATTTGAAAGGCATAGGTTGACTACGCCCCTCTTAACCAATTTGAAGTGGGCCGATTGATAATGGAGCAGTGGCTTTTTCTCCCTTGGAGCGTATGACCAACAAGTATGATGAGAAATAAACAAACGGTCTGAGGTCTAAGAACCTTAGGGACTCTCCAATCGGAAGTTCATGGGTTATGTCCGAAGAATCCATACAGTTCTTAAATATCGAGAGAATATTGGACACAGTACTTGATATGTCGTTACCGCCAGGGGCCAAGAAAGTAAAAAAAATCATCGACATAGCTGAACACTTTCACAAGTTTTGAAGTGTCAAAACGCCTTTGTAGGATCTTATCCTGACGTGCTAGGTAAAGGTCACTAAGACGAGGCGCAATGCACGATCCAATTCAAACAACTTTCGTTTGCCGGTAGATGTTTCCATCCCACGTGGTGAAAGTAGATTTCAGGTGGACTGGATGGTATACCCCAAGAACGAATTTTAATGTGCATTGAAACCAGCATTGACTCCTTCGGCATTATCGCTTTCCAAAATGCTTCAGGAATGCCTCAAAGTGGTTTCCTTGAATTGCTTACAGTCTACCTGAAACCTACTTTCACCACGCGGGATGGAAACATTTATATCTTTCCACCCCACGTGGGGGAAACATATAAATGGCTACTGCGCCGATTCCACACAGTTTTATCTGTATTTTTTCTCTCGATGAAGCTCTGATGTATTACACTAAGTTCACTGTAAGTACAAAGTAAACCCGGAAAACAAAGTGAAATCAGTTTTACTACAAATAGCGTTAAATAAAATTGGTGTCTTACTTGTGCACGTTTCCCAGCACAGTTTTGCGGTAGGAAAGCTGTTTCCACCATCATCACAGCCTGAAAACTCTTCGCACCTCCCGGTACGTTTATTATATCCATATCTAGGCGTAACAGTATGGCAACTAGTCAGATTCTGTATAGGCATACTACATTTGTTTTGAATGAATCCTGTTAGGGAAAAGTGAGTTTGGAAAGCCGCACATTAAAAGTCATCCACTCCTTCCCGTGTACAAAATACTAAGAAATATGCCATCTCATTATCTCTTAAAATAAGGCATAACAAGTGTAAGAACAGAGTATGGGAAGTATTATAATGATATACAAGGCAAAAAATTATCCAGTCCCAATACACAGCTTGAATTTCTGTTCTTACTTCTCCTGTATATATACGAGATGTAATCAAAAACTTCAGGGACTGATTTTGTAGCGTAAAACAAGAGAGTAGCACGGTGATGCGCGCACAGGAGTCGATGGCAAAGACCCTGAATAAAAAATACAGTTAGGGCGCAGGCGAGCTGGTGTAAGTTTACCATTTTTTTAGACCACCTGAGACTGGGTGGAAGAAACACGGCGATGTCATCGTGTTTCTTCCACCCAGTCTCAGGTGGTCTAAAAATTGGCAAAGACCCTCCGGCGTCAATGTGCCGAAGGGCGTCAGTATGTGAACATTTAGAACTGCGCTACACGAGTTTGCATGCACGAGAATAATGGCGATCTCTCCATAGACTGCAAACAAAAGCGAGAGCTACGTCAATCTCAAGCAGAGGCATTGCAGAGACTCAATCTCAAGCAGACACTCGGCAGTCTCAACCAGAGACATCTGAAATTATTTAGGATGCTTGTGTCAAAAAGGCAGGGAGGTGTGCGAGGTGTTTTGAGTGGTACACGCACCTCAAGCATGGAAGAACGTTACCTAAGTCAAGGGGAGGTCGGATATAGGGTCGCCTACCGCTCTTCCTCTTGCGGTGTCGCTCTGCGGTTCCTGAAGCGCGAGTGTCAATCAAAACACTTCGCAGAATTTACTGCTTTTTGACACGAGCCTGCTGAATCATATCAAAGGTCTCTGGTTTATATTTGCCAAGTTTGACAGAGAATTTATGTTCGCTCTCACTTTGGTTTGCAGCCTATGGTGAATTCGCCATTGTGCCCATGCACGTGTTCACAAGAACTCGTGTAGCACAGCTCCAATATTCACGGAGCGCCGTCCTTTGAGACGATGACGCAGCAAGGTCCCTACCTTGGAGTGCTGCGCGCGAATCACTGTGCTGCTTTCTCTTTTTACGCTACAAAATCAGTCACGGTACCTTTTTTTATCACACCTCATACATGCTGCAAATATCCCACCCTTTGGTTATTTTTCCTCCCAAGTTTTAGAGTTTACCATCATGTTCAATATGCAGCACGTGGGATGAACTCTAGGTATTTTTTCAATGCAGTTTGCATACTCTTTACAGACTGATAAACATGCCGCAATGCTTTCCCTCAGGCTCCCTACGCTCCACAGGTGCGATGAAAGCGAAGGAAGCACAGAATGTTACCAGAAGGCAGGTCATGTAGCCTTCTGTATCTAGCTATTTGCAAGGGGCATAAATCAACAGCTTAGGATAGTTAATTGTTAAAAAGGCTAAACAATGCAAAATAGAAAAGATTGGTCCAATACACAAAAGTATCGGACAAAGATCAAAACTTAATTTTTCTACTTCAAAGTTTCTAAGGTTTTTTTGTCTTAAATATTTAACACACAACTAACAGTAAACTTGGAGACCAATTATCTCCGATTTATTTTTTAAATTATATTGAAATACCTAAAAAAATTATAATGTTTGCATGAAAAACTGTCAACGTTTTTATACATTATTTTAAAATACCCTATAGTTTATGCATTGCTATACACGGCGACCGCCATTTCATGTTACGTTGTGAAGGATAACTTGGTTTTCACAGTGCCGCCGCCATGCACTGCTGTGAGAGCACATACTCTATTCTCGTATTCTGTGTTCTTGCGTTTTTGTGCGAAAGAAACACCGAAAAAAGTCCGGCGCTCTCTCAAACTTGGTTGACAAAGGTGAACCACTGCGTAAACTACAAAAAACCTTAAGGATGTAACACAAATAGAAATTGTCCCTGAATATATAGTAAATAATTTGAATTCCTTCGGCATTTAAAGCTAGAGCAATAACCCTCTAATAGAAGATCTTTTTTTTTTATTGCAGCACCACCGTAAGTGTTTCACGATTTATAATAGAAACTGCTTGGATGTTTAGCCCCACTTACAGACTTATTAAAAATCCGCTTATTTCAAAACGTTTTGAAAACACTGGGAGCTCACCGTTTGGAGCCTGCCTCCAGAAACACAGTCGGTGTATATAAAAAAAAGTTACAGAAAAATAGTGGAAGATAATGTATTCGCATTGTTTTTAACGCGTAATATTTAGACGTAATTCGTGATGGTCGATATAAGATTGAACTACATGGCGTGCAATAAATCTAGTCATTACCGAAATACGACAGAAATTATCAACATGCAGGTTCTGGTGTTTTATAAAAAGAACAATAAACTCTAGATTCAACGACAAAAATAATCCCTGAAGAGGAGAACAAGCGGGACAAAGGGCAAACACAAATCTTCAAACACAGCTAGGTAACTGGTGAGCGACCGAAATAATCCGCCCGGTCCGGGTATCGAACCCGGTACCTCTCCATTCAAAAGCATGAGGGTGACAGAGAAACACGCTACTTCGGTCGACGGCAGTTATTTTTATGCATGGCAGCTTTCGGAGATATTGGTGAGTGACGACTTCATTTGCCGCGAAGGCAGACCGAGAGAGTAAAAGTTAGGCCCATGATAAACGCCCAAGAGTTGTACAACGCTGCTTCTGGCTCGAAATCTCTAGCGGAATCCATGTCGGTGACATTCGTCTACTTTACGACATAGTCCGCTATACTTCTTCACTCTCAAGAAAAAAGGGTGTCAAAAGGTGTATTGTTACGCCCTTTTGTCCCATATAATACACTCCCAAACTTCAATTCGAGGTACAGCGCCCCACAGTCGAACAGACGGCCCGAAATTTTACGAGGGGCGTGTGGTACAACTTATTAAAATAGCTAAGGTACGTCTTACGGAAAACGAAAAAAATAATCCGTGTTTTCTTGGCCCAACTCTAAAAACTCGGTGTTTTCTCTATGTGGTCTTTGATACGTACTTTAGCTATTTAAAATGTTGTACCACACGGCTATCAAGCCCCTCGTAAAATTTCGGGCCCTCTGTTCGACTGTAGGGCACTGTACGTCGAATTGAAATTCTGGGGTGTATTATATGGGACAAAGGGTGTAAGAATACACCTTTTGACACCTTTTTTTTGAGAGAAGGAACAGGAAAAATCAGGGAGACACTGCTTATGCGCACTATAGTGCGCATAAGCAGTGTCTCCCTGATTTTTCCTGTTCCTTCGCGTCCTGATCGATTCCGCCAGCCAGAGTACCCCTGTCTTTTTTCGAACTTCAGACAGGCCTACGAACGATAAGTCGGCGTGTCGGTGGGCAAGATTGCCCCGGCAGACACCGCCGGGCGGCTTTGAAGATGGACCAAACGGAGCAAGCTATAATTTAAGCCTCCGAATTACATTCCCGATTGTACTTCTTGAGTTATGTCGTCGACTGAGCCATCTGCTTGCGTATGCGTTTTACCAACACCAATGACGACGCTAATAAGAGGTAGGATATGTGCATGCGAATCGGGGGGACGTCTCACATGCGCGGTATGTGTTCCCAAGAGTGCCGCGGACGGCTTCTTGACGTTGCATTTCATAAGTTTGGAACAAGGTGATTGATGGCGTGTTCGGAAGAAACATCAGGTGCAAAACCCCTATTCCTATTCTTATCAGCATCTTAATTTTATTCGACAGAATAAGGTGCGGCTGTGTGAAAGTATTAATAGCTTATCATATTCAAGCTCGGAATATGCTTATATTAGGCATTACACCTGCCATCTATTTCCGTTCTAAATCTCGCAGCGGCGCGAACAATAACAACAAAATCTAAATTCAATGAACCGTCTATAGCCTTGCCCTTCACACTACGCAATTTTACCTATTTGATAGCCCGTAAGCGATTTTTCGTTAGCCTTGTCTTTGGTGTTGGTGACACTAAGAAATTTTTTTGCAGCCATTAGCTTATTTTTTCTAACCCATAACTGGATTACAGTGTGTTTTTGTTGATAGATAATTGTGTTATTTGTTTTTTTAGTGTTCACTCCCTTGTATAATGCCCCTGGGCCTTCAAGGAATAATAAATGATGATGATGATTATGCTTGGTAAAGCGCAGAAGCAAACAGATGGCTTCACCAACAAAAGGACCCAAAAATTTAGATCGGGAACGTATTTGATAGATTTAAACTCAAGATTATTCGTTATTATTTTTTTTTATTAAATAGGAGCTGTTCAGGGCTAGATTTTTTCAGGGTCATGTACTGTACCAAACAGATGTCGACACAACGCTTTGGTTGCCGCCGTTGCTCATAGATGGCGGTAGCTGTCCAGAGTGTTGGTTTGACTGTTGTCTGCTTGCCGCCGTCGCTCATAGATCGCGGCAACCTTTCCAGCCTCGGCAACCAGACAACTGGTTGCTGCCGTCGCTCATAGATGGCGGCAACATTTCTTCGGGGGCAGAAGAGCGGGAACTGAACGAGCGGCGATGTGCGCAGCAGCGCAAATGGTTCCGCAACCGGCGCGACGCCGCTATCGCCTCAAGGTCCACAGCGTTCAGCGCTTCAGATTTCCTTGCAAAAGAAAAGCAGATTGCTCGCCTGGAAAGCCACCGCCGAGAACAGAAGCTACAGCTTCACTGCTCTTCCTTTTTCATCAAAGTGAAAAGGCTGACTGTTTTTTTGTTTTTTTTTAGCCATCCGGTTGCATCTGTCAGCGCTTCTTGACCGCCGACGAGCGGACTTCTTGAGAACCACCTCGTGTAAAGTCCCGATAAAAACCAGTATATACAAAAAAAGAGTACATATGATGCATATTTACGTTCCTAACAACTCTGGCTTGTGCAGTCGATCAGGACGCAAAAGGGCTCGACCGATCTGTCAAACAGTAGGGAGCTTTAGTAGACTGTGTTTCCCCCTCCGCTAACCCTCCGCTACGAAGAAACCACCACTGCGCCTGCGTGCCGATGGCTTTGGCTGTAGAGTTCCGGGTAGCGGAGGGGCTTAGCGGAAAGGGAAACACGATCTACTAAAACTCGCTAATGACTCCGAGCATAAAAAGTCAGAGCGAAAGCAGTCCGAAGTCAAAAACATAAATTCCGCCAAAATTTCAAGCCAGAAGTAGCGTTGCATTATGGTTTCGTTTACGCACACTACAAGTTTTCCTTATTTGGAATCCCTGAAGCTTCTCTACTGAACGGGCGACGTCGGGAACGTTTTCATTGCACCGTCAAGATATTTGTTATATTTTAAAGCTTTCTTAAGGAAATAAAAGTCATCTTACTTCCGCATCGCTGGTTACAGTCACTGAATGAAAGAAAAGCGTTGTCCTGCCCATTTGGGCACTCATAAGGACTCATTTTGAGACAGCTTTCGTTCCTGTGATTGTAGTAATACCACAGGCGGTCACTTTCTTTACACGGGCTCCCAATCGACTTCCCGCAGGGACCCATGTCTGGAACTTAAAAGAGAAGCACACAGGGGCTGAATTCATAACAAAATACCCAGCGAACTCCTTGTGTTTTGTATTATATGTTCTATTTGAGCAGTTTGCGCACACTGTTTACTACAGTGATAAGCTGCTTTCTACATAAGTCTGTCAAAACAATGAGATGAGCCTGCATTCTTCTATGTTCAAATTCATTAATATCGGATGAAAATAATTTGTCACAGGTGACCAAAAAACGGTTGTCTATTTTTCTCGGACTGGCATTAAGTTGAGTATGCGTACGCTGTAGTTTTCTATGACAATATTAACTATGAGACGTTATGGCCCAAAATCAGAAGGAAAAAAAAGAGGCCGACAACAAAAAGCAGAACCTTCTCAACAACCCTGGAAAAACTTTTTGTATTTTTAATTTTTTTTGTATGTTGTTGTTTCTCTTTTCGAAATTTGTTGGTTGTTGTTTTCCTTTCCCCTTGTGTGCGGTTCACAGTGCCCCTCAAATTGGTTCATGTTTGGTTGATGCCTTGTGACGTTTTGTTTTTGTCCTTGGCTGTTTTTTTGTCCTTTTGTCCATAGATCCTAGTTGTTTCGTGGTTTCTTTTGTTGCGCTTATCGTTCAGTGTGTACTTCTGCTATGTCGTGGGCCTATTTAAGAAGGTCTTGACTTAATAAACTTTAGCTGTTTTGGAGTTTTCAGTAGTCCGTTTCCTGGTTCTTCCCTTCTCCTAGACTACCATGTCTATCTGAAACCAGCTTGCCTGTATTCTCGCCATAGTTTTCAAATACGCGCAGCATTATCCATATAAGGTGGCCACGTCGGATGAACGTGTAATTGCGGGTTTCTTGATGCTGGTGTAAGGATTTGGTGAAAAAGAACACAGTATCTTCTTCGCTCGGAATAATTGTATGTTGTGGTTATCTTAGTCAAAGCAGCGATTAGACATGAACTACAAACCTAGTGTCCATTAAAACGTTAACTGCACTGTACCGCAAATAGGGCGCTTACACTGTGACGGTCTTAATGTTATCAGCCACACCCAGCGGTATAGCATTAACCCCACAAATAAGCACGGTCCACTGGGTAGTTTCCCAACAGCTTTTGTAACGTCGTTTGCGTCAGTGGGAAAACGTCGGCTTTTATCCTATTACAGCACAATAAGAAATTTGGAGCTTCTACATACCCGCTTAAGCACTTCGGAGGACCAATCGCTGAAACCCACGGATGGCGCTTGGCGCATTACGAGGTTTCAAATATATTTATACTTAAAAATAAAACAATTTGGGCCCTGGTACTAAGCATGGTGAAGCGTCGTGCACAGCATCTCAACGCACTTATCTAAGTATAATTATATTTCAAGCCTCGTGGTTTGCCGGGCTCCCTTCATTGGTTACAGCAATTTTCTCTCTCCATGGCTTTCCGGGAAAGTAGTTGCATCAGGTTTCTTAGAGTGAGGGCTAGGGTGTTCGTGATGTCTTCATTATGAAACTGCTTGGGATATCCGAAGGCAATATTGTTTGCATGGTTTATTTATTTGTTACGATGTTGATAGCTCAATATTCGTGGAAAACATTTCGCTCCTAAACCAATAAAGTACTGTTGAAATCAAAATCAAAGAAAAGAAGTTTGCGACACACGCGTTGAATGGCAAATATTAAAATTTTGTTCACGATCATCAGCAGCCAATACATTTATTTATGTAACCAATGTGTAATAGTGCAAATAAGCTCTGCCTCGGAGATTATTTTGGTTGGGATTCAACACGGCTCAATTTTCAATTATAATTTGAACATTACAATCCGCGACTTCATAAAACAATAAAAAAGATAAATTGCAAAGAAAAATAATTTTGAAGCTGCTTTTTTATTATGGTATTTAATAAAATACAAATCTCGGCATTAACCGATGGTCGCAGGCGGTACTATTTAAGAAGAGCACAATCTTCCGTTCAGTTTAGGTGCGAGAGCATGTAGTAATTCCTGCAGCAAGCTATATTCCTTAGTGCTAATATAAATTGTGAAAAAAGCATTACGTTGAAATAAAAAGACTGCCATAGTTTATATTGGGCGTCATGTGCTTGAAATTTTAACCACAGAAAGCTTTATACTTACCTTTACACGTTGATTCGCATTCATTTTTGGAACTGAATATGTTCACTCCTTTCCCGATTTCACCACTCCAAAGAAAGTTTACGCATTGTGCAATGGAAGAGTTGTAGGTCCATTTGGCAGAAGTACTTCGAGTTCTAACTTGAGGCTGTTCGAAACAGAAACTTGGAACTTCTCCTTAAAATATTCATATTTTAAGGTGAGGTTTCCATTGTGTAAAAAAAAAATTGAGTTATGAGTGTAAAAAAAACAATATCTACGTGTCGCACATTTTCATGCCCATCCCTCGTACGTTAACGGGACGTGAACAATTTCGGAAGAGTTATTTCATCGGCTTAATGTTAAGCCCAAATAAATACAGCAGGTAATGACACATGGAAGCACGTTCACATGTTTTGTTACAAAACAATATTGAACTTACCCTTTATTTGTCGTTCAGTTCAAAATAAGTAACGATATATAAATTAAGTACCTCAGAGGCTCTTAAGGAACCCAAGAAAACTACCATATTGGTTAAAATTACAGATATGCAGAGCAAACAAGCCGAAACGGTATAAAATAAATTTTTCATGATAATACGTGGATTTCTAGAATAGTTACGTAGAGCTTGAAAGAATAAACTAAAAAGAAAAAGTTTGAACCTAATCCTTATTTCCACGTGTGTACCAACGAAAAGCCATTTTGTACCTCCAAGAATGTTTACTATTTAAACACAACAGTGAATTTATTACGTAATGAAAGCCGCATTCATGTTTGTTCTTTGTTTCAGTAGGTGTCATTTATCATAAAAGATTGTCTGTGATGAAATCTGTACTGGGAATAACGTAGTTTGTGGCAATGAACTTAAGGGCGTATGTATAACGGAATATATCTGTACGACCCAAAACTTAAAAGGAGCTAGAGGCGAATACACGACTATTTTTATCTTGTGAATCTGAATATCACGTTCCTTTTTCTTCAAGATGTAACTAAACGCAAGAAAGCACGAAAAACCTTAGATCAGACGTTACGCGGTACTATGATCTTTTGCCCGCCAAGTGCATGTCGCTCGTGGGGGAAGCGCTTGTAATTACAAGCTTGCCGGGTATATTTGCACGCACTGACACAGCCGGGACTTTTTTTTTTCTTTTTGAAAAAAAAAAAAAAAAAAACAGCAAGAGTGCGCCTGCATAGCTTTGATGGGCGCTGAAGAAGCGCGAGAGAAGACGATTCCGAAAATTCCTAATATGACGTCACGCTCCGAAAAGGAGAGCCTTCAGCGGCTCTTTGAAATACGCCATGTCCCAAATAGCGGCCAGGCTTTTTAAATCGACCGCAAAGATTGGTTTCTTCACCTATCGCGTTCCGATTTTGTACAGCGTTGGCCGCAGGAGGTGCATTTTTTCTATAACATTCGCAAAGAGCGCGCTTACCTGAGCAAAACGTAAAAAAAAGAAAAAATGCTTAATTTCTATGGAAACGCAGCGAAGCCACCGGTGTTCAAACCATAGGGCGTCCTATTCATTCGTATAATATATATATATATATATATATATATATATATATATATATATATATACAACGGGCATGGTAGTGGCAGGCCGAAGGCGTGGGTATGTAACTGAGAAGAAAAAAACCCTTAGTGAAAACAGCAACAACGGACGATTTATTCTTCGACGTTTCGGCCGGAGTCCGGCCTGACGAAGGCCGGACTCCGGCCGAAACGTCGAAGAATAAATCGTCCGTTTTTGCTGTTCTCACTAAGCGTGTTTTCTTCGCAGTTATATATATATATTAATCTCACAATTTTTTTTACAAGAAAAATCACCTTTTTAATTAAGAACATTAGTTGTAGTACGACTAAAACTGCCAAAGTATCAAATTTATTTGTCTATTGTAGTTTAACATTTTATTGCACTGTCTTTTTATGCTCGAGTCAAGTGAATTATTCTTACACTCTCGAGTGCTCTTTTTTATGTTTACCTAATACAAGTGTGTGCTCATCCTTACGATCGAAAAGATGATCTCGGAGATGATACGGCCTGAAAACACCCATAATGTAATAGAGTCATTAAGATTGGTCTGAAGGCCTCGTATATATATAGTTTTCGCCTCGTTATTCGCTCTCTCAGTAAATAACAATGAGGGAGTTTCAGAGTGCCCTGCTACAAAGGGCATCTATAGCCTATAATCACTGACAGAGGAAGAACGGCAGGGCGTCTCTTTCGATCGGCTGGCCACCAGTCACAGCCTCCTATATCCTGACAAAGCCTGGCAGATGGCCACCAGAATCGGCCGCCGAAATGGAAAAGGTGGAGCGGCAGACAACGGATGAGAGGAGAGCCACGTGACTGGCGCCCCGCTGCGGCAATACTCCGAAACACACTTCTCCCGAGCGAACAATTGTGTTTCGGGTCCTCGCCGCTGCAAAAACTGTGCGCTGACGTCCAGGTTCCCCGAGAAATGGCTCTTTAGTGCTATGTGCTACCAGATCCTCGCGCTCCAAATCTGCGACCGGGCACTCTATGGCTCCGTCGTCGAACTGCCAGGTTTTGTGAGTATAGAGGAGGCTATGCTCCAGCACGCTTCCTATGCCTTCCGCCGTGCTTTGCCCGCACGCGTGCGCTCGAGGTGCAGGAGATGCCGAAGAGTGGTCGAATGGTGGGAAGCTTGCGGTGAACGCGGGACAACTGAAGCTCCTTCCTGCCATTCTCGTTATGGCAGTGAATGTATGTCCCCAGCTCATTCCACAGTTGAATGTCCTCTGGCGGTTTTCACCTCCGGAAACACGAGTAAATTTGCTCGATAAATGTTCAGCAAAAAGGTATATAACTCTGACCAGATGCCACTCACCTCTGCACACTTTGTTACATTCAGATTCGGAGTTGAATCTGTTTTCATCCGGGGCTCCCTGAGCAGACCCAAAGAAAAATATGGAGCATTTTCCGACAGCATTATCATAAACCCATCCTCGAACATGCGCTCTGCCTCTTCCCACTTCCGGAGAAAGAGAGCAGACATTTCTCGTGGACTTCGACAGGCAATTGGCAGAAGCTGAAAGAGGATGAAACATATTTTGAGTGAACGAAGGCCGGGTTTGGACAGGAAGTTAAATTTCCTTATCCCAGCGCTACAACGGCTAACTTAATCAATTTTTTTGTGTGTACGTGACTACTTTTTTTGGTACCCTCGTAAGTGCTTGTGGTTGCTAAATACTCGCATTGTATAAAAAAAATCCAGTTTGACTAGTTGGTTCATGACTGGATAAAAGCGCCGAAAGACAGGGACAAAGTGAAGAAGGTTTTGACAACACAGAACGCGTTCCGTCTTGCTCTGTATACGTACATCTATAACAAAACGCCACGTGAAATGCATTTTGCACTTAGTATTATGCACGCTGGCTTGCATCATTTCTTTAAGTTTAAGAAAATATAAAAAACTACCATCTCCATTACCACCAGTGTACACAATATTCTTCAAAACTATATTGGTGTTGCCACCACATGTATTTATTACAAACTTGGAAGGGGTTATCAGGATGTATATCTGTTATTGACTGAATTTTCTGAAATACAAACTGATCTTCGCTCCGTGGCATTTAGTGTGTATTTACTGTCCCTTGCGAACTATCGACGTAGAAATCGTTATACAATACCTACATTGATGATAATTTTTTTAATATTAACTTTTAGTTATACTTAAAAAATACCATTCTGAATGGAATCGTAATTAGACAACGCCAGGTATAATATTCGCACAAAGGTAACGTGTCCTGGTCACTTTTCTTTTTTGCCGCTTGATTTGGGTACTGCACACTAAAAAGTATCTTTAAGGTATTGAACCCTAAAAAAACCCTGTTAATGAATAGACGATGATGCTCTCGGGATTTTCGTTGTTTAATAAGAGTATGGAACGTCATGCCATAAGAAGCAACCGACGCACGAAAGCACGACTAACGCTCTGATGTTTCAAATTTCCTGATTTTCATCTGTGGCATCATTTCCTAGCCCCGGATGTGTTAGACTGCGAGTACGTTTCCACCTACACATCACCTTATTTCTTGTTCAGGCTTTGGGAACACGTTTCTTGCAGCAATCGAATTTTCACCCCTGAAAAATGCCTTGTTCACTGAATCTGCCGCCTGTCATGCCTGTCGCAAATGCGCGACTGGAACCTCTTTGAGCTTTGCAGATACGACGAGACTCTACGGCACATCTCGCTCCTGCACTTCGTTCACCAGCCCATCGGACTGGCTGCCTCGCAGCTGCGTTTAATACCAATCGTTGCCGTGATATGATCAGCGTACTCAAAGCAAGAAGCTTCCTCTAGCAGCCATAACTTCAACTACTTAATAGCCGACGGTGGCAATATTTTATCCACAGTACGGCAAGAGAGCAACAACATGCAAACAGCGCATAACTTCCGTACGGACCACTCGCGTCTAAATCAGCACCTATGTTATTCAAGGACTTGTTCTCGTAGGCTCTGCAGATCCTCTTCTATAATGCGAAACCGAAGGGAACGATGGGTAGACTTCGTGATTTCCATTTCTGACAAAGAGATGATGTGGAAGTCGGCAAGCATCATTTCGTCATTGTGCACAAATTAACTAGCGAAGAGTGGAAACCTATTTTTGGCACGAGAAATTAGTCTGAAATCGATCGCGCTCGTCCCAGAAGTTTCATTTCCGGCTTCAGAATTCCCACAAACTCTTATTCGTTTGTTCGCAAGTGTGAGCGTAGTATTAGGCGGGATGGAAAGCAATTTGGCAGTTTCAAAGTCAGGCGTCCAGGAAGTACTTGTCATTATTTTGATTGGCGTTGAATTTTCGCAAATTATGAACATTGCACTTACTCCTATAGTAATATCCACCATTAAAACGATAATTTCTGCATGATAGGTTAAACTATTTAACCTGCAACGACATGTTTATTTTTATTATTTACACTGTATGTTTTCGTTTCTGCTATTACCTTATCGGACGATATTATCGGGGTGCTTGACTCCATAACTTTACGGAGAAAACTGTATTTTAGCAACGCCACCTCGTTGTTTATTATTTTTAAGATTTTACAGTTTATTATAAAGATATTTGTTTAAACAAACAGCCTGCGCAGTTATTGGAAGCTTGCGCCACCTAAAGGCGACGCGCCAATCTGCCTTGGCAGCTGGTTGTCAACGCTACTATCGCTAGCGTCTCCGACACGTCGCACAGTGATGTTCTGTCTGCTTTGACCTCTTCTAATGCACCCGAAGTTCCTTGAAAGCATCTACATCTTCCCGCGACAGTATTTCTCGATTTAATTTCTTAGTAAAAGTTTGGCACATTGATATTCAAAAACGTATCCATGTCCAACGTTGCACTGCATGTGTTTTCACATCTTTCGACCCTCAGGAGTTGCTCGGAGCTAGCTTTCAGACATGTCCTCCTCAGTTGTAACTTGTAAGTGGCTGCGATGGCGACACACCGCTATGTGTTTCGTCTATCAGCGCTGGCATATGCCTCTACGAAGCACTTGCGTGTTCTACGGTACGCAAATCACTACGGAAAGACGCTTACCAGTGCCAGTAATTGGCAAATTATGCATAAGTATTGTTTTCTCTTCTCATTATCAAATTGCTCTTTGCTCGCGGGCGGATCGAGTACACTATTGGGACTGAGATGTTTGGGAATGTTTTTGCCTGCGCATGGAGGAGATATGTGCTCTCAAGCTGTGCTCAGGTAAGCTCCTTCATTAGAAACTATAGTCGGCTGCTACACACGATGTTATTTTTAGAAGTGCCTCTGTTAGGAGATACACCCTGGCACCACTTTCTAGTAGCACGCTTCCAACTGCGGCTTTCAACAAGTGTAATTAGAGCGAATACTGTTTTTCCTTCTTTTATGCGAAAATGACAGTGCTTTTAAAACTGGCGAATGAGTATATGCGATCGCCAAGACTCGAATGAGTGTATCTGTTCGCCGAGAGGAAACACTCTTAATCAGCAACATACGGGCTCGCGTAAGACGTGAACCGAGCGCAGATCCATCAGATGTTCCGGATTAGTGGGATTGCTTAGTTACCGCACAACAGTTTCATTCTGAGGTGCATGGCTTCCGACGATATGTTTTTTTTTTTTTTTTGCCATGGCTAAAAAGGGCAGTCATCAAAGTACTTCCGCCACATCTTGCAAAAGTAAGCCCAGTGATATCATTCTTAAACCGGAAACAAATATCAAAACACAGCACCGGCCGGCCTTTTATTGTCGGATATAATGATTTGCCTCACAAAGAACGCACATTTGGTCTCAGTAATATCAGAATAACGTGTTGCGATAGCTACATTTTTTTCAGTATCCAGTATCAAATTTATTATTACATATTTCGCTTAAAACACATACATTGATGAAATCACAAAAGTAATAAGGGTCAGAGAACCAATGCTTGCATAACCCAGGTTAATTATGTCAACTATGACCACCCGAAAAGCTGCAGAACGTATTTTTACTAGAGTTTCTTATCCTTCATCAGAGCTTTGGTTTGTGTAAAATATGACCGGGATTTCAGTAGAGCAAAAACAAGGTTCGGAATACATCGGAATGAGCTTACGTGCTCAAACATGTGGAAAAATGCTATTGGCGCATCATGAAAAAGTTGGGTCTAAGTTATAACAGTAAAATGACATTCGGCCGAAGAATGTAAGGCACGTTCAGAACTCGGCAATATTTTCTATAACGGTAGGCAAACAGTCGTGGAGGAAACGTTGTCACTAGATATGACAAAACAAACTTACCTGTTGCTGCGACCGCAAGAAGTAAAGATATATTTAGCAACATAATTGCATAGAAGTAACAAAACCACTATCTTAATTTAATTAGTTTCAAACGTGGGCAAACTTTTTTACGATCAGTGATTCCTGTATATAAATAAGGGGTGTATGCCAACCTGCTGAATCTAGCCTAAGCCAAAACACCTGTATAAATAAGGGGAATACGCATGTTGTTCTCCCGTAAGCATATGCACCTTCCTTCGTGTTCACTACGTAAAACATTTTTTCTTTCAGATCGCAATATGTTTTAGCTTTTATTTTGTTTATGTCATTTTAATATGAGGCGTTTGCTGAGAGTTCCTGGTTCCGGCATGAGCTAACACAAAGAAAAAAAAATAATACCTTACAGGTCGATGACATCCGTTGGTAAGCACGAGCATATCTCATTGGCTGTTGACAAGAGAAAGGAAAACGCAGATTTATATGCTCTTTGATCTTTGAAACCATGATGACGTATACAGCAAGGAAGCACAATTCTATAGCAAGGCAGAGCTGCTGTTTCCGGCTCTTTTATTGAACACATACGGCAGATAATATGAATGAATCTTATAAGGCAGCTTATAATTGTGCAAGCCTCTAAATCGTTTAGGTATTTAATTATGACTTCCTTTAAGACAGCATAGAGAGCACGATTAATCGATAATTAATTATAAAATTTTATTTATACATTTTACTACATTTTCGAATAATCCTGACGGTTATCTCCCCATACAATAGGGAGTTTTTTCAAGCAGTTTTTGCATCACACGGTTCCGAAGTCCTGAACGGCGTAGCTGTTCCGTTTAGGGAATTCGCGTGTAAAATTTAACGCGTTTTAACGAATCGTAAAACTCGCACAACTGTTCAACAGTGATGATGATTGCGTTTCAGCGGCAGCGCCATCTCGTAGTAAACATCTGAAACCTTCTCCAGCGTGGAAATCTTTGATTTGCATTTCAAGGCGCGCACTGTTGTAAACAAGACAGCCGATGTAAGATTACCGGTCAGAAATTCAACGAGCTATGAAGACAGAGTATAATGTGACTGAACGACCACAAATGAGGTGATGTGTCTCTATTTTGTTGGGCAACCCTTCGCGGTCGTGTGATATACAGGGTGTCTCATATAGCGGCCATCCTCGGGGAAGACGAGGATGGCCGCTACGGAATAAAAATACGCCGGAATTCGCTACTAACTCGTTTTTGAAAGCACAGCTCTTACCTAGGCGCCCGTTTCCGGGTTCAGCGGCGTCGCCGTCGGCGTCGGCGTCAGCGTAACAGCGCGCGTTGCATTATGAAACATGTTCTCGTTCAATTTAGCGGGAAAATTTCACGCTGAATTTAGCGGAAAAATTTACGTCACGCGATCTGAACGAAAAGTCCGTTTTCTACGCTAAATTTAGCGGAATATCTTTCGCTAAATTTCCCCGCTAAATTGATGGGAAAATCTTCGCCAAATTTCTCGCTAAATCTAGCGAGAAAATTGTTTATAAATTTCCTGCTAGCTTTAGCGGGAATATATTATCGCCAAATTTAGCGGTAAATTTAGCTAAAAATTCCCGCTAAGTGGGAGGGCCGCAGGCGAGGAGAAGATTCGGGTACGGAGGGGGAGGAGAGGCATAACGTCTACTCCCCTTCTCCTCCTCAAGAGCTGCGCTGCAATTCGGCAATACACAGAATTGTAAACGTCTTTGATTTTTTTTTTTTTTTTTTCAGGAAGTGTTTCAGCTTTCTTTTAATAGCGGTGATAACAAATCGAAGTTCCTAACCTGGGCCGGTTTTCTCGAAGCGATGGTAAACCCATTTTGGTAAACCACGGTGCCTAGAAAGGGAAAAGTACCTAGGTACTGTAATAAACGGCTGGATATAGAACAACAATAATTATTTTTGATTGGGCAGTAAGATGCGCCATCTATCGGTGAAACAAGTCAGTCATTTTGTTTACCCTCTTTTTTCCGCTGGTTGTCATCGATCTAGTATGGTATTTTAAGTCAGAATATACTAATATTGTACTTGAAGACCAATTTATTTGCTTCCGATGGTACGAAGAAATTTTAGCTACTATGCTAGAGTTTGTCGACGAATATTCGAAAATGTAAGAAACATTTCCTTGAATATGTTTCGCCATAAACAACGCATAATTTTCCCGTGCTTCTTCCAGTCTGGCAACGCAGGTACTGTAGTCTCGTTTTCGTTCCTTGCGACGCACGTTTGTACGATTCCTGCTGATCTCAACTGTTTGCCCTCTCTTCCGTTTACCCAACCGATTCACCGGTGACGAGAAAGCTAAGCTTCTCGTCACCATTGAATTGCTGGCCACTGGGGATATGTAGAAACCTCAATGCTGTCTGCATACTGTCGGCGCACTGTGAACAAAAAAACAGTACAATGTCTCAGCTGTTCACCCGGAACGAAGACTTTATTGAGGATAATCCCCTTTCTCCGCAAAGTAATCGCTGCTCACGAGTTGGCGTGCATAGTGTAACACATTCAACGTCTTAGTATAAATATATACCAACACTCGTTCGCAAAACATTTTTTTACTCACCATAAAAGCACTTGCAAAGCTTATGTACCGTCATATGTCTTGGATCCCGGACTGCTGAAGAGTGATGCGTTAGCGGAATGCTGCCGTCGGTTAGTTTAGTAGTCCCTCTGAACTTCCACTTTGATTGACGTGCTAATGGGTTGATGCTAAGTCATTAATATAACAGCCAGACCGAAATGAATGTTCAGCAGAACCAAGCAGAACTATTAGCCCTCATTAAGCGACGCCGCGGCCATTTTGCTTCTAGGTACTGCTCCTCCCTCGGCGCCCCTGCTCTCCCAGTCACGTGACCTGGAATTCCCCCTTCTGGGGACAATAGTTAACTTTAAACCACGGTTCGCGTTCGGGAAAACGGGCCCTGCTATCCGACATCCCGTTTGTCGGTCAAGAGGTGGCCATTGAGCATAGTCGGAATACTAGCTGGGCCCCAAAACGCTTCGAGTGCCGGGGAAAGGGTTTTATTACTAGCTCCAGTAGACAATAGATATTAGTTATGTATCCTATATATCATTATTTACCAACAAGTACAGGTCTCGCCTGTGCATGTTCCGGTCGCTTACGAGGAGCGCTATTTATCTTTTTGGCAACACCATTCATTAGTTCATTCATTCACTTGTTTATTTTCTGTGCTCATAAACAGCTTGACGCCGTGATAATGGTGCAAAACCAGACTGATCTCAGGTTACTTACAAACGCCACAAAGGTCTGATTAAAATATCAATATCGACTACGCCGAGGGTATTATACATGGATTGAATGCTGGTCATGGGACTGGTTTGGATATTTTGATTAACACGGGAAGTTAAAGAAATCCATATAAAGCGACTCGGAACATGGGTATTAATACTAGCTGATGTGAGATCATGACAGTCGATACATTCATACAGGAAAAACTAGATCTCAGGCACGTCGTCTAGAACTCAAAGTAAGGCGATTGCTTCGTTCCAAGAGTCCCGCATAAGAATAGCAATCAGTGCAACTAATATAACGATAATAGAAAATTTGAAAGAAACGATTCTCAACATTTTCTGTTATGTATTGACTCGTAAAGCTAATACGATTCCAGACAACAAAGGAAAACTCCAACTTGGACCGGATTAACGAGAGGTATAATGGTAAAATACATGTTGACGTAGAGAACTCACAAGTAATTCTAGAGATGACACCCAGCTTACGGACAGAGTAATTTATAAGGTTACTTAGATGTACAGTAAAAGATAAGGAAGAGTCTATGTATACACCAAGATCACGTGTGCAGTGAAATTTTCGCAAAGGAACATTACAGACCTGGTAACAAAAGTTTTCCTACCTTTCTATACAGAGACATAAAAACAGTTTCATAAGGATTGAGCGTAACGTGTTCTGACGACATCAATCACACACTGATTTAGCACCGTTCATAAGCTTTTCGCTGTCACCCAAGAATAAGAGCTGCCTAAACAGCTTGATATCATCTGCATATTGCAAGATGACTGAATTATAAACACTTCAAATAAGGTACATAATAAAAACATTGAAAAATATCGGCCCAAGTATAGACCCGTGCGGCACACCCGAAAAAAAACACAAAAAAAAAAACAGTGCTGGGAGAGGTGTTTAAGAACACGTACAAAATTCTGTATATTGGACAGATAATCAAGAAACAATAACAAAAGGAGGTACTCATGCCGTAGGATACTAGTTTATGTATAAAGAGCGAATAATCCAGTAACTCGAAAGCCTTTGAAAGGTCAAAACATAAAGCGTCTACCTGTACTCGCTGAAGCACAGTAGGCAAAACAAAATTTAATACTTACACCAACTTTTTCTTAACAGACCTTTCACGCACAAAGCCATGAGGTGCAGGGCTAACCTTAACCTTAAAAGAGTTTGGAGTGTAATAGAATAAAACAATTTCGTAGACCTTTGCAAACAAACATAGCAACGACACGGGTTTGTAATTTTTGACATTGCCCGTTTTGCCATTCTCAAGTACTGGCGCAGTAATAGAGTTCTTCCAAAGGGAAGGAAAAATTGGGCTCTGCCACGACAAGTTAATATATACGTTAAGACAGGTGCACAAAGAGAAGAGCAGCGTTTGGCAATAAAGCTTGTTAAACCGCCAAATGTGACTGATAACTTTGGCTTGAGTTTCCATATGGCAAGTTCAATGTCAATCATTTCAAGATATAAGACTGACAGATGATCACTAGCATTGTTATTGACGACAGTCACTGGCAGTCCGGTACGGCCGGAAGAATAAACTGAGAAAAAATAGCTCGCGAATGGCTTTCACACATCTTCAGGCTCACTCAGCGTAATGCCAGACGAGTCAGCTAAGTGTATTGTTGACGAGGTAGTAGTTGTATACACTCCTTAACGTATGGCCAGAAACGCGTTGGGTCATGGCTTAAACTGTGCTCTACTGACTCACGGTGTAATATTTTAACGTGTTTTAGCAATGTATTAGCTTGAGCACGTGACTCAGAAAATTTCAGGTAC